AAAAAAAAAAAAAACAAGAGAGAAAGGAAACGTACAGTCCACGCTCGCTAACAGGAACAAGATCCGAAATGGTACCACCGCCATTGGTCAACGGAGCACCACCAAAGACACCAGCAAGCAGACGGAAGATCAAAAGCGCAGTTGCATTGGGAGAAACCCCACAGAGAGCCGTGAAGAGGGTGAAGAGAACATTTCCAGAGTTGTAGATGAGGTTGCGTCCGTAGATTTCGGAGAGGGGGGCGAGGAGGAGAGGGCCAATACCGAAACCAATAATCTATGTTCTGATTAGTACTTGTTGACAGGAGAAGTATCCTAGAAATTACTCACGTAGATAGAAACAGAAAAGGTAATCAACATCTCTGAAGTACCCGAAAACTCGTCACCAATCTGGAGTAGGGCCGGGGCCATCATCGACGAAGCCAATGGTCTAGCCATGTTAGTTACTCTACCTTTACTTTGCTAGAAGAAAGGAACATACGTAGTAAACCGCATTAGACAAACAGAACTAATGATGGCCCTCTTCTTAGCACGCGACCAGTTCAGCGGCTTCTCAGGGTCATCCGGGCCATCCCAGTCTACCACGACAAGTGATGAAGTACTATCGTTCGAGGCTTCTGAGGCGGCCACTGTCGAGCCTGAGCCCGAGGAACCAGGGGGAATAGGTTCATGATCTTGGTCATGAAGAGGTTTTTGAAGAGGTTGGAAGAGTTTTTGTTGTTGTGCGCCTGCGCTCATATTGAAATTTGGGCCCTAGTATACTCTAGGAAAGTAATGACTGACGGATTAAAGCAAAGAGAAAAATAGAAATAAAAAAGAAGAAAAAGGAAGAAACTCAGACACTTGAAGTTGACATTGAAATTGACATCTATCAAAAAGAGTGGGAAAGAGGAGAGTAGCACATATTTAAAACAATAATTTAATTCCAAAGCAATGACATACACACTACTGCCAGGAATTAGAAAAAAAAAAAAAAAAAAAAAAAAAAAAAAAAAAAAAAAAAAAAAAATCCCCTTGATCCATATTGAAAGACTACGTCAACCCAATACCACAACACGTACCTGTATGTATTGATCACCTCTCTCCCTGTACTCTGTAATATCCACACGGACGATCTTCGGGAAGGGCTTGGCAAGCCTTGGCAGGTATATTCTTGGCATTAAGCGAAGCTGTTGATCACGGATGCCGATCAAACCCTGGTTATCCGCTGCCAAGCTACAGCGGGTCCTTGCGTGATTCTGTCAGGAACTGCACTACAGTATGTACACGCGGCGTGGTCAGGTATTCAAATTTTCGATTTCTGGAGTATGGGGTATGGAGTAGACGTTTAGTAGCCCCTGTACAGGGTATATTAATATAGAATCCTTTCTTGTCTTTCTACTTTAAACTTAAAAGTATTCTGTACTCCGTACTATGTACTCCGTAGAGCACTCTACAAATACTGAAATGAAGATCGTTTCAGCTTCAACATCATCTCGAATAATAATTGTTATTCTCGCCACATGCACTTGTACAACTAATCCTCGTCTCGACTGTAAGCGAATCGCCATTCATTCTAAGCGAGCCAGACGTGGGATCATATTCATCATACTTACATCCCTCTCAACCTCCAACATCCAATGTAGTCCATACATCTGTACCTTGATGTGATTCTTGACTCGTACAGCGAATCCTCCGAATTCGGATTTCGACTACAGAAACCTTGATGGATGATACACGTTAGTTTTACAAAGTTCACAAAATCATGTATTCCGTACAGCGGTTGAGTGTCGGATGTCACTATTCCATTCTTATTCGCTTCTCTTGTTACTCCCTGTGTTTCTAATGCTGTAAGCCTAAGTCAGGCAAAATCAAAATCACAAAAAGGCCCCCCAAAGTCCAGACCCCCTTGATCTGCACTGCCGTACTCTGTATAGCGCCGTTCATTAACCATGCATGGATCACTGACCCATTACCCGCTACCCGCCTACCCCTGGTACAGTACAGGGGGTTGGTTGGTTTGGTTCAACCAAAGCAGGCGTCAGGGTGATTATGCAATCTGGAATGTGTGACTTTGAGGTCAGTCAGGTTTGACACTGACAGAGACTCCCGTGCTCGCGAGTGCGAAGAATTTCGCATCTCAACCCTATCCTACGTCTTGCCTTTTTTTTTTTTTTTTTTTTTTTTTTGTCACGACATGCCCGGTTCAGACGCCACGATTAACTTTAGGGAGAAAAAATCGAAAAATTTGAGATCTGAAGGCATTTTGTTTGGTAATGGAACGACGAATGTTCATCATTTCTAAATCTATACAATTTGACGCCAAAGTTTGGAAAAGAAAGCCTATGCCGTAGGAAAAATTGTAGAAGTCAAACGGTAAAAATCGCCAGCAATTTTCATGTACTTCTTGTGAAGTCAGATACAGCAGAATGTCAAATATGAAAAATGTATAAAAAAAAATCCCATCAAAAGCGCCGGGTGTAGGTATCATTAGTGAGAAAGCCAAAAAAAAAAAAAACAAAAAACAAAACCATAATTAGAGAAGAAAACAGAGAACCACCAGAAACAAAAAAACAGATCAGTTTTGTCGCTTCGTGAAGATAGGCTTGGTAAAGGCCAATCTAAAGCCTTCCTTCTCCACGTTTCGCCCAGTCCCAACGCCCGGGTTGGCATGGACGGTCACAAAGTTGTAACCTAAGCGTTTGGCATCTAGGACACGGGCCCGAATCAATGCCCGTTGCACACCACGACCCCGGAATGCGGGCGTAGTGCTGTCGATGTAGATATGAGCGACTCGCCCGTACTCTGTCTCCATGAAAGCCATAGCACCACATCCTGCGATCTGGCCGTCAATCTTGGCCAAGTAGAGAACTGTGTCGGTTCGCAGAGCAGCCATCTCTGCCACGGCGCGCAGGAATGTCACTGGACGGCCGCTGTCCATGAAGCCGGCAACGGAGTTGTGGACGAAAGCTGCCATTCCGGCTTCTGTGGCGGGTGCTCTGGAGACTCGTGTGTCGAAGCCAAATGTGTACTCTGACTCTTGGTCCATGTTGACGGGAATATCATTTAGAGAGCGAGCGTAGACGTTGAGGAAGCTGTCGACTCCATATCCGCGGACGGCCAGCATCTGCAGAGCACTAGGGTCGGCATAGGGGCAAAGAAGAACCGAGACGGGCAGGTTGGATACGCGGTGGAGGTCTTCGAGTTCACGGATGTCGTAGTCGGTCACAGGGCCCTCCATGCCTAGACCCAAAGTGCGGTTGACTTGTTGACCAAGAAAAGGGTTGGTGAGAGCAGCCACACCACCGCTTGGGACATGATGAAGGTTGAAGTCTTCGTTGGGGAATAGTTGCTTGCTGGCACCGACCTGGCGGCCCAGATGGATCATATGGGCTTCTTCGATGTGGTGGATGGTGTCGAGGCTGAATGCCGGTGCTGGTGCCGCAACCGACTTGGTAGGGGCCGTCGGCTTTCGGTGTTCTGCTGTGTAGAGAGCACTGTATGAGACAAGCATGGTGGCGGTAGAGATGTAAAAAGTTCCTAAGGCTATAGATAGATGACAGTTTAGGAAGGATGTCAAACGAGATAAAGAGTTAACGACAGTAGGAAGAATGAAATTGAATATTGATAAAGCAGATGAAAGTGATTCAGATTTTTAAGACCCTCTTGATCCTGACTCCAGGCAGCTCCAGGGTCGATATATGAATGTCGATGCTGCCTCCGACTATCACTTCACAAGCTGTCTGCCGTCTTGGCAGAGTCCATCAGGTATGTTAATTGCGTACTCTAGAAAAAGAAAGATGCATTTAAAAAAAAAAAAAAAAAAAAAAAAAATTAAAAAAAAAAAAAAAATTAAAAAAACAGTTCCGGTATGTCAACCCATCTGGGAAGGAGGACAAAAACAGCGTAATCCAGACTCCTGTATTGTATTGAATACGGAAGATCCTGAAGATCGGCTGATGCAGCGTGGCGCTGTGGTGCATCCAAGTACTTTTCCTGGTTTGGATTGGATTAATTGCCATCGGGGATTTTAAGCAAATGGCTCATCCTTTTCCATTATTAGCCCATGCATCATTTGCATCCCAGTGAAACGAGTCAATCTCTAAACGACGGTTTGATCCCTTTTCCTTGCAGGTGCTGAGTATTGCTTCTTGATTCGGCATGGGATGATGTGTCTCGAACCATACTGTGATCTTCCTTCTCAAGCTCGCCCCATTACTTTCTTGGCAACCCTCTTCCGGAATCCAAAGGGTAGGGGACAGTTGGTTCGCTTCGTCATTGTGGGATACGTGCTACCCAAGGGAGAAAGCATAAAATTTTTCATTGTTGTGTGTATGTGTGTGTATGAATAAGTCAGGGTCCAGTTGGGAACACCAATCAAGCTGTATTACTACCAGCACGTTGTGACAGCGGTGACGCTCAGGTTAAGCAGCAACCCCTGTCAACCGGTTTAGCTTGGGCCGATGCTTGGCCTGGTTCCCTACAGAAGCTAGCTTTTCCTTGAACAATAGCTACCGTCTCGTATAGAGAGAGAGAGGAGTCGGAACGGAACGGGGAGCTCACGGGGGATCATTCCTTGGACTTGGCAAAAACGGGAGGGACTGCGAATCGCCTTCCATTGCCCCGGAACCTGTAAATGGATCACGCGGCCAGCCGATGGATAATGGACCCGCGGGAGGGAAGCCGGTGGGGGGAAGTGGCGTCATGCGGCCCCGGGGCGGTGGTCTTGGCAATGAATTGATGATGAACACTGCAGCAATAGTGAAATGCAATTATGCATAATATGAGCAATCCACTTTAGTCATCAATCCACGCACAGGGGGTTGTGATCCCACACTAAGGTTTGACTGGCTGAGACCGCCCCAAAAAAGAACAAGCATTGATCGTCCCTAGTCCCCAGTCCCCAGTCCCCATTCAATCCCCATTCGATACAAGCAATGCCTAGAAATAAGTGGAGCGGATTCTAGACCTTGAGAAGAAAAAGAAAGAGAGAACCGAAATCCTGATCCGCAATGCTACTGGTAAACTAGTCAAAAGCACGTACGGGGTGAGTTATTATGACGAGGCGGGAAAGAGAATACGGGGGTCCTATACAGAGTACGGAGAATCCCACAACAAAATCGCCGAGATACGGAATATTCCAGCCACGATTTTGTGACGTGCAGAGAAGGGGAAAATTCTTTGACAAGTAAACTTTCGCCATAGCCATCTTCCCTTGCTTTGGCTGGCGTGTAGGGCATACGTATAGCACATGCAAACTGACAGTAATAATAATAGATACATATTATAATCCTGAAACAATTGAACTGTTCACACAATCCCAAACAGATCTCCATATACAAGTAAACAAGCAATGCTCAATGCAGGGGCTGTGTTTTGGGGGGGGGCGAGGGAAAGAAACGAAAAAAAGACTGTTCCAGGGGCGACATTGACACTTTGCAGCCGTTTGAAACAGGTTGAAACAGGTAACTATCTCGGCTATCTCCCCGTTAGCGCGTGGATGACATTCATGCCTCAGGCGGTAATGCTTTGCCGACCTGAGTACCGATACCGTACCGATCCCGAACCGACTCTATACCGACTCCAGCATGCGCTACGTGTACAAGTAGAATTGATGCAGTTTGATGATGTATGTGTATGCTATGTACACGTACGGAGTATGTGCAATTACCGACCAATAGAACTGAACATACTGAGAAAACCGGTCGATTGTATGAGTTGTAAAAACCTCACCATAAATAGCACAGCGCCTACTCCGTGTAAATCACATGTTTGCCGAGTGGAGCCAAGTCAATAGTCAATAGATGATAGTCGCTCTGGAGTCACATGACTATCCCTGAACATCGTCTACCCCGTACGTGCACGCAATACTCCAGCTCATCTTCGACATGCTTGCGAGTCAGATCTCAGTGTCTCGTCTACGCTCTATGCAGGCACCCCAGCATCATCGGTGTTGAACAGGTTGGACAGGTAAGTGACCTCTATGCGCCACGTTAGTTACCAGATTCACTGACTTCATCGAAATTTAGGACATTAGGTAGATTAGCCAATCTCATTAGATGCCCTCATCACTTCTTCCTCCGAACTGCATGTGCTTCACTCATCGACGTCAAATCGACCTCAACCGGGGGATAGAAAATCTACGAATCGATTCTAACTTTCGGATCTTTTACCCATGTACCGGAACACAGACCATTGTGGCGTTGAGTGAACATCTAGTCATTCTGGAAACTTGATATGCCCTTTCTTACCCACGGAATTTTATGCGGACGAGAATTTCCAGGATATCTATGCATCTCGGGACACTGCCGCCAAAGCAAAACACATAGGGCATTCCTGATAACTGTCAGCTGTCATATTTTATAACAGCTGGTGACTGAACGTTGCTCGAGATAGGTGGTCAATACTGTGGATTGCTCTAATTAGGATTCCTGACGCCCAGGTCAACGACTATATGCAGGACGTCCCAAGAGAACGATTACTATCCCGTGGAGTGACCTCCATCGCAGACCACTTGCTTTATGGAGGCATATTTCAGTTCCTAATCGGTTTTTAGGCATTTGTGGATGCACTTCAAGCAAATATCTGTAGTCAATGGGCGTTTTTATTTGTTCTCTTCCTGGCGATGCTGAAAATGGTGTACGACACAGATCGCCAATGAAGGTAGATTTCGACTTGTAGAGCTAGGCTACAATAAAAGTTATGGCCGATAGATAATTGAGCACATCCAATTATGACTGGCAGAATTCAATCCCATCTTTTTTAAATTGCGACATATATATATGTGTGTGTGTGTGTGTGTGTGTGTTTCTGCCTTCTCTGCCGTTTTTTGAGTCACATGCCGGCCGTGGTTTGGTTTTGCCTTTCTTTCTCGAATTCTTTCTTTCTTCCTGTGGAATGGATTGTGTCGGTGGTGTTTTTATTATTGTTTTGCAGTGCTGTCAGGATCAGCAAGCATTGGTGTTTAACAACTATATATATATGTATGTCTTAGGGCTCGCACATTATCATATTTATCTTATCTTGACTTGAAAGTGTTGCATAAACCCCCCACACAACCCTGGCCGTGAATAAAATCAACGTCCCCGCCAAAGCTAGCAAACATCTTCTTAGCTCCGGATGCATATTGTCTATGGTAAGGCGCACCTCGGCCTCCGGAAGTTCTTCAAATTCCGCACTCAAGCAAATGTTATGAGAGAACTGGTCGATAACAGTAACCCATACTCTGTACTTTTTTTTTTTTTTCAGTTTGTTTTCAGTCGATAGCTGAGGAAGTTTTGCCAGGCTTGCAAGTCAAAATACTGACTCTAGATTAGATCCGTGACGCCCGCCAGCCACGCGTTCCAAGCGATAACAGATAAGTATGCAGACAAAGGATGGTGCTTATGTCTTTTCAAATAGACTAGTCGAGGTTGGGATTTTCGGTCTAAGCTGGACAAAGGATGCTGTTATTCCGAACGACATGCATAAATTGCGAAACGCCTAGTCCGGGTAATGAGCAGGTATTTGGAAAAGTTTGCGGTTCAATTCAAAGCAACGGCTAACAGCTCAACCCATTCTATAATAACAAGAAAATCATGTACTGAATAGGGTAGTTCAGGTGATTTGTTGACAACCACGATGGTATCTTTGCTGGTTCTCTCCGCCGAACTTCCCCGTTGGCCGTGTAAACGTTGAGGTAGTGAACAGCAGAAAAATTGACCGCCACAGTCATCCATGCAAAAATACCGTCTCCCACTTTGTCTCCCAAGTAAGCGTAGTTCAACATCGGGTCCGCATCTTTGCCATCAGTCCCCTGCCCGACGACTCGATCCTCAGCATTGTGCGCGGAAAAGATTCGAAAACAGATGATAAACATGATAAACTGTGATCATATATAGGGCCGCCCAGGACTAGGAACAATAATCTCAAGGGATGAAAAGCTGCAATGACCATGTCCCGTGCAATCCTCTCCAGCAGAGCCATTTTCTTCAGTCAATAACTGAGCCTGGCTCTCATTCCCCTGTCCCCGATTTGAATCTGGGTTTGAATCATCCCCATCTGACCCGTGGTCTCTTGTATCCAGATTGGACGCAGAGCGCAATGTTTCCTCTCCATCATCCGCTTCGCTGCTTGTTTTTGCAGGGTCGAGTTGTGCTGCCGGGATCTCGCCCCACATAACAGGTTTGAGGGCATGGTCATCGCCAGGTGGAGGATGACACGCAGCGCTAATTGCCATGCTGCAACTGGCGGCGAGGGGCATGTTGGTTTTGAGACGCTTCAACCCCAACCCTAAGATGGTACACACCATTACAGACCCGAGAACAATGGCACAAATGATTGCAATTGGTGAGTACCCACAGTTGATTATCTGGTATTCCGCTAAAGGATTCCCAGAAATATCATATGGGAGAATCTCCACATAGAATAGGCTCTGGGATACAAGCCAATGCAGCACTGCATGGGTTATCAAGAGCAGAATGCTATATCGATATGGAAGGCTGAGGTAGTAGGTTGAGCGTTGGGATCCTTTGGGCCAGGAAACGCGCAATGGCTTGCGTTGCCCAGCATAATCATTATACTCGGCCGCAAGAAGCATGTTAGTCAGAATACTGTTGTAGAGGAAATATGCAACTGAAACTGGCAATTGCGGGCTGTTTGCAAGAAAAACCATGGGTAGAACTTGAGCACAACTTTTAAATTCACTACAGATCTCTAGTATCGTGGATTATGTGGCAGTGCCAAAACCCAGGTTCCAGAGAGCTGAAACAGTGGTATCGCCATCTACCGCACGGATGCTCATGGAGAGAAGGTAGCCTGAGACTGAGAGAATAAGCAGACAGCTGTATAAGTTAGATAGATACTCATCAAGATAGTGCAATGTACATACAGGGTGATTGTGGCTGTCCAATTCAAAACGGTCACGGATTTTATCCATCTCTTTTTGTTCAGAAGAGTTGCAGGCTTTTTAGTTAACAAGCCATTGGGCCATGATCGTCTGCCTTTTGAGGGTGATATTTGACGGAGTGGTCACATTAAACAAGGGAAGTGACCAGGGTGTGGAGTTTATTACAGACAAATCGTCTGGATTCTCGTATAGACAATGCTAATTCGAGTGATCGCACATCCACATAAAAGGAACGCTCGTATATGACTCGCGAGAATTCCCGGTGGCAACCAAGCGCAACGACTCGTTATCTGCGGTCAAGTCATTGGTGATGAGAATCAGAGTTCCTCGACCTGCAACAAAATCAACAGCGTAAGTGTCAATGCATTTCTGTTTATCAAGCTCTTCAAAATGCGCGACTTGAGTGTAAAAATCTGACATATTCATAGCAACGTTCTTTTCAAAACAGCTTGCAAAAGCAGAGTCATGGTCCGGTGGGTTTTTGATGTCGAAGTCTGCAAGTTCAAGGAGGACATTATACTCATTTGTGCCCAATGCAGAGAACACAGCAGAGTTACATCTATAAGCAACAGTTAGACATGATCTTCTAAGGAAACATGGAGACAAACATTAGATGAATGGGCAAGGAGGATATCAATAGCAAGATCCATAGAATGTATCTTCTCCAGCCAACAAAGCAGAGATTCTTCATACTAGGTACTCCAATGTCAAGCCACTTTTGCTGAGTGTGGGCATTATCAACAATCTTGCGAGATGGTGCACTTAGGCACTGCATGCAATAATTGCTTGCTGCCAGCATGATTGTGCTGAGTACATTTATCAAAAAAAGCAGGCCACGCACCCAGTTCTTTGAGGTAGAACATTTGCCGCGGTAGAGTGTGGCAGAAGTAAATTCCTGGTCCCCAGCTTTTGAATATGCAATGGAAGCAGCAATAATGGTTAGGACCACATTGAGGAATAAGACAATTGCGGCAGCAAAGGCACAAAGGAGGACACCTGTGACCCATTCTCGTTGATTCTCTTGAGCTTGTTGAATCCTCTGTTCTACCCTGATGGCAAGTCTTCGAGGTAAACAGGAAGCTAATTTCAATACCAGGGGCGTGTTGGGGCCGTTGAGGTCTTTTTTGGAAGATTGGCAGGTCCTTTGAAGTTTAGTTAGCAACGGCAAGGTTCAATTTGTCTGGTGTACTCAGATACTAACCGGTCAAGTTCAAACTCCTCGGCGTCGACTGCAACCTTTGAGCGATGTCATATCAGGCAATACTTGAGTCGGCTAAATGGTCAGTACCAATACTGGTTCGTGGATTGCGACGATGACGGCGTCCCGTTCATGGTGCGTTTATTCAGTTCTCAAGACTCGGAGCAGAGTGAAGTGCCTATCTCAAGGGGGAGTGCGGCACCATCCTGCTATTAAATAGAGCTGTATATTGCTTTTGTCCTATTTTTGGATGATGGACGGAAGCGACGACGCTACTCTGTACTGAGCCTTGTAAAATGCAGACTTTGCCCATCGTCGACAAGGATCTTCCAGCCTTCCAGGCAGTAACTAAATATAGGTCGTCGCATTATTCTCAACCTGGAGATGGCCTCGAATCTTCTATTGTTAAAGGAATGAAGCGTCCCTTCTGGATACTCCGTGGGATCAGCCTCAACTCGGAAAGCCATACTCTGTACTCTGTAGACCTTGGATACTCCACAGAACCAAGACCAAGTCATTGGGAACGGCTATAAGTGGGTCTTTTCAACCAATTATAACGCCGCATTGGTTGCTTATCTGTGACTCGGGGTCTAAATTTGGAGCAGGAAAGCCAATGATAATTAAGACGGGGCGATGCAGGGTCTTTCCAACAGTATTCATGAGGCAATGGACTAAGTCGGAGTGCAGCCCCGTGGCTTATTACTACGTCTGACCGCGTTCGTAGCAGTAGGCAGATGACGGTAAATAGCTCAATCAACTCTATAAATCAATCAGGTATGTACTAAACAAGGTAATTCAGATAATTTGTTGCCAACTCCATGCTGGTATCTTTGCTTGGTTTTATCCATTCAGTCCACCGGAAATACTAAAGCAATGCGACGAGGTTCCAGCCGCGTACACCGATACCACCCGTACCTCACAACCCCACAGCGGTTCTACCTTCTCAGAAATAAGGGTTGTGTTTGTTAAGAATTCAAGTTCACAGCTTAACCCTGAACCCTGAAGGTACGTCCACTGGCCGTCTTCTTCTCGCGTTCCTCGTTCTCAGGTCGAGCTCGGTTGAGGACTGATACCAGTTAGCTAGCGTTCGAACAAATAATTCAATTTGAAGCTCACCCTGGAGGAAGTCCGCTGTCCTCTTGCGCATTCTGGTGTGGATGTATGCCTGTTGACTGAGTGAGTAATCGATAATCCTTAAATCACGCCTTGAAGCCTACCTTCGACGCTTTGATGTGGTAGTGGAAGTAGTCGCGGAAGGTCTGGATGTGAGAAATGTTTGCGTAGCGGCGCTGAGGAGTGAGGTGGCGAGGGAAAAGAACTATAGAAGTTAGCAATGAGCACGCGACTTTCCGGACGAGAGGGTGTAATACCAAAGGTAACGTAGCTCATCTCGCCTTCACCTGCAGGCTTGACACCAGGCACTCCCTGCAGCTCCAACGGAGGGTCGTTACGGAAAAGCACTTGCGGGGCGTTCTGCAGTGCCATTCCACGTTTCCGGGCGTCGACGAATTCCTAGTTGTCGAGTCAGCAACCGACTATCCCAGCTATGTGGTAACCAAAACCAACCTGCAAGAACACTTTGCCAAAGATCCGATCAGTCTCCTCACGGAAGACAGTACTGAAGATCACAGTAACCCGATCATAGCTAGCCTTGATATAGATTGCCTCCTCTTCACGGTAATGGATTGCCATCACTGGTCCTCCCTCTTTGACTCCCGGCGGTGTAGCTTCCGGGGAGAACTGCGAGGCCTCCTCCGCCAGCTTCCCGAAATCGTCGAATGCTCTCTCGAATGGGGCAGCCATGGCATTGCGCTTCATCAGCGCAAGCCGCATAATCAACTCTTCTCGGGCCTCCTGTTCGGCGGGGAGGTTCTCCAGATCGATCAGTACCGAGAAATCATATCCGGGCTCTGTGTCGACAATGTAGGGTCCGTATTCTCTCTGCAGGACGTCCAAGGCGCCATATTGCACCAGGTCCTTGAAGCATTTCACGTTGATCGAGATGAGGATTTGGGTCTTGGATTCGGGAGTGGACAGGTGGAAGGTGACGCCGTCGAAGTCGGACGCAATTTGATCAATTGACACCGGGGGAGCTCTGCAACATAAAGATATCATTAGATCCTGCCTTGATATATCTGTCATATGCTGGGCGGGGTGGTTCTCCGTACCCAGAGAACCGCTCCGTCAGGAGGTTCTCGATCAAGACGTTCTGGTAATCGAGAAGAAGCATGGTGGCTGAACCGGAAGCTCCGTACTAATCCAATCAAAGCCGTATGCTAGAATCGTCGCAATAGATAGATTCAGAGAAATGTTAAGTGTTTATTTGAGGGGGTTTGGTGTCATATCTGGATACGTATGTACCCCGTACAGCTGCCATGACGGAAGGCGGTGGGGATGTCGGATGGTCGCTGTCGCCGCCCGTAGTGCGGTCTCTATCGCTACTGATAGCGTTCTCCGCCAAATTTTTTATTTTTTCAACTCGGACGCTCAACAATGGTCAAGTCATACTTGTAAGTGAAATTAGTTGTTTAAGGCGATAACTTGATTATCAAGTACTGATTTATGCAGGAAGTTCGAGCATTCGAATACTTTCGGGCTCGTCACGTCCGCATCGTCGAATGCGATCTGGGCCCGGGACGATGTGCTCTCTGGAGCTGCGCGCAAGACGGGCGCTGGGCGAGCCTTTGTGGGCGCGAGTGAGGAGGTTCTCAGCTGGGATGTGAAGAAGGGAGAGCTACTGGGAAGATGGCGGGATGCCTCGTGTAAAGCACAGGTTACTGCAATCACGCAGAGCAAGACTGATGAGGATATTTTCGCGGTCGGGTAAGTTGTCTCATAGCTGTCGCTTGTCCAAATGGCAATATCTGACAATGGCTTTGTTTCTTCTTCCAGGTACGAAGATGGAAGCATTCGCATCTGGGATTCGAGAACCGCCACGGTCATCATCTCTTTCAACGGCCACAAGTCTGCCATCACCCAACTTGCCTTCGATAATGCCGGTGTGCGCCTTGCAAGCGGATCGAGAGATACGGATATCATTCTGTGGGACTTAGTGGCTGAGGTTGGACTTTTCAAGCTTCGCGGACATACCGACCAGATTACTTCGTTGCACTTCGTCTTCCCGCCTATGGAGCTACTCAACGCCGCCGGAATGAGTGACCACGCAGGTTTCCTGTTAACGACCAGCAAAGATTCGCTCATCAAGGTCTGGGATTTGGCATCGCAACACTGCATCGAGACACATGTGGCACAGTCGAACGGAGAATGTTGGAGTCTTGGTCTTGCGCCTGACCAGAGTGGATGTATCACGGCTGGTAATGATGGCGAAATCAAAGTCTGGTCTATCGACGAAGCTGCCATGCTCGAGATCTCTAAGGAAAAGGTTGGTTCGGAGGACCAAAAAATTCTCACCGCTAGGGGGACTTTCTACCGGACCGGCAAGGACCGGACTATCGGTATCAGCTTCCACCCGCGCGCAGACTACGTCGGGTTTCACGGTTCAGAGAAGGCGGTCGAGATTTGGCGCATCCGCTCAGAGACAGAAGTACAGAAGAGCTTGGCCAGAAAGCGCAAGAGGAGAAAGGAGAAGGACGCTCAACGCAGCGCGGACGGGCAAGAAGAGAATAAGTCCGAAGATATCTCCTCTGCCCCGATCACAGAGATCTTCGTCTCCCACGTTATTGTTCGTACTGGCGGAAAGGTCCGTTCGTTTGACTGGGTGCGCACGAAATCCAGCGGGAACATTCAGCTTATCGCGGCATCGGCCAACAACCAGCTTGAAGTCTACACCGTCCCTACAGCGAACAAGAAAAAAGAAGACGACGATGAGTCGGATTACAACAGGAGCCTGGCGGTGGATATCCCTGGACACCGGACAGATATCCGGTCGATTGCTTTGAGTTCCGACGACCGGATGTTGGCTTCGGCCTCCAACGGCAGTCTGAAGATTTGGAACACTAAAACCCAGAGCTGTCTGCGTACCCTCGAGTGTGGTTATTCTCTTTGCTCATCCTTCCTTCCTGGTGACAAAATCGTCGTCGTTGGCAACAAGAACGGCGAACTGGAGGTCTTTGACATTGCCTCGTCCACTCTCTTGGATACTATCAAAGCACACGATGGGCCCGTTTGGTCTCTCCACGTTCATCCCGATGGAAAGTCTATGGTGACCGGTAGTGCTGACAAGACAGCTAAATTCTGGGACTTCCAGGTGGTTCAAGAAGAGATCCCTGGTACCAAGCGAACGACGCCCAAGCTCAAGCTGGCACACACAAGAACCCTGAAGGTTTCGGACGACATCCTCAGTCTGCGCTTCTCACCTGATTCTCGACTACTTGCTGTTTCACTCTTGGACAACACTGTCAAGGTGTTTTTCGCCGATTCGTTGAAGCTTTTCCTCAACCTTTACGGACACAAGCTTCCTGTCCTCAGCATGGACATTTCTTACGACAGCAAACTCATCGTGACTTGCTCAGCTGACAAGACTGTCCGTCTATGGGGTTTGGACTTTGGTGATTGCCACAAGGCCTTCCTGGCCCATGAGGACAGTATCATGGGTGTTGCCTTCGTTCCGAACAACAAAGAAGGCAACGGGCACAACTTCTTCAGTGCCAGTAAGGACCGCGTCATCAAGTACTGGGACGGTGACAAGTTCGAGCACATCCAGAAGCTCCAGGGCCACCATGGCGAAATCTGGGCTTTAGCCATCAGCCACACGGGCGAGTTCATCGTCAGCGCCAGCCACGACAAGAGCATCCGCACATGGATCCAAACGGACGAACCCCTCTTCCTCGAAGAAGAGCGCGAGAAGGAACTCGAAGAAATGTACGACAGCACCCTAACCGCCTCCCTCGAAGATGAAGAAGGCGAAGGCGAACAAGCCGAAGCAGTCGACGCCGGCAAACAAACAAACATCACCCTCATGGCCGGTGAAAAGATCATGGAAGCCCTCGACCTGGGCATGGAGGACCTCGAGATCATGCGCGAATGGCGCGCCGTCAAGGCCTCCAACCCCAACGCCGCACCACCCACCCGCAACCCCATGTATATGGCGCTCGGAAACATCTCCGCCGAACAACACCTCCTGAAGACCGTGCAGAAGATCCCTCCGGCGTCGCTGCAGGACGCCCTCCTCGTCCTGCCTTTCTCCAAGGTTCCCGCGCTCTTCACCTTCCTCAACATCTGGGCGAACCGCCAATGGAACATCCCTCTTGTGTGCCGTGTGCTCTTCTTCATGCTCAAGACACACCATCGCCAGATCATTGCGAGTAAGATTATGCGGCCTATGCTGGATAGCATCCGGTCCTCGCTGCGGCGGGTGCTAGCGGCTCAGAAGGACGAAATGGGATTCAACCTCTCGGCTCTGCAGTTTATCGGCAACCAGGTGCGCGAGCAGGGTACCAAGGACTACGTTGACGAGGATACGTGGGAGCAGGATCACCCGGTGATTACAGGGACTGGGAAGAAGCGGCAATTTGTGCAGATTGCTTCTTGATAGCATGTATAATCATGAATGGCGTTGCTGTTTGTCTTTTTGGTGCAAGAAAAGTTCTATATCCGGAGTTTTGGAGGGAAGATAATATGTATTTATGTAGAAATAACTTGAATATATAGACAAGCTATACATCTCATCCTGATTCTTGCCCGTCATGCGCACTTCCTGGCAGCCACGTTCCATCTAAATCTAAGCTACATCAAACTCAACGCAAAGTAGATACCTGTACAATCTTCAAAAATGTCAGCAGAGTCCAAGAGCAAACAATAAGCTCAATGACAACCCAACGACACCACAACACACAACCATCATGCTGTCCAATCCAATCCACACTGTCAACAGCACATCGCAAAACTCCTCTCAGCAGAACCATTATAAGCATCGACGACAAAGAGAAAGGAAAAGTCGTTTTCCAAATTTCTTCTTTGTCATACCTCTTCCGGCTCTTCCTAAATACCGGTTCGGAAAAAGTTCTCATCATTTAAGAGTTTTGGATGTGCTGCAGACAGGCGTGGACTGGCGTGTGGAATGGTCGTTGGTGTGTGGCTGTCAATTGAGCATAGAAGGAGTAGAGATTCAATTTACCTGTTGTATTATCAGTTAGTCAATCGCGTTTTGACATCCTGCATTGCGAACGTCTTTTCGAGCTTTGCTCACGATCTGTTGTGGGAGGAAAGGAAGAAATTGTCCGCAGAAAAAATGTTTTTAGAGTGGAAACCACGCGTTAGTCAGATATTAGTCACCATTTCAATCAACTAACTACATAATGGAAATGAAGAGAAAAGAAAAGATAAAAAGGAACTGGAGAATAGTCAGAAGAACATAGAATGTAAAACAAAGTCTATTATATTCTTGTGCATCATCATGTAGCAAAATCCATACAAAAAAGCCATAGTAAAGCCAAACATCACGGGTATAAAACTCCATATCAAGACGCGTATCGTAAGAGAGAATGATAGATCAAATCATGAGGACTGCTTCATCAACCCGCAATTCGAGCACGTCCAATACTCTGTTTCCATAAAAGATCCGCAGGAATGGCAGACCCAGCCCAACGGGCGCTTCTGCGCGTTTCTCTCTATATCAGCAAGCGATTTGGCGGCCTTCGTTCGATTCTTGAGATTTGGCTTGCTGCCAGTTTCGCTCAGTGTCCGCTTGTTTCTGCCCCGCGCTGTGGCTTCAGAGGTTGCGGTGGCTGGCCCTGAAACCGACCTTGGATTAGACGGCCGGGGTCGCTCTACTGTGCATGCATCACAACATAGGAAGTTGGGTGGATTTTCGAGCGTGCAAATAGGACATGTCCATGGCTGATCATATGCACGGCTATCGGATATGAGATCGGCCGGATCGGGTGGTGGTGGCGCTGGTGATGAAGTAGGGTGGCTGCTGCTCTCTGGAACCGGGGGAGGAGACGCAATAGATCGAGGTCCAGCTGGATTTCCTTGACTCGGCGGAATGTAAGAAGGACCATATCTTTCCCGTTCTTCTTGCTGGATCAACTCAATATAAGCTTGCATAATTGCCTGTTCGTTGGCATCATCCTCTTCTGCTTTGGTCCTAAAACCATTCTTGGAAGCCTCCTCAGCAAGATCGTTAGTATTCTCGCGGCCCGAGGCACAACCACTGGTCACGTCTGTCCGCCGCTGTGCAGCATCAGCGATTACCCTGCGCATGTCTGTTCCTCGTAGTACCGGTGCACCGCCTAATCTTTGCCCTGAACCCGCGGCAAGTTTCCGCCTCTGCTCTGCCGCTGCTCGAGCTTGTCTGCGAGCTTCTTCCATAGGTATCTTACGACCACCTAGTCTTCTGCCTTGCGAAAGGAACCCTTCTCCAGTATATCCCTTGATGACTAGCTCTTCATGCTCATCACGTAACTGGTTCCAGAGAGCATGGAAATTTCGGTTATGCGGGCCATGCACAATATGGCAGAGCCTATACAAGTTAGAAATGAATCAGACGCTAAAAGCCGCTTCACTCACTCATGCAACATAGTATCCACCACATGTTCCAAAGGTAGAAATTGGCACTGGTCAGAGGGATATCGTAATCTCAAACAGATTTTCTGACCAGCGTTCACATTCAAGCCCAAGAGGTTCCGCTGATGAGGATAAAATTCGCATAGTGTTCCTACTCGCCACGCCCGTTGTCGCATGATTGGTTTGACCAGCGAAGCAACTTTCCGAAGCATCAACAACGCTTCGGATTCTCTAGGGCGGTGTCTTTCATGTTGATACTCCGAGATGAGTGAATCGATCTCGCGCATCTTGATGGATTTATGAATACGGATTCGCGGAGAGTCAAAACAGGTACCCAAAGTATAAAGACTATCCCCGATAAAAATGCATCACTGCGGACGAACAGATAGTGGTACAATAGACACCGGGTCTGACTCGCAGCAGTCCCCCTCTCCCCAGGCTCAAATGTTCAGCAAATTCTTGATATCGCAGTCTGTAGCGGTAGAAAGTTGGGTGAAAGGATGATGCGCTGGAAGGAGATTATCGGCCCTTGATATAGACTATACCGTATTGGGTTTAGCGTGAAATAGATCTATGAGATTCACCTCTCTGACTGAACACGTCTTTCTCAGGCCTTTTAAGATTCTCAAATATTACTATCTTGCTAAGTTCTTCTAGGATTCATAGTAGAAGTCATAAAGAAACGAACAATAACCAATGTCTGCTCAGGTTTGCGTGGCTCTTTTCGAAATTAGCCGCACTGCGATATATATATAAACTGACGTTAGCACTAGTATAACTAACACCAAGAACCAATTCGGGAAATCTGTAGTTATGTAATATTACGAGATGAGACTTCTTGCTAGGTTGTTTTCCTTTCTGTTTATCGATCTGACTACCAGAGGTATGAAGAATGGCCGTACATACTCAATGGCGTAGCATGCAACGTGCTCATGTGACCCGCCGCCGTTATCAGCATAACTTTTTGTTATCGCCCCTCAAGCTCTGGCATCCACCAGCATCCGGATATCAAATCTCAACGATAATCCAAAATGACGAGTGACGACCAGTTTTTCTTCGACTACGTGGGTTCTAAGATGCCCCATCTCCAATCCAACCTGTGCTAACCTAGCGGTCTGCCATCCAGCTCGCTTCCATCCCCCATGACGTAAAGCGATACTCGCTCCAGGTCGCAAACTCCATCGACCGACAAGTCGACAGCGCTGCTACAACCCTTCGAGACTCGCTGTCACAACAGTCATGGCTTCCTTCATCCGTACGACCTTCGCGAAAAACCGTTGATGTCGTTCCAACGCGGTCGTTGACGGGTCGCGTGCAAGATTGGGTTATTTCAAATCGGGCGTTGAGTGCCTCCGCCTTGGCGTTTATCGGGACGACATGCGTTTTGTATTTTGGGAATAAGACGTTGAATGGGAAGCGGAGAAAGGCGAGGAGGGCTGGGAATGGTGCCCGGAAGGAAATAGTCGGTATGTTGTGAAGTTGGGTATGGGCTCTGGTTGGGAATGAGACTAAGTGCTGGGACAGTTATTGCCGGTTCACCCCACGACCCGATAGTGAAGTCGATTTCTTCAGACTTGGAGCGACGAGGATACATAGTTTATATTACAGTGTCGTCGGCAGAGGAGGAACATGTTGTTCAGTCGGAGAACCGGATAGATATCAGGGCACTTTGGCTCGATTTGACTACGGTAAGTCATCTTACACTGATTTGAGACGGAGCATACTGGCTGACCCTTTAGACGCCTCCATCGCCATCTGATATCCATCCGTCCTTACGAGGAATCCGCTCCTTGATCACACAGCCTCAGTTCCCCATGCCTGGTGTGCCACCACACACTTGCCAGCTGAGTGGTCTCATCGTGATTCCTTCGTCCCACTACGAACATGGCCCCGTGGCCACGATCCCCCCGTCTACCTGGGCCGATACGGTCAACACCCGAATTCTCTCCCCGGTGTTGGTGACCCAGCTCTTCCTGCCCCTCCTCACGCTGCGCAGCAGCCCTAGCAACATCGTCCTCGCCTATCCCTCGATCTCATCCTCGCTTTCCGCACCCTTTGCAGGTCCCGAAGTTGCAACAGCGCGTGCCCTGTCAGGGTTTGCAACATCTCTTCGAACGGAACTTAGTCTTCTGCAAAATGGAAACGTGAGCGTGGTGGAACTGAAATTGGGCAACCTGGATCTAGGGTCGTCTCGACCTCAGAGCCGTGTTGCAGGGACGGAAACTCTGGGTTGGAATGCTCAGCAGCGCGCTCTGTACGGATCTCAGTACCTATCCAGCATTGAACAGCGGCCGGTGGCATCCGCAGGACCAAGTGCGGTGCGAGGATCCCCGGCACGTCACTTGCACCACGCGGTACTTGAGGCATTGGAGCCGCCGTCGAAGAATATCTTCGGACAGAAGACGTCGAAAACGACGGTGGTGTATGCTGGCCGGGGAGCGCGTATGTATGGTGTGATTGGGGCGTTGGCACCGGGCGGCTTAGTAGGATGGATGCTCGGGCTTCGCAGTGGATACGCGACTGCGGGCGATGGGATGAGTGGAAGCTTCCATGAGGCGAGTTGGGAAAAGGTTTAGTGTTTAATTCTTTTTTATTTCTTGCTTTCTTGTTCTTGGCTGGGCACTGTATGCATTATGGGTAATTGAATCTTCACTCAGGTTATAGCATTCACATTGCGTAGAATACTACCAGTACGCGAGTCATTCTGCAACGGACACCGTTTGGATGTGACTCGGAAGCCAATTGCTAGTCCCAATCTGACACAATGGCAAGATCCAGACCCGTTTCCACCGTTTAGAGACCCGGTGGAAATGACAAAAGGAGCATCTGGGCCGACTGTTGACCCCACTGTATGGATTCTAGGTTGGACTCTCAGCATACAATTCCAAGAATTCAGAGCTTGTAGTCAACAGATCTAGAGAGCAAGTAGTACAAAGATTAGTATATCGGAAGCCATGATAATCTATAAATCCAGTCCCTTGCAGGATCTGACCGTGTATAACATTGTTATGTGATCTTTATACGCGGAAAATTTCGCACGCACCAGAAGCAGTGGACCGGCGCCAAGGCTGGCCCAGATGAGGATATTCATTTCCATAATAAGCACAGACGACGTTGAGAAGAGACCATATTCTCTGTATTTGTATTCTGTACAGAGTAGAGATGCTTCAATGCTCTCTACTACTATCTATAGCAATAATGTAGAACAAAGTAAGCAAACAATAAACAAGCGCCTAGCAAACATAGATCCCGGTACTATCAGCGTTGTCGACACTATATAAAAACCAGGGAGAGAGAGTCAAAAAAAAAGATACCCCTGAAACGGTCCCTTGCCTGTTTTTTTTTCCCTTTCTTCTCTTCTTACTTTGGACTCCGCGTGGAGCAAAAACTGTCAGTCGATCGTCAGGGCGGGAGAATTTCTTTGTTTCCATTGCTGTGTGTTTGTCTCTCTGTCTCTCCTCCCCTCTCCTCTCCTACTTCGACTCTCTTCCACCTTCCATCGATTGTCCATCATCTCAGCCCACCATGACTGGCTGCTGATTTTCATCTGATTCTATTCTATTCTTATCATCTTCACCCATTGATCTTTTATATTCTGTTTTTTTTGCTCTCCACGCCTGGTTTGCTGTGTGGAGCGTCCGCTCTCTCTCTCCTCTCCCAGGGCTGTCGTTCATTTCTATTCCGCCCTCCTAAAACCGCATCCCCCCTTTCGCTTCATCCGGCCCAATTGATCGATTTCGTCCTCCAGATGCAAATCGCTTCGATTACTTCTCATTAGATTTCGTGTTTCTGGGCTATTACGACTGATTGTTCTCTCGCGTGCTTGAATTGCTTCTGCGGAGACCTACCGAGAAGGGGAACGTCACAACTGATATAAACCATCGACTCGCTTTTCGAATTGGGAAAGGCAACTGGAAGAACGAAGGAAATAAATATACTGGGTTATTGAGATGTCCTATCGTCCCAACATGGGGGAAATTCGTTCCCCCTCTCACGACACTCTCCGGAGTGGCATCCCCTCACCACGCATCGAACACTATGACGGCGAAGTCCCTCCCGCTCTGTCACCCCTCGATGCGTTTGCCGCTCAAGGTCGTCTACTCGCAAGACAGTTGGAAGAGTCCGCACGGCGGGATCGTCGTCTGAGCAGGTTACCACCCTCTAGCGTAGCTCGTTCCTTATCGCGGCCCCGACCGGGTTACTTTCGATCGCTCTCTGGGGATACTTCCACCAACGCTGAGGGCAACCTTGAACGTCGTCCCACGCAGAAGATCAACACCGAAATTGAAGAGCAGAATTTCCGTCCCGTGTCGGAGCATCCGCGCTTCAGTAGTGTTTCCAATGCCTACACCGAGGCCAGCGAGTATGAGGATGACGATGTCACTATTGACGATGACAGCACTGCGACTCCCAAGCATGGTTCGACTATTCTTTCCAGCTTCGAGGTACCGCGGGCAGAATCGCCTGAGGAGGACCTCTCATTGCATGGAATGCCCGATCAAGGACCCCGTCGCTTCTATGCTGCCGCAGCAGCAGCACCGCCGGCAGTGGGCGTCTCGTTGGCGGCCCCGTCTATGAATTCATCCACTGATTCGGCTTCGTCGCGACTCTTGATTCCACGCAGCCTGGCCCCGCCCGGTTCTCCCATGTCTCGTCCATCCAGCAGCTCCAGGGCCCAGCTAGAAAGCTCTGATGATGACTACAGCAGCTCTAATGGCGGGTCCACCTTCTCTCAGCCGCCGCGGAAGCTGTCGTCCAGCAGCGCTATGTCCGGACCGCACTCGCCCATGTCCACCACTGCTGCCCCAGTGCCCCGTGGGAAACCCCGATCTCCGTCCCAGAGTTCCGAGGCTTCGAATAACGGTGGCCGCCTCCAGCGTCCTTCGCTCAACTTTTCGCGTCCCATGAGCCGGTCCAGCACGAATCTCTCCGCATCTGCAATGGCAAGCTCCGAACAGTTGCATGTCTCGGGCAACCGAGCATCTATTGAGCGAGGCCACAAACCAGGCCCGATTGTCGTTCCGACGTCGACAGAAGCGACTACTCCGTCCACAGAGGAACCCTCATCAGCCCTGTCAGCCTCATACACTTATGCCAAGTACGCCCTCCCTCGGGGTCGTCAAATGGGCAGAGATTCCGTCGTCTTTGCCGGTCTTCAGACGCCCAATTTCGAATGGAAAGAGCCCTTGTTCGAGAGTCCGACTAGTGAGCATCCACCAGAGCGATCCGCACGCACACCGTCTCCACCTCCCTCGAATCAGGAGGCAGTGCCGGCTCCCAAGGCCCGGTCGATGTATGAAGCCTCCATTTCTGATCGCCAGCTGTTGACGCCGGAGCCTGTGGCGCCATCGCGGCGCTCTCCATCGCCTGACACAGCAGCAGCCAGCAGACTCAGTCCGAAGGCCAACAAGAGCGACGCGGCATCGTCTACTGGATCGAGTAACACTCTTCGACCACAGACAGCCCGGTCCAACGACTCCGCTAACCCGGTGTCCGCTCCTGTCACGGCGGACGACCATCTGGCCGTGGGCATCCAATGCCACGAAAAGGGATCTCTTAACGAGTCCACCTACCACCTTCGCATTGCGGCCAAAAAGGACCACCCCACGGCCATGTTCCTTTATGCGTTGGCCTGCCGTCATGGCTGGGGTATGCGTCCCAATCAACGGGAGGGTGTCCGGTGGCTGCGGAAAGCAGTGGACTCCGTTGGTCTGGAGTTGATGGGCGACAGCAACACCCCTGTACCAGCGCGATTCCGGGAAATGCAGAAGGCTTATCGTGCACAATTCGCTCTGGGAATTTACGAGCTTGGTGTGAGCCATCTCAATGGTTGGGGTATTGAGCAAGATAAGATTTTGGCTTTGCGTTGCTTCGAAATTGCCGGCCAGTGGGGAGACGCTGATGCGCTGTCTGAGGCTGGTTACTGCTACGCTCAAGGTGTGGGATGCAAGAAGGATCTGAAGAAAGCCGCCAAGTACTACCGCCAGGCCGAGGCCAAAGGTGTCAACATGGTTGGAAATAGCTGGTAAGTATTATGGTTGTTCCATGTATGCTTGAATTTACTAACGCGAACGTTACAGGATTTACAAAGATAAATACATGTCGGACGACGAACCCAGCGATCGGTCGCGTGGACGACAGGCTGGGACATCGGATAAGAAATCTCGTGGTCGCAGTAAATCGCGAACTCGCAGTCTTTTCCACCGGAAAAAGTCGGGTGCAGCTGAAGCATAGACTTTCGCTTGCAGTTTTTATTCTAGGTACGACTGTTGGTTGATGCCAAACTGTCTTGACCTTGCATTCGTTGTGATTTTTCATTTCATACAGCGTCCGACCCTCTGACACTCCCTTAATATTGGTTTTTTTTTTTTTTTTTTTTTTTTTTCCTTTCAATTGCTTTTGCCATTTGCTATTCATGCATATGCTTTTCCTTATGCGAACCTGCAGAGTGAGCTTTTGAGCTTTTGCTTCATTGTGTTTACTTTTGCTTCTTACACTCCTTTGCACCTTGACAGCCACTTGCTCTTTTTTCTTTTCTTCTTTTCTCTTATTGTTTGAATTCGAGCAGGACTTGCAATCTGCTCTCGGTCCGTGGATGGTTCTATACTATCTGCCCTTTGGGCGCCATAATTCTCTTCTTACTGGATACCCCTTATCACCCATGAGTGAGGTCTTAATTTCTAGTCACTCTCTCTGTTTCTTTCTGTTCATTATTACTTTGACCTTCTTCGAGTGTTGCTGTCATAGGCTGCTCTTTTTCATTTCACTTCTCTGTTTTCCCTTCTGCTGCCTTTTGGTTGTTTATTTTTGTCCAATCTAGCTGTGTGGTCCATTCGCAGAGATCATATTTGATGATACTCATGACAATCTCATCATAATTGCATCGCTCTTCTTGCATCATTTTGTGCTTTTGGGTCTTTTGAATATATACAGCAGCCTTCCGGCTTGTTTTTATTGGGATATTTTAGGATACTTGAGTATTGGATTTGGTCATTTTAAGTTTGGGGAGAAACGCCACAGTAGCATCGGTGTATTTGGCTTTGATAATATTGGTTTGAATATATCCCTCAGCCTTGTATACGACTCGAAAAACCCGGGGCAACAATCGGGGAAATCTCGCTTGACAAGTCTCAAATCCTTTACAGACTGAAAAATGCGACAGACAACGGCTGTTACAGATTAGGACCAACTCCGCATTTTGCAAGATCTCAATTCTGGTCCCATGGGCTTTCTCGATTTGATTCGCCTGCGATACCCTGAATTTTTGCCTCTCACACCCCTCGTTGCCTCTTCATCAGTGCCCATCCCGGCTGTTCCGGATGAAAGACCTAATGCGGCATATATTAAAAATGATTGTCATGGCTGCTGATGATATTATAGGAGATTTTCGAGTTCTAGGTGGTATCGCATGGGTGGTTCCTTGTGCTCGAGGGTTTCACGATATTCAATAGTATGACCGACTAAAGCTACGAGCTGCAGGGCCCCAGGATGCAACCCTAAAGAAATACCAACCCCGCTTTGCTTTGAAGATTGGCGTTTGCCAACCAAGCATCCCCTAGCCCTGCAGGAATAGGATAGGCTCATGCGCGTCTTCCTTCTGGCGTATTATTTCTTCGACCCTTTATTAGAAGAAAAAAGAAAGAACAATGGACAAACGCAAGAAAGTTAGGAGTCTAAATAAGCAGTCGGGGGTGTACTATTATGTTTTGGGACCGATCTCCGTGAGACTGACACAAACTACTCGGGAGATAATCCATGGGTTTTTTCTTTCTTTCTTTTTCTTTTTTCTTCGCGCCTATTTTGGTGGCTATTTGCATGTGAGGGCCCTGCGTTTTCTTTCAGGTTTCGGCAGGTACCTGACGCTGGTAGATATTTAGGGTCCGGGGTTCCTGTCTCATTATTTATTGAAGCTTCTCATACAGGTCATTCGTTTTATCTCTCTTCTTGTTTCCTTCTTCTTGCCTTCTTTCTTTCGGTTTTAAGCCTTAATTATTGGCCGGTGGAACTGTATTGATTTGTTCTTTGTTTCTGTTCCGCCCCTTGGCGATTATACTCGAGAGCTGCAGATATTCTGTACTCTGGTCGATAGGTCAACCGGTGTTCAACCTGCATTGCAGTCTTCGATACTAGAGGAGGACCTGTATATCGGCACGAGGCAGACTGGTCAGTCGAAACAAATCCCGTCAGAGACGTGGGACTCGGGTCATTTTGGAAGTGGGCGAGCTGACAGGTAGCAAGCAGTGTATACTCGAAACCAGCCGAATAACCAGAAACCATGACCGACGGAAAAACAACAGAATTCTCCCAAATGGACCTTCCAGCACCGAAGCCCAGCGTGGGTGCTCGGATTAAAGCCCACCTCAAGAAGTGGTGGTGGGTGCATGTCATCATTATAGTAGTGGTGGTTTTGGTGGTTGCCCTTCCAGTGTATGTCGATGTTGATGTTACCCAATGACAAATCAAGTCAAGCGGGGGTAGGATACTGACGGTTTCACAGGATCTATGTCGGTTACCCAAAGATCGCACGAAACGACGTGAACAAATCAACCCTGAACGTCACGAGCATGGCCATCACCGACCCATCCCCGGGATCGTTCCACCTGAAGCAGACGCAGGTCATCGGGTCTAGCAGCGCATTCAAACCAACAATATTTGGCTTCTCGGCTGCCGTATCGTTGCTCGGGGCTGTGCCTTGGGGTAACGCCCAGGTGCCGGATGTTAAGGCTGAGGATGGAGCGGTTGTGCACATAGAGGAACAGATCAAGCTCAGCAATGAGACTGCGTTTGGGGACTTTGCAAAGGCCGTTTTGCTGAATGAGGAGTTTGATATGAATATTTATGGGGAGCCGAAGTTGCAGGAGGGGGCTTTGCCCAAGGTGGATGTGACGTACAACAAGACTGTCACTATCAAGGGTGGGTGTCCTTTATCCGCGGTCCCTAGCGAATTGTAGCTAATGCGATGTGGCAGGCCTGAACAAGTTGAACGGATTCGACATTACCGACTTCAAGATCCTGACCAAAGATGCAGCCGACGGAACCAACACGGAGGGAACAGTGTATATTCCCAACCCGACCGTCATGGCTCTCACCTTGGTATGTCCGACTTTATACCGATGATATAGATCCATATTAACAAACGCAGGGCAACGTTACGATGGACCTCTCCTCCAACGGCACGCACATCGGTCAAGCTTTCCTGGACGACCTCATCCTCAACCCAGGCAACAACACAGTCCCGATGCGATCCACCGTCAACAAACTTAAAGTCATCACCATGCTTCCGTCGAATTCGATGCTCCCCGTGGATATCCGCGGCAACTCTAGCGTGTACCATGGCCGCGACCTGCCGTATTTCTCCGAGGCATTGGCGGCGAATGAGCTCCGTACGACGTTGGATGTTGGAAAGGGATTGATGAATGGGATGTAGCATTGTACTCCGTAATAATGGGTATTTCTTTTGTGTTTTCTATGAGTCTTTTAATCGGGGATGGGATTATATTACGTTTGGGTTTTGGTGTTAATTATATAGAAGGGCTTGGCAGTGGATATCATTGATATGCTTATCTTGGCTGATATCAGTTCTCCAATTGTGCCTGATTTTGAGATCTTGGCGCTTTCAATTGATTGTTGTAACTCAATGACTATGTATAGTCACTAGAGAACTACATGGGCTTCCAAAGCATACAATTGAATTGGTCAGACCATACAATATAATTCTCAATTAACCATATAATGCACCTCATAAAAACCGGGGTGACAAGGTTCCTGTACCTGATACTACCCCAACTTGGCTTCTCCAACTCGTCTCCAATCGCCCTATATTAAACCAAGTTAAACCACCGATTATCATCGACCATACTGCAAAGAGGAATCGCGGGTTCTATCGGCTTGCCAATGTCCACTGCCTCACCCGATCCCGGGCCGGTTTCTCTTAGCTTCTTGGGGGCACCGATTCCTGGGTCGATACGGAAGTAGCGAAGCACTATGTAGATACGAAGTACCGGGATGGGTATATAAAGGAAGCCACCCGGGTCGTCACTGATCCAGGAACGACTTACTCTTGACAAGAAAAAGGAAAAGAAGGATAAGCAATATGGTCCTCTTCAAGAACACCGCCGTTTGTGCCTCTGCCCTTTTGGCTGCCACGGCCTCTGCTACGCCTGTTGTTCATTACCCCCGGGCAGCCAACAGCTCTGCCTTTACCAACTCGAATGGTCTGAAGTTCACGCACTTCAACCAGTCCCTCCCTAACGTGACTATCCTCGCAACTGGTACCCCACCCTCACCCCCTCCAACAACCCCAATCGGACTACAAAAGACTAACGAAGAACAGGAGGAACAATCGCCGGTACCAGCCCCGACAAAACCGCCACAGCAGGCTACGAGTCCGGCGCCCTGGGCATCAACCGGCTCCTCAACTCCATCCCCGAGGCCTTCGACATCGCCAACGTCGCCGCCGTGCAAGCCACCAACGTCGGCAGCGGCGATGTCTCCTCCTCCCTCCTCCTCAACCTCACACACACCCTGCAGACGACGGTCTGCGATGACCCCAACATGTCCGGCGCAGTGCTCACGCACGGCACAGACACCCTCGAGGAATCCGCCTTCTTCATCGACGCCACGGTTAACTGCGGAAAACCCATTGTCTTCGTCGGCTCCATGCGTCCCTCCACAGCCCTTTCTGCAGACGGCCCCATGAACCTCCTGCAAGCCGTCACCGTCGCCGCAAACGAGGACTCCAAGGACCGCGGCGCAATGGTCGTGCTCAACGACCGCATCGCCTCCGCTTTCTTCGTCACCAAGACCCAGGCAAACACTGTCGACACCTTCAAGGCCATGGAGATGGGCAACTTGGGCATGATAGTCTCTAACGAGCCGTATTTCTTCTACCCACCTGCGCAGCCTAGGGCTAAGGTGGAGATCGATGTCTCCGGTATCGACAAGATCCCGCGCGTGGACATCCTCTACGCGTACGAGGATATGCAGACTGACCTGCTGTATGCGGCTGTTGAGCACGGTGCTAAGGGTATCGTGGTCGCTGGTGCTGGGGCTGGTGGTGTGTCGAGTGACTTTGACACTGCTATTAATGACATTGTCAAGAACAAGAGTATCCCTGTTGTTAAGAGTCATCGGACTGTTAACGGGGAGGTGCCTACGTCTGGTATTACGGGTGATGCCGCGGAGTACCAGATTGCTAGTGGGTTCTTGAACCCGCAGCAGTCGCGGATTCTGCTGGGATTGCTTTTGGCGGAGGAGAAGGGTGTTAAGGAGATTCGGGGGGTGTTTGAGAAGGCAGCAGCCGCTTAATTGGGTTGTAGAGTTGGACATAGATTTATATAGTAATAGACTAGAAAAGTTATGGTATAGAATAGAACATCAATCTAATGAATACAAACGAACGTCGAAATTTCAGCATGCCGCCATTTTATCCTCAACGTACAATTACATCTCATGCAACGTGTTGTACCCCGTCTCAAGCAAACTCCTCGGCCCCCGTGCATCTGCCGCCATATGCCAGTAAAACAGCCCTCCTAATTTCAGTTTCGTCGCGAATTTGGCTTTCTGCTGGACCGTCCGTGGTGTATCATATGTCACAAAACCGCCGTCCCCTCCAGAGCAATATGCAGCCCCGGCTTTGTCATCGTGATGTTCCTTGGCTCCGGGACGCGGCAAATCGGCATAATCAAACACTCCGTCTTCTCCACCAGTGCCAGAGTACGACTGACCAGCCTTACTGCTACCCAAAAATGACCGTCCGTATGCGGGAATTCCAAGGAGGAGTTTCTTAGGCTCCACGCCTTGGGATAGGACGTAATTAACAGCTGACTGACCAGAATGACCACCGCCCCGTGCGTAAAGCTGTGCCTGGTGCCCGGTTTCGTTCGTCCATGGACCGGAGAAATCGTATGCCATAATATTAAGCAAGTCTAGGTATTGCGAAGCTTTGCCGAGATCAATGTTGCGAAGTGCCCATTGGCCCGCGGGAAGACATGTGGCCAGCACATATCGTGGAGCGGGTAGGACCTCGCGCAGTCGAGCGAGCATGTTGACATAGTAATAGCCTTCTTGCGGGTTTGCGGGGTGTTCCCAGTCGACTAACTCTTATTTAGCACACTATATTCACAATGATGAGTTGATGGGAACTTACTGTCAATCCCGTCCAGACCGAATTGATCTACCAATTCCCTCGCTGTCCGGACAAAGGTGGCCAGACGGGATTGGCTCTGAGCCACCAGCGCAAAGTTCTCACTCCCTTTTCCTCCGCCACCAACTGAGAGGATGACTTTCATTTTAGAATATTGCGGTTTTAATTGTGTGAAGGCACGAATGCAGCCGTTGGTCCCGTCGATTGGCATTTGCGCATCTGCCCACTCATCGCTCAGCTGTACCAGTTAGCCGTGTATACTCGTACTTATCCGAGCAAAGTGGACATACATAAATTGTGCCATCTTCCTTGACCCTGGTCAATTGAGAGTTAGTACTTATTGTTTGTGTACTCCGTAGTATAGTAGCACTTACCAAGCAAACGCGTAAAAGACATGCGAGACGAATCCCAATCTCAGGGACGAAGGAGGCTGCTTCCGATAAATCCTCCAATTCGGGTAATAAGCTGCATTCGCATAGACCGGGATCTCATAAGAGCTGCTGAACTTGCTGGAGCGTTCTGCCGCTTTGCGACGCCAGTGGGGGAAGAGGCCGGATAGCATATCGTAGTGGGACGGGTTGGACCACTCAATTCAGATAGGGAATGGTGATAGCAATTGAAAAGGACAAACTGTCTTTAAAGATTAGAATGCTGAGAATGAAGAATCCTGAAGGAAGAGAAGGAAACGACCCGTACTTGCCCAATACAGACGTCACGTGTGGGAATGATGCTCTTTTTGTTTTCTTTTGGCCTCCCGTTTTGCTTTTTCGCTCGACTTTATTTATAGCCTGACAAACCGTTGGTGCTGATTCGAAATAACACGCAGCAGAATGGTTGATGAAGGAAAAAGAAAAGAAAAAACTAGGGAATTAAAAAAAGGTTTCTAGTTCTGTCATTCACGTGCAGGCCTGAAATACTAATCCCCCGCCCTTCAGCTCGTCCTTCTACGCCCTACACGGCAGGCAGAAAGACAGCACTCCACGCATGCATTACATGTCAGGCAAGGCTGTTTATTGTTTTTGCGTCATCTACGGGGTACAGGGACGGCTATTGTGATCGCCAACTTTCCCGGATGAGAGACAAATGCTCGAACCCCCGCTCCCGCTCAACTCTACCTCAGTCGTATACAGAGTAGATGCAGGGCCCCAGGATTGTGATGTGACCGTGGTTATTGAACGATTCAAAGCTTGGCCGGGATAGTCCACAGGCATCAGTGCTGGGATAATGCTACTATTTCTGTACAGAATCTCACTCTGGTGAATAATCTCGTGGCGATAGATGTCACTTTTCTTTTTCTCTCAGCCTCAATTCGAATTACCGGATGTGGATCTTTTCTGGATGCTTACGGAAACAACGGCGTGTTGGGAGACATCAAGTCACCCTGTGAGAGAACAGACATTACTCAGACCATCTTGACCGGACCGGCTGATCGTGATTTGAAAGGACTCAGACCAGAGTCTCAGATCGCAACTAAATGAATTAGTGAACCTATGAGAGCCCCCAAAAGCCAAGCCAGTGGTGACTCTGTGGGAATTGGCTTTTCTAAAAAGGTGTGTTTGCTTTTTCCTGCTTATTTCTGCTGCGCCTCGTTGGAAGAGGGAGACGCGATGTCGACGGTGTGGGGATAATGCAGGCCATGGACTAACGATTTGCATCCCCGCAATGGCTGAAATCGCAGTGCGCCTAACGGAGCATGGAGGACGCCGTACGGTACTTTTACCTGCACGAACATACCACGTTGCGTCTACTGTTGCGCGAATCTGCGGTCAATGCTGGGAATAGAAAGAGAATGAAAAGGGTAGACCGGGACTGTCAATTTACGTCGTCGCTAAGGTCGTGGCTTGATGCCATGGCCTGTGCATCGATAATCTATTGGCCACCACACTAATGATATTGCAGTGGAAACTTGGCAGAAAATCAGAATCGGTGGCAGGCAGCCTGTTGAGTCTGTCGGATTTGTCAGGTGTATTTCTGTTAACTAGTTAAGTTACTCGTCCAGAGCATACTTCTATGAGAACCATCAATTGGGCGACACGGCACCGCGCCGGACACACTCCGGAGCACTCCATACAGGTACTGTTCCTCTATAGGTATTTGATACCCTGTGATATCCTGTAAGGTGAATACACCAATCCATAAGCCCAATGCATCAACACGAATCGGGATTACTAGGCTCGTACTCCATACAGTACTTTTGGTGATCGCCCGAAGGCAACTGACCATGTCGGTATGTTGGGGCGACCTGAGGATGTCAACCAGGCTTCACGGCTCATAGTGTGGGATGACACTCTGTAGCGCGTGCCGTTTAGGATTCCATCAGGTTCTTAAGGAGACAGGTATATAAGACCGAAAGGGAAATCTGGCATTTATGCCTGAAGAACCTGGCAGAAACCTTTAATATATGTGATTGGCTGCCAGAGACTTGCTATTCGATTTGCCACCGCCTTCCGTAACGACACTACTGCCTAATAATTAAGGCTACGATTAATCCTGTCACTGCTGCTGTCCTTTCATCTTGTTTTCTATCACAGCTCTGTTTTTCTGATTGTGTGCAAAATTTGACCTTAACTTACTGTTGCCCCTCTTGTGCCTGTATTGGTTAAATTTTTATTACAATAATTATTTGGCAGAAAAGCCCAATTCGACTTTGCGCGGTGCTATCGCTACGCGGCTCCCTCTAGCTTTCCGCATCTCACGAGCACTTCCACCTTCCACACCAGAAGAATCATCATGGCAGCAGACGTTGGCTATGCGGCCTCCAGCATCCTGTCGACGGACAATGCCCGCGACCCCGAATCCAACGATTTCTCCTTCACCCCGTTCCTCCGGAATAGTTTCGGCTTCGGTCTCGCCAGCGACGTCCCTGTCTGCAAAGCCTACAGCGAAGGCCACTGTCCTCTAGGGCCTGCCTGTCCAGATCGCCATCCCACTCCGACACGCGTTACCACATCCACGACTACGGCGTCAGGTCTCGCCCCTTCGACTACACACGGCTCGCTCGTTTGCAAGCATTTCCTCAAGGGGCTCTGCAAGAAAGGCCTGAAATGCGAATATCTACACGAATACAACCTTCGGCGGATGCCGGAATGCCAATCTTTCACGCGATCCGGATACTGCCCCAACGGCGATGATTGTCTATACCAACATGTACGGGAGAACGCTCGCCTTCCACCATGTGAGAACTACGACCAAGGATTCTGCGAGTTAGGTCCGCTGTGCGCGAAGCGCCATGTCCGACGACGTCTGTGTCAGTATTACCTTGCCGGGTTCTGTCCGGACGGTAGAGCGTGTCCCGATGGTCATCCGCGTTGGAACGAGCATTTGCCAAGGCCGTCATTGCGGGTGGAGAAGACGGAGGAGGAGTTGGAGCGGGAACGATCTTTAATTCGGGATGAGCAGGAACGCGAAAGGGAGAGGGAGCGTGAGTGGAGGAATGAACGGGGTCGGGGAGGTGGGTTTATGCGTGGTCGGTTTCGGGGTCGGGGGCGCGGCTGAGTGGGTTCTGGTTGTATGTATGGAGAGCAGCATAGCTTGCAGATTGATTTCATTTAGAGATACCCAGAAATTGACTTTTGATGCTCTACTCTATGCTACCTTGGAGGAATACCATGCCACTACTATTTTCGGAAGATGAGGAGTCTGTTCATGACATCATGGCGGCACCGCGTGCGAACAGCTAATTCTTAGCCATCATTCCATAATCTCATATAAGCGCCAGTAAGCTGAGAAGAGCAGGGACAGACCGCATATGCCATTGTCAGATCATCCGTAATAATCCCCAATCCCGAGTTTGCTATGCTGAATTGCCGTTTCGGTCCATTTGTCAGATATCTGTAAGAATCAACTAACCCCTCGTGCCGCATCTGATTGGTCAACCATCAAGCTCTGGAACCAGTTGGAAGTGGGTAGTGGGGGCATCTGTAATCGATTACTGAGCTTCTCTTTTTCACTGCTGCTGTACACTAATATTAACACAAGATGAGGGGCTCCCTATATATCATGGGTCGTCCGCCCTTCTTTTTCTTCTCTTCTCTCCTCTATCCCCATCATCCACTTTAATTCTCCTCAATTGCTCCGTTGAGATACTATACTAGTCACCATGGCTCCCAAGGTTGCTATTGTCTTCGTATGTTGGACCCTGTCTCTCTCTGCTTACCTTCCTCGCTGACCCGATCTAGTACTCGCTGTACGGCCACATCGTCCAGCTGGCCGAGGCTGAGAAGAAGGGTATCGAGGCTGCTGGTGGCCAGGCCGACATCTACCAGTAAGTTGATACTCAAGTTCAGTCGCACTCCAACGCCAAAGCTAACAACTCAATAGGATCCCCGAGACCCTTCCCGAGGAAGTCCTCACCAAGATGCACGCTCCCCCCAAGTCCGCCCACCCCATTGCTACCCCCGACGACCTCCTCCAGTACGATGCCGTCCTCTTCGGTATCCCTACCCGTTACGGTAACTTCCCCGCTCAGTGGAAGACCTTCTGGGACCGCACCGGCGGTATTTGGGCCACTGGTGGCTTCTGGGGCAAGTACGCCGGTCTGTTCGTCTCCACTGGTACTCTCGGTGGTGGCCAGGAGTCGACCGCCATTGCTGCCATGAGCACTCTCGCCCACCACGGCTTCCTCTACGTCCCTCTGGGCTACAAGACTACCTTCGCTCAGCTCTCGAACCTGACCGAGATCCACGGTGGTAGCGCCTGGGGTGCTGGTACCTTTGCTGTAAGTTCTTTTTCTCTATTGGGGTGGATAACCGAGATGCTAATATGTCATAGGGTGCCGATGGCTCTCGCCAGCCCACTCCCCTCGAGCTCGAGATCGCCGAAGCCCAGGGCAAGGCCTTCTACGAGCACGTTGCCAAGGTCAACTTCGCGTGACTGCATGGCGGCGGCGAGTCGAAGCCCGAGGAGTCCAAGTCTGAGCCTACAGCTCAGCCGGCTAAGAAAGAGACTGCCCAGCCTGCTTCGAACAGCCAGCAGCAACAAGGCACTCAGCAGCAAGAGGAGAAGAGCAAGGAGGGGCCTTGTGGTCTGCCTAGGAAGTGTACTATTCTCTAATTGGGCTTTTTGATCAAGATACCCCTTTGCTCTTTGTTTCTGTCTGTTTGTTCTTGCTTTGGCCTCTGTTATGAGGATATGATAATATTGATATATCATCTCAGTAAATTTAGTAAATCAAATGCATACGCTGTTTAATAAGGAAAAGAGTCTGGAGCAAACCATTTCGTAGCTGTAGTAGCAAATACCATAGCATGCCTTAGGCACTGTGGCGGCGGGGCGTATTGTAAGGCGGTGTATCACCGGCGATGACGATAGAGCTCTCCGTCTGCCTTCATTTCTCACAGCTTGACATCTTCTATCATGATTCCATGAAATACCCTTTCTTTTATTTGATCTGCCATTGAAATTCGCGAAATCCTTCACAGTATATATTCCTGCAACCCCCTCTCCTCCTAAACACCCTCCAACATGGCCTCTAGGCCGATCGTCCTACGATTTGAAAGCCGCAACGGCCAGTTCCGCTTGAACGTCAGCCCAGAGGAGCAGTTCCCATCATTACAGCAGAAGGTACGGCTCTCCTGCTCAGTATTGCGCTCGCGGGGAGAGATGTAAGGTTGATCGATGGGTTGCTGACTTTCATTGGTGGTCAGATTGTCGAGAAACTACCCCAAGACGTCGAATCTGCGTCGATTGCCCTTTCCAACAAACCGATCGGAACCGGTGGCGATGAGAGGCTACTAAATACTTTGGAGGGTGTCTCTGTTGGGCAGGTTGGCCTCAAGTGAGTCTTCACGCGGGCGAGGAGGAAGTGATGCGGTGTGCTGATACCTGGGAAGCCATGGAGACAAGCTTTTCCTTGGTTATCAAGACAAGTCTTCACAGCAGGGAAATGCCCAGTCTGATACCACCCAGCGTCTGAACGGGGCCCCTCTGACACAGGAAGAGACGATCAGTATCCGCCCGCAAGCGATCAAAAACCCGTGGGAGGTCGTTAAGCAATCGCCGCTCGATAACAACTTGGACAAGAAAGATGGAAAGATTCCTCGCAACCGGGATGCGAAAATGTGCAGGCACGGTCCTAAAGGTATGTGCGACTACTGCATGCCCCTCGAACCCTACGATCCGAAATACCTAGCCGAGAAGAAGATCAAGCATCTATCGTTCCACTCATACCTGCGCAAAATCAATGCCGCCGCCAACAAACCCGAATCCGGGAGCTCCTATATGCCACCTCTCAACGAACCGTTCTACCGTGTAAGACAAGACTGTCCGTCCGGTCACCCGCAATGGCCTGAGGGGATTTGCACCAAGTGTCAGCCGAGCGCGATCAGTTTGCAGCCTCAGGAATTCCGGATGGTCGACCATGTGGAGTTTGCTACACCGGATTTGATTAACAAACTTCTGGACTTCTGGCGGAATTCGGGGGCTCAGCGGTTGGGTTTCCTCTACGGTACCTACGAGGAGTACACAGAAGTTCCACTTGGGACCAAGGCAGTGGTGCAAGCCATATATGAGCCGCCTCAGGTGAACGAGCTTGACGGTGTGACAGTTCAGGAATGGGAAGATGAGAAGGAGGTGGATGAAGTTGCGCGTATGTGTGGTCTTGAAAAGGTTGGAATTATCTTCACAGATTTGTTGGACGCTGGTCAAGGAGACGGGACTGTGGCTTGTAAGCGCCATGTGGACTCCTACTTTCTCTCGTCTCTGGAAATTGCTTTTGCTTCCCGGCTGCAGGCTCAATATCCAAAACCAACGAAATGGAGCCGGACTGGCCGCTTTGGTTCGAATTTCGTAACCTGTGTGCTCAGCGGTGATGACCAGGGAGCCATTACGATTAGTTCCTATCAGGCTTCGGTCTCAGCGGTCGAGATGGTGCGAGCAGATATCATCGAACCCTCCGCAGAACCATCTGTCATGCTCGTGCAGTCAGAAGACGACAACCCCGACAACAAAGCACGGTATATCCCCGAGGTTTTCTACCGACAGATCAACGAATACGGCGTAAGCGCTCAGCAGAACGCGAAGCCATCTTTCCCAGTGGATTTCCTTCTGGTCACCCTCACGCACGGTTTCCCAACGGTACCATCGCCTCTCTTCCTCGAGAACACCTTCCCTGTCGAGAATCGCGCGCTTGTTGGCGAGAGCCAGGAGTTGAGTCATATTGCCAAAAAGCTAGTTTCCAGTGGTGATCCCGCTAAGGTGGTTCTCGCTGTATCTGACTTCCATCTTCTATGCTTCCTTCATTCTTTGTCCACGTTTAGCAAGGTAAGGCGACACATAGGGCAGGACTGCGTGGGTTTTCGCTAACATACATGTTTCCACTCCAACAGGACGAAGAAGCCCTCCTTTGCCGCGTTGCTACATCCCATTCCCCCTCAGAGGGCCTCCAACTGATCAACACCCCCGGATGGGCGACTTTGGTTACAATCCTTCAGGAAAGTGGTGAGCGCCCCCCTAAGCGGCCCCGGTCACCTCCTCGCCCATTCCCACCTTCTATCAGGTCCCAGTCACCAAAGACAGAAAGCGATCAGCTTGCTAAGAGGTTCAAGGGAGCTAGCCTAGAGTGACGGGTCGATTTCGCCGTTTCGTTTTGTTCACCCTATCTTTCTTCGAAAAAAAAAAAAAAAAAAGAAAAGAAAAGAAAAGAAAAGAAAAGAAAAGAAAGAAAGGGTCCTATCACGGTACAATGCTTGCCTTCCGAATCGATCGAGCGACATCCATCATCATGTTTTAGTTCCATACCCTACTATATCCTCACGAAATTGTTTCGTACACGGTGATTTGTGGTTGGGCTTGAAGAAGGGCTAGGGCAACAAGTATCTTTCCTTTTTCCTCCCTGCATGAGAACTGCATGTCTCCTGGGTAATATAGATTTAACTCATGTATAGCACGAAAAATGGGTTTACTTCATTGTTCGTGGTCTTGGTTGTAGTGTTACTGCTTGCGATGTAGCGAAGTATTAATGGACATAGCATAACATCGAAGAACATAATGTACAATGACGCCAATTCTCCGTGACCAAAATAGACACATTTTATGCATAAATCACGTATCACAAAACAAAAACATTTTACAATTTACCACAATCCTACTCCAATGGAAAGAGAAAATCAACCCTCAACCAACTCCCTCAACCTCCTCTCCAAAACAGCCCTCCCCTCCACAGCCCTCCAAACTTCATGCGGCGCACCCCTAACAATATCCCAATCCTTCAAATTATCCGTAATCTTAGTAAGTTCCTCCTGCTTCTTCGCCCACTGGTCATTCCTCCGGACTTCCGTCCCAGAACTAACAACCACAACCGGCGTATCAGGCATCTGGACATGTTGCGCTGTGCGGATTTCAGAGTACGTGATCGTCTGCGCGGCGAGGTTCTCTTGTAACTTGGCGCGGATGAAGCTACCGGTTTGGTACGCGGAGCGGCCGAAGACACGGTCCTCGCGCGAGCAACCTTTGAAGACTGCGCCGGCGATTCTGTCCAATCCAAGCGGGGAGATGATTCCCCGGAGCCAGATGACGAAGCCGCGGCCGGGCCTGCCAAGGTCCTTGAGGAGGTCTTCGTGCAGGGTATCGATGAGCAGGAAGCCCTTGACTTCGAGGAGATGGCGACTAGCGAAGATACGGCTGTAAATACCGCCAACGCCCGCGGAGACAAGGATCCAGGGTCCCTCTTCGCCGGCTAAGGCGAGAGCCTCGGAGAGGGCGTCAGAGGCCATTCCGGCGGAGTGCGGGGAGGGAGCGTTGTCGGACCAGGCGAGGCCTGGACGGTCCCAGTAGCAGTAGCGCTGGATGGAGCCGTTTTGGTACGCGTCGTCAATGAAGGGCTGGAGGGATTGTTCGACTGGTTCTTCGCCGCCTTCGACGAGGATGGTGGGGATTGGGTCGCCCTTGCCGTTTTTATTGGAGGTGTCGCCGATGCAGGTTAGGTGGACTTGGTAGGCGTCACCGTTGACAAGGTATTTCTTACCTGGGGCTTCGAGGGAGGCGTCGCGGGCGCGGAGGATGAGGGTCAGAGTGAAGAGGATGGAGACGATGGCTAGGACGCCCATGATGACGATTTCGACCAGGATGGCTACCCATTCTCCGAGGGGGCGGCGGGTTTCTTCTCGGCCTGTGAGTCGTTCTTCTTCTTCGCGCTTGCCCCATCCGACAGAGTGGTTTTGGATGACATTGAATAAGGCGATGAATGTGGCCCAGACTACCGATGCGATTCCAACCCATCCTTCTTCGACACGGAGACGGGGGACTCCGAGGATGATGCACATGTCGACGAGGAGGAAGACTGAGAGGATGGCTCCCCAGATTGTCATTGGCTTCGACGGAATGGAGAAGAACAACAATGCGATGACGAGGTATCCGGTGGTCAACGTGGTATAGGCAAACGGGAAGAAGCCGGAGCCACGCGTGTGCAACACTGGCGGATTGACGAAGAGGGACACGAGGAGGAACGTCCACCAGACGAAGCTGATGGCGAGGAATAAGGCTGATAATCCTCGTAGAGCTCGAATGCCCCAGATGTTATACGGGGAGACCTATGCAGAGAGTCAGCTAGATACTCGTTGAACAGTGGTGAAGTACTCACGGCAGGATCATCAGGACTCAGATAAGCCTGGTTATCTCGTGGTAGCAACCGTGTTCGCTCATCTGCCTCCTGTTGATGTCTAGTGACTGGCTGCTCATCTTCCTCATGATCCTGCTGCTCTTCTCGGCCTCCGTTATCGTTATTCTTGCCCCAAAGCGAAACCATCTTGCTGCGTAAGTGGTCTTAGTTCAGTTCAATTGTAGTGAGCAATTGCAATGCTTCTAAACACCAATCAACATCAGGGTAGAAGGAAGATGAAGAAAAGTAGTATCAAGCAAAGTATGTAGTCGTAGTGGCAGCGGCATTGACGTCATGGCATATAGACAGGATTGTTCCTTCAGCACAACTTTATGCGTTCCACTGGGATGGTGAGGTCATCAACAATTCATGAGACACGTGATTGATACACGGTCCTCGCTACTGATCAATACGATTAATGCTTAGATCGGCATAGTTAACTCATCTGTTCTTCCTCGATCAATACGATGCCTGCGATGATCTTCAATCGAGCGTCCCGACCCTTGGTAGCGCAGGGATCTCTTCCGAACCATTGCTCCTAATCTCCACAACGGATCTCAACAAGAGACCCTCACTTACCTTTTTGGGCACTGAAGAAGCGATGTTCAGAGACAAATTGGTCTCTTCTGCGCAAACCGTTGGGCTAGAAAAACACATATAAACCGGACCATGTCTCGTCCATTCTCTTTCCTCTCGGTCCATCAACCACGAAGAAAGCAATGAGCCCCCCGGCCAAAGGAACATATGGGGGGGGGGCCAAGTGCCAGTTCGACAACGATTGCAACTCAAGGCAGTGCGGGTTGAATGGAGAGAAGTTCTGTGCAAGCAGGGGCCAATACACGGCGCCAGGACTTCCGTGCTTGAGGGACCGGGACTGTTGCTCGAACAGCTGCAAGGTTAATTTTGATGCTGGTGTACCGCTTCCCGTGCCCCAGTGTTCTTAGATGTTTTCAAGGATATCACCTGTACTGTACTCCGATGTGTGGTGTATTATGTTAATAGCGGTGGACATTTGTATACTCTCGATGTATCATAAAACAATTCAACTATCCTAATCTCGATATGTGCTTTTCTGGCTGTACTTGCAGTAAATCACGCGAATGGCTCTGAACTCGATTGGAGGACCCCAGTAAAGCTACTTACTGAAATGGTGATACTAAAGCCTGGGTACCTTTATAGCCAGTCTAGATGCTGAGAGAGATAGAATCGCAATGATGGCTGGAAGAGATGAAAACGAGTCCGAGACGAGAGGTGAAAATGGCGGGGTGTCCCAAAGAGAAAATCCATGACAATACGATACATAATTACATACAGGCATCTTCACGATCACAATGACTTTGCTATAAGATAGCAATGCTGCAGATAAAGAATAAGAAAATGCTAGCAAGATATCCTTAAATGCCCTGCTAGCTGATCGAAACATGTATCAATAAATGGACAGAGATACCATCCTCGGCCCAAAACCACAGCGGATATCCCACTTCAATCGAACATCACCAAATAACAACTCGACTTAACACAACAACCATAAATCCCAACACCACAACAACCCGCCGAGATCCTCTAACTCACCCATGAGTGAGCTCCAGAAATCTTTCGCCAAGGCAAAACTAGCCAAACTGCCTTCCGAAGCTCCTATGACCCCTGAGCAGCCGGCCGGGGGGTCTACTATGCATCCCATCGGGGAAAGCGATAATGATAGTTCTGATGCTTCGTCTACGGCTACTGCTGTTCCTTCGCCTACGAGGCAGTTGTTTGCGAGGCCAAGTCGAGGGTGCGTTTCTTTTTGTTTTATGCATGAGTCTGGGGGGCTAGCGGTATTGCATTGGTTACCAGAATGCTGCGGTCTCTCATGATCCATGATTGTTTCGCTCCAATAAACCGTATTCCGAGCAACCGATGCTAACACCAGCAGATCCCAATCCTCAACATCCCTAACCTGGACCGACTTCTTCACCCAAGAACTGCACCTCACTCAAATCATCCCCTCCACAAACCTCCGCATCACCCACCATGTGTACCTAATACCACCCTCAAACTCAGGCCCCCTATTCGTAATGCACCACGGCGCCGGCTCCTCTGGCCTCTCCTTTGCGGTGTGCGCAGAGGAAATCCGTAAAATCCTGCCCAAGGCTGGTATTTTGTCCCTTGATGCGCGGGACCATGGCAATACGGAAGTTAGCAGGATTGATTCTTCTGCTGGGAAGGGCGATACGGAGATTGAGATTGATTTGACGCTTGAGACGCTTAGTCGGGATTTGGAGTTTGTTATTCGTGAAACGCAGGCGAAGATGGGCTGGGAGAGTCTTCCGGATATCGTCCTTGTGGGACATAGTCTAGGAGGTGCTGTTGTTACTGATGTCGCTAAGAAAGGGGACCTGGGTCAGAAGTTACTAGCGTATGCCGTTCTGGATGTCGTCGAAGGTTCCGCAATGGACGCCCTCCAGAGCATGGAGAAGTATCTCGCAACCCGCCCAACCCGGTTTCCCTCTCTGTCATCTGGAATAGAATGGCATACGCGCTCCCGCACAATCCGCAATAGAACCTCAGCTCGTGCCTCTGTGCCATCCCTCCTCTATGAAGAAGACGCGCCTACTGACCCCTCCCGCCCCTGGCTCTGGCGGACAAACTTAAACGACACAAAACCTTTCTGGGAGAACTGGTTCATCGGACTAAGTCGGAAATTCCTCGAAGCGCGCGGTGGGAAGCTGCTTATTCTGGCTGGGACGGATCGGTTGGACAAGGACTTGATGATTGGGCAGATGCAGGGTAACGTTACCCCCTTCATTTATTGATTCATGCCTAAAGCTGACAATGAAGTGAAGGGAAATTCCAACTCCAGATCTTCCCTGAAGCAGGACACTTTATACAAGAGGATCAGCCGGCTAAGACGGCGCAAGTCCTTGTGGATTTCTATAAGCGGAATGATCGCAGTGCCCTGGTGCTTCCACCCAAGGTGGCTGACATGCAGGCATCTGCGGCTATGAACAAGAGTGCTGGTGGCCAGCAGGGTTCGATAAGGAAATCATAAGGCGTATATATGGGGGAACGGGATCTAGTTGAATTTTTGCATAATGATTTCGAATGATCAAGATCAAGCTACTTCAATGGATAATCAAAAATATACAAAACTGATCAACCCCACTCCCGTTTCTATAAGCAGTGCCAGGACGCCGTTGAATTCCAGCCACCAAATACATGAACATGTGTTGCGCTAATATCATGTTTGAGAAGGCAATCGCACTTCTAGCAATCTGAGCCAAAAACAGAATAAAGAAAAAGGGAAAACAGAAATCGGGTATCCGGCGCCATATATCGCATGCAAATCCAGCATTAAACTCACACCCGCCATCACGGAAGATAAGAGCCCCCAGCAATGATCAAGTTCATGTTGGTGAATTTCACCCTGTAAACAGGACTCTTCTTGGTAGGGAACGCGCTGATCTGATCCGGCGTAACAACCACGTCCTTGCCCTTCTTCTTGCCCATACCCGGAGCAACAGAGCTTGAGGTCTGCGCACTACCTGAGGTATTGCCTCCGTCGACCTTGGTTCCAGCTCCGCCTTCACCGACAATACGGCCCTGGGACGGGTCTTGGGCTGGACCTATGACGTCCCAGACGCGAACGGTTCCGTCTGCGCCTCCGGAGACTAGAACTGTTGACTCGACGCTCCAGCTGAGAGACCAGATGCCTCCCTTTCCGTGGCCACGCATGCGCTTCAGGAGTCGTCCTGGTGCCAGGTCCCACAGGAAGATCGAGCCGTGATCATCTGCAGATGCCAGGAGTCTTCCGTCTCTGCTGCATGCTAATGCAGTGATGTTTCCGGTGTGGCCGGTGAACATACGCACAGCGTTACCGGTGGTCACTGCCCACATGCGGACAGTATGATCGGAGCTGCCGGTAAAGACGTAGGCAGAGTTCGGGTGGAAAGCCACGCAATCCACATCCTGATCATGACCAGCAAAGATGCGTTGTTGACGGATGTGATCGGTGACCCAGAGACGGGCGGTCTTATCATGCCCCCCTGTTACAAAATAGTGACCGTACGGCCCCCATTGAAGATCCCACACTGGTTGGTCATGGCCCTTGTAAACAACCATGCACTGCCATAAGTCAAGAGACCAGAGGCGGATCGTCTTATCAGCGGAGGATGAAAGCAACCAGCGAGCATTGGTCGGTGCCACAGCATTCTCGGATCGTGTGGCTGAAGGTGCAAATGATAGTGCGTAGATAGGTCCGGAATGCCCAATCAAGCGGCGAGAGTTGGATGGAGGGGTGTCATCGACGTTGTCGTAAGTTGATGAAATTCTCTTGCCGTCCATACTCCAAACTCGGATATAGGATTCTTGCATACCGGCTGCGACAAGCATATTATCATCGGAGAAATCTAAGCATGTGATCCTGATGACCAATTAGTATCCGTTTGATGTTGTAGGGGCCATACGACTTACCCATCGTAGGTGTTGTGAAAGGTAAACATGCAGACACTAACAGCTGGGCCAACACCACCGGTACGACCTTCGATTTTGAATCTATCACGATTCTCCTTGACGTGCTGAACTTCCATAGCCACGTCCCGGGCAGTCGATGGAGGGTAAGGAATGTCAGCCCTAGTGGGAGCGTCCTCATCTTCCTCCTTTTTGATCATCTGGTCAAACTCCTGGAGGAGCGTGTTACGACCAGGCCCCGGAGGGTTCTTCGTGTCCTCGTCCACAAGCTCGCCTCGCACATCGGTCTCCAGGTTCTGCTCCATCGGGAGCTTCCCCAGTTTTAAACGGGGTAGCGTCCCCGCCATGGCCGGGTTATCGCCAGTATAAGCAGATCCTGGGTGGTGACCTGGAATACCTTCATCCTCAGCAGGGAATGTTTGACCCATGCCAGCTTGGCCCAGCATGGCAGCAAAACTGAATCGGTCATCGACCGCGCGATCCCGTGTAAGGATCGTACAGTAACTACTCAGAAGAGCAGACATGACTGAGCCACCCTCCTTCTGTTTGCTCTCAAGAAACTGCATAAGGTTCCCAAATGCCGGGTTACTGAGAATCAGGCGGTACTTGTTGTTGCGATATAACTTGGCGGTTGAGTTGTCCTGGACATGTTCTGGAAGGCTGATCGGTTCGAGAGCGCGCACATCCTCCGCATGCTCCGGCAGGAAGAGGTTCTTGTTCACGTCAAAGAATTGTCGGGCATCTTGCGGGTAGAAAGAGGTGACCATGCTGATAAATGTGTAGACAAAGAGGGGCCAAAGGACGCGTTTTAGTTCCGGTTTATATAGATCAAGGTTGTCTTCAACCCAGACTTTGAGCAAATCTGAACGACCATTTGCATTAGTTACCTACCCCTTGAATCAATGCTCAACCCTCACTTACCAAATCCAAGCCTGTATTTCGGACGTGCATCTTCCCCAAGAGGAGGCAAAGGACGTCCATCAATCTCTTGATTTGCAGACTCCATCCGAAGCATAGCTTCAGTACGACTGTATCCCTTTTTGGCCAGATAGTCGATGACCTGCGGAAATAGACATGTCAGCACGGATTAAGCTTCGCGTGTGTTTTCTAAATCAAAGAATTCCAGAAAGAACAAGACGCGACAAAGTATAAGCAGCAAACAAGAAATGCGACAAGAGCGACAAGAATGCTGAGACCTTGGGGATGATTTGCTTCATGATATCAACAGGTGTAGACGTTCTAGGGTTCTGTTCTCCCTGTTTGGCTCTCTTTCTCTGCCTCGTGATGTTCCCTCCTCTCTGGGAGCTACCCTTAGTAGAAGCCTCAATTCCCACGTAGCCAGCGCTAGCCAAATGCCTTAACTGGGCGTTTCCATCTTCGCGGTTCACAGGTCCCACCCTTTCCCCGACAGACTTGATTGGGAATCTCGGGTAGAGGGGACGAAGTGATCTCACACTGGCAAGACTTTGGGGATCAGCCCACCCGCCTAGCCACAACGCTTTCCTGTGTGTATTTCCCTGGACGTCTTCTTCATTGGCAGCTGTTGGGGAAGAACCTCGTTCAGTAGCACTGTGGTCCTGTTCCTCGACCTCCAATGACAAGGTCTGCGAAGATGCGTACCCCTCCTCGATGCGAGACGAAGTATAACTCCCTTCTCCACGAAATGAAGCTGTCACAGAGGAGGTCGCAGTCATTGTGCTCGAGGAAAGTCCGTCTTGGCCATGGCTGGCGGCGCTGGCCCTGGCCTTGCCCTTCCGCATTTTCTGGGTTTTCAAACACAGAAAATATTGGCGTGTATGGTGGCGAATGGGTGAAGGGATCAAGAGAAAGAGAAATAAAACGATCACAGAGAATGGCGCGCAACAGAAGTTAAGAGATGAAGTGGGGGAACCAGAATCGACGTAGATGGAAACCCCAGACGGCAGGAGCGAGGTCAGGTGAAGGAAAGTGCTAGTACTCAAAACACAATACATTCACAGTAAAGCGCGCGGGGTATGAGTAGTTTATTCTTTCTTTTCCTTTCCTTCTCCATTTTTGAAGATACACACCCAACTACTCCAGACACGCAAGAAGCAAAACTCATCATGTGACAGAGAGGCCAGCCTTTTCTCTGGGCCTTCTCCATGCCTCCTTCCATGACAAGAGCTCGCTTGACATTTCAAGTACCAGCAATGACCGCTCATCCCATACTAGACGAGAGGCAATGAAAAGGGGGCGAATATACGGCGCGCAAAAATTTAAATGCAGAACTCGAAAAAGACAATGCAGAACAACGCAACAGCGATAATTCAACGCGAAAAAGGGATGTTTGACAGAACCATAAATCACTCAATATCAACTTACTATCTGATTCAAGTTCTGCTGCGACATAGCTCCACTTGGAGGAGCCGATGGAGGGCCCGGAGTTGGCCCTGGAGTTGTCGCTGGCATCGACTGCTGGGGAGGCATTGACATCCCTCCTCCGCCAGGCCCGATACTTCCACTTCGAGGAGCAGGGCTCGGGGCCCCGCCTGGCGCTGACATGGCGCGTGATAATTAGTTACGGTAATAGGATTATGCTAAAGAATAAAGTGAAGAATAACCGACGGCAGAAGGGGGCTTTAAACGAAGGATGTAGATGTGGTGATGGATAGACGGAGGTTTTGCGAGCTTGCCTTTCTGATATTGTACTATACCGCCTTCAGACTAGCGCGTTTCCCCAGGTCTTGCACGTGACAGCACGCGGAATTCCTGTCCAAGAGCTTCATTGTCTTGCACTGTTTTCAATTCTCAAGTTCTGAACTTCCAATACACAATCAATATGGCGGAAAGCAAAGAATTAGATAAACAGGACCAGATATTTACATCGGCTGACCGGATCCGGCAACTAAACGACGTGGACCAGGTAAGAGCTCTACAAGCTCCGTCGCATTCATACAACCAGAATCACCAAATACTTACAACACTCCGTGCTTATAGGACGTCACAAATCTCATCCACTCCGCCGGGCTTGCAGTTCAAGCCCTTACCAACGCCAAATCCGACGATCACTCCTCAGCAACAGCAACAACAGACACATCTTTTGACTCCCACAAGTCCCGCTTCAAAGAAGCCACCTCGCAATACTTCGCCCTCCTTTCCTCGATCGATGTCCGTCTGCGTCGCCAGGTCTACGCTCTAGAAGAGGCTTCTGTTCTTGCTCCGGATTCTGCGTCGCGGACGGGTGAGGGAGGTGCTGCTGGTGGGGGAGGTGCGGGGGCCGCGAACCCGTTGGATATCAGTTGGTTGAATAGTAGGAAGGATACCGTTGGGAAGGATAAGGAGGCTGAGCTCTGGGCTGCTGCAAGGGGGTTTGCGGAGCAGATTGGTAACCCGACTTCAACGGAACCGGCAAAGGCAGAGGGGGGTCATAAGATGGAGGTCGATTGATTGTCCGCTGTTAGGAAGGGAGAATATAACTCCTTTTACTGCTTCATGAGAAACAAGATTTATGATACCCTTCTGTTTAAACCGAATAGAAACACATCCGTCCGTGAGAAATTATGTGGGCACGGCAATATAGCTACAATAAAATCCAATTTATGTACTAGGAACAAAACAACTTGGATCACCAGGAACCATTGAACACAAGCTACATATCTTGAAAGGTGACGCTTGGAAAGCAGACGCGAAAATAACAACTCAGCTCGAATGCGTGTCAACGAACAGACTACCTCTGCAGGGACTTGATCATCTCCAATTGAGCAGCCCTGTCCCTGTTCGTCTCGGACAGAGGAGCAAGACCTAGGATATTCATTAGTATTGGCAATGTCATGGAGAGAATGGTATGACTTACTCCGGAGTTCTCCCACCACGTCTTTGGCCTTTCCAAAGTAGACCTCCTCTATCATTTGGTCAGCATACCACACCATTCAAAGCTTCGGTAACCCAGACGGAGACATACGCAGCAAGTTCCTCATCTTCAATTCCATATCCTCAACCAGTCTACCAACGTTGGCAACATGGCTTGCATCCGACTCAACAGGCAAGTCCACTTCCACCTGGCGGGTCATGTTGCCGCTAAGATCCATTTCACCCAGGGTCTCGTTTCCGTTGGACAGATGGAGGATGACGGTGCTGGTGAGCTTGTAGTGGGACATGCGTGCCCGGTCGGTGGCTTCGAAAACGTGGATACTGTCCCATTCTCCAGAGCTCTTCGCACCCGGCGTAACCCCTGGAAGTAGATACCATCAGCGATAAGGTCATTCCCCCAATAACATCGCATGTATATCTCCTAAAGGCAATAACATACCCTTCTTCAAAAGAATAACACCCGCAAACCCATCATCCAAATCCCAGAAGTAAACACTCCCAACACCGCCCTCATAGTACAGATCACGATAGACATCAAAGGCCTCGTTAGCCGCAACTTCGAGCTTCCTCACCCGCTCACTAGGCACGGTTCCATCGTCAAGTGGCGGGTCGAATTCATTGCTCCAGGGCGACCGGTAGCTATCACCGTCTCGGTTGTAGTCGCAGAGCAGGTAGTCGCGCTTGGTCTTCGGACAACGGCGAACCTCCAGGGGTTGGTCGACGGAGGAGAGGAGGTCTTCGGTGAGGTCGGGGACGACGCTTGCAATTGCCTGAAGGTTGCGCTTTGTGTCGCGGGGGTTGAGACGCCGGAGGAGGTCCCTGGATGATTGGGGGGTTATCTGGTCAGCAACGGGCTGCGGTAGAGGTGGGGTTATGGCTTCGTGTTGTCTTTGAAGAAAAGGATGGGATGTAATGGGGAATCGTTGGACATATTCGTTTCTGGGAATTAGAGCACTCACAGCGCACTGTCGAATTGAGCATCAGCCATGGTTGTGGTTGTTGGGGATACTTTGGGCTTTTGGATATTGTTGTCTTGTTCTCCGATGGGACCTGAGTTGGCGGAGAAAGGTGCGTGTGCGGAGACCGATTGTCCGTGGCATTCGAATATCCACCTTGGGAAATGAGTACTTGTACGGTTGCTATGCATGAGTACATGCTTGTCTATATTTTGATACAACAAAAATCTGGGTATATACTTAATATCCAACGCTTCAAAAACAGACACCATACCAAAACCAGCCAAGATTCATAACACGTCCCAAACTCATTCATCACAGTCATCATCCACGACTTTACGTCGCTTGCGCATGGGCTGACTTTCTACGCCTGCCTGCTCAAAAAGTGTCTTGAGGTCCGGAAGATCATAGCTGCTATCCAGATCGCTCACCTGCGAGGCTTTGGGTGATTCTTGACGGTCTCCCAGGGAAGACAATAACACATCTGGAGAAGGTGGTTCGTCATCGAGATTCAATTCCCCATCGAGTTCGATGGGTGGCGGATTTGGTTTAGGTTCTGAAGCACGAGGTTTGGATCTTTTAGAATGATTCGTTGGCCGTCTATCGCTCGCCTTCCGTCGGGGTGCTTCGCTGACAGGAGACGAAAGCTTTGGGGGCGGTTTAGGCACAAGAGACAGAATATGCTTGTAATGCTTTTCGCAATCGGCATTCACATTGTCCATATTTCGCAACATACCAATCATACGATGAGTCAGTTTCCCATGTTTCACCGATTTCGTAGGCCTCGAGACATGCTGCAAACGAGGAAAAGCATCATTCCTCGGATAACGAATAAACTGCGGACTAGTGCCCCCAATATTCTGATACCGGTGTTCAAGCTCTCGTTGCTGCGGTGAAGTAAGTAACACTTCATCAAGTGCAGGCAGCTCGACAGGCCCAGGAGTTGGCGTTCGAACACGCCTCTTACTCTTGTTATCTTTCTTGCTTTTCTTGATATCGTCGAGGCTGGATGCTTTAGTGAAGCCCGTTTCGACATCATCTGGCATGTGGAATTTCTTTGGCGGTCTTTTCGGAGCTCGCCCTTTTCCTCTTTTCGGCTCAGGCAAATCTTGCTGTTCGTTCTCGTCCGGTATATCGATTTGTCTTTTATCAGGTATAGGCCGCACGCCCGCCGGGAGGATGCGAGGGGATGTATCGTCATGGAAAGTGAACCGGGTGCCGCTGGCTATCATATGCTGCATTTTCTCGTAGTTGTCTTTTGCCCTAATGTAGGATTCCTCTTCTTTACCCTGCATAAGAAGCAAGACAATGTTTCCGGACCTCTTACGACCAGTCCGCCCCATTCGTTGAAGCATACGAATTGGCGAGGCAGAGGAGTCATAGCAAGCAATGAGGTCGACTTCACCGATATCCAGGCCTTCTTCACCGATTGACGTAGCTACCATGGTGTTATAGGTCCCCTTTTTGAACTTCTCCACGACGCCAAGTTGGGTCTTTTGATTCATTCCATCTGAGCCCTTGGCACTACTTTGTCCAACGAAAATATGTGGTCGAATCATAGGCTCATATCGTTTCAACACCCTTGTGACTTCTTCAGCACTATCTCGAAAGTGCACGAATATCATGACCTTTGTCGCCGATTTATTTGAGTCTTCGCCGCCCTCACCAGCGTCCATGAAGTGGTTCAAGATAACCTGCTTGAGATATTCAAGCTTAGGGTGCCCGATGAACTCGGGATTTTTGACCCATGGATCAAGATGGTTCATCAACTTCTTATAATGATCATCCTGGACAATCTGGCGCTGGTACTTTCCACCTTTTTTACCATCGACGCTGGATTTAAAATGCAACAGGTGGCGGTAAAAGGGGGTAATTCCATGATACTTGAGCAGATCAATCGCATGGGCCAAACTCGCAAGAACCGTGAATATAGCGTTAGTTTTAGCTTTCATTCCCATGTTTGCATTTCTGCCAGCATCCGATGCCATCCATTGTTGCCTCGCTTTGGTCAAGCCGAACGCAGTCAGCATCATGGGATCTCGTCCCCAGTAGGCGTTGAGGTTGCGAAGCTGGTCCACAAGAGGCTGCAATGTTCGAGAGAAAAGGTCCATGCAAAGAACCATTTCCTCGGAATTTTCGAACGTTTGAGTCTCAATATCTTTGGAATGAACGTACTCTCGAATGTCGAGAGATTTTTCAGTGCGTATCTCGACACGTGCAATATCCAGACCATCGATGACTGCCTGTACAGACTCCACCGTCGAACCGGGCGTAGCGGTTAGAGCAAGCACCCGGAAACTCTTGTTGAATCGGCGAAGGAAGCTGACCACCTCCACATACGCGTAGCCACCGGTAGCACGGTGAGCTTCGTCGACGACTAGTAGAACAATACGCTTGGGGTCGGCTATTCCTGTTTTGAGATCATTTACCAAGGTCTGTGGAGTCATAAAGAACACGCGCTTTGTCTTCCATTCCTCGGACCGTATCCCCGGCGCTGCTTCTCCAGTAAGCATTGTGGTCTGTGATCGTGGAATACCAGCGACGCCAAAGCATGCAGAAATCTGCTGAGCCACGAGGGGCTTTGTAGGTGCTACGAAGACGATTTGAGCACTCTTTGTCCAGCGAAACCAGTTTAGCATGATGGTTGCCGCTATGAACGTCTTTCCCAAACCTGTCGGCAGCGCCACTAGCAAATTGTGGAAGAGGCCACTTTGAGCTATGTTGAACTGGTAATCTCTTGTCCTGCCCAGGTTCGTAGGGTAAACCCACGTAGCAGTGGCGTCGTTGTTTAATTTGTGGTGAGTAGGAGGCTCCTCCTTGCTAGGTGGAGAGAGGTTCTGTTCACCTCTGGGCGCTGACTCTGCATATCGAGCAGCCATGCCGAACAATGTTGTTTGGCGAAGGCCAGTAGGCCCATTCAAAGGACGGCCCATGCTTGGCCATGTCTGAGTTCGCTGTGCCGCTTGAGTATTCGTTCTGGGTGGAGGAGATAAAGACGGCTCCGAGTCAAACGCATCCTCCGGTATATCGTCAAGGAATGAATCCGTTGAAACATTGTTATTATTGCTATTTTGGCCACTGGAAGCAGCGGCTGTTGCTGGTCGTGGTTGCGCTGGCTCGTGTGAAAACGAAGATGTGGCTGCCCGGGAGTTCTCCTCCTCGAAGGATTCGACCGATGCCGCAATGGCGGCATCCAGTCCTTCATCGTCAGAGAATTCATTGTCTCCTCCTCGTCCTCCATCAACTGCTGGTTTCCCAACTCTACCGCCGCCGCCGCTTCTCTCATCGCGTACTGGTGGAAGAGGTGTAGTCGTAGGAGGCTTCGGATCAGGTTTCTTCCAACGAGGTCCACGGATCCTTTCAGGCGGCGATGGGGGTTGCGTTAACTGCGTAACGAAGATATCCTCCTGCATGACGCTGTTTTTCGGATAGAATGCCTTTAATTTGCGCCTCGAATCTCCGTCAAATTCCCCGTATGATCTTCCGCTAGGTGAGCGGATCTCATCGTCATCTATGAACGAATCTGAGGCATATTCGTCATTGCCGACATCTCCAGAAGCACGGAAAGAATCGGTCTGTGATCCCACGCTTTCTCCATCCTGGCCATATTCCTCGGGTTGTTCCAAACGACGTCGCTTCGCCGCTCGGGGGGTGTTTTCGTTCGATTCTGCGGTTGCTTCGGAGGCTTCAGCAGCTAGGAAAGCATTGTCGTCAAGGTAATCGTCGTAATCATTATCCAGGTCGGACATATCGAGTCTGGCTGTCCCTCAAGTTCACTTCAATTCGTTCTAGCTCGGGTTAGATTGACAGAGACGCGTCGCGGTATCGCGATGTCATGTGATTGGTTTGGTATGTTTGCACTTGTTATCTTATCACCCGGCCCTACGATGTGATTGTACCTCTGATGCATATTCGAGACAGTTTCAGGCCGAAGATTGTGCTCAGGAAGAGCAAGATCATCCAATAGATTGACAATATCCCCCAAAAATTAATTGAGGTATTGCCGAAGACGAAAAACACGGCTTTTTAGACACGCATGATCCACCTCTATCAGGTTGGAGACCCTGATGTGTCCGAAGTGGTTAAAGATGGTGTAGTGCGGCGTTACAAGGTTTACAGTAGGAGTGAATCCGGGGCAGTGCTTGCAGAAGTGGATTCAGATGAAGAGTAGAAGTAAAGTGATCTGGTCCGAGATCTATGGATGATAGGATATTCAATCAGCCTTCGACGTTCATTGCTATCCAAGAACATGTCGGTCCTTGCTGCAGCCTAGGGGCAATGGCATTACTGAGAGATTACAGGACGTCAACAACATACACTGAACTGAGTTACTGACAGTGACCAGGTAGGACTGGTCTAACCTGTTTCTCTATACATGTCACTTCTTTTTGCTAGCTGACATTTCCGGCTCTCCGGACTGCCTTGACCGACGTCAGTAATGAGTCGAAACCTCAAAAGGTAACGCAGGTGAGAGGAGCTCTCATATAGCCATCAGACACATTTCTAGGCACCTAAAATAAGCGATAATATGATCTCAAATGAGAACTCTTTTTGCGTAACAGCCACGTCTTGCTCAAGGCGATGGTGTTTCGAATAAGCCGGGATGGGACCAAAAGCATCTAAATACAGCCATATAAATGGAGGTGAGAGCAGAAAAAGGAACGAGAGTGTGTTTTCTTTTTATAAGGATGGTACCTGACTAGTTCCGAAAGCAACTATGCAGCAGCCGATATATCAACCAAACAAACCACACCAAATGCCGCCCCCTGGCAGTTTGCAGTCTCTATGATTCTTCATGAATGGCCCAATCTTGATTAGGCTTCCGGATTATCGCTCTGCACATTCCATGTTGCTGACTTGGTGGTGTAATCCACAGTCCAATCATTCCGGGGGTGCCAGTTCAGACGAGAATAGCGGATGTTACTCACGCATTTGGTTTTGGACCAACATGAGTTTGTCCTTGATTTATATTCTCATTGCCTCCTCTTTCCTTTCTCTATGTTTTCTCTCGAGTTTTCAATAACCCACTGGTCATCCACCTGCCTCTCCAAACCAAAGAAACCAAAATGAAGCTCTCCCTCATCACCTTCACCTCCCTCTTCACCCTGGCCCTAAGCCAGGAAATCTACCCCAGCATCCCCGAAAGAGATAGCTGCGTCGCCAGATGTACAACCCCCAATCCCTCCCCAACTAAAGCCCATCAACTAACAACAGAAACAACAGGCAACATGGGCGATTTCTGCTGTGTCGCCCAATGCCAGGACCTCCTCTGCGGCAACATTCACAGCACCAACGACGCCATCCGCTGCATGACCGGCTGTCCGATTGGAGTCGGGACACCAGAACAAGTCGTCGCTCTATCCAGATGTCGCGAGGACTGCATCTTGAACAACTACTCCTCATCCTCGACTAGTACTGCTAGCTCGACATATTCCAGCACGAGTACCTACAGTTCTAGTACAAGCACAAGCACGTCCACCGGTGCAGCTAGCACCACCACTTCCTCGTCTGCCAGCGGTATGTACATGCTCTTGCTTTTTGTGGCCGGCATGTTGTTCTGAGTTCAGCGTCGATATAGCGGAGACTAGTAGCAGCACTAGTACGAGTACGAGTACGACTATTATTACGCCTACAGCTACTGATCCTGGGTCTGAGCCTGAGAAGACTTCGAATGCGGCTGCGGTTAATAACTTGCAGTTCGGTGCGCCTGCGACTGGTTTTGTTGGATTTTTACTGGCTTTCTTGATGTAGGCCGGCGTATTGTTGATGTTCTGGGTTGGGGATTTTGGTTTTGTTGCAATAGCATGAGCTGGTTTTGGTTTCTTCTTTTTTCGTTGCAAATGAGTTATATATCCCAATGCTGTTTGTCTTATTGTGATTTCCTAGTTATATATTCAAACGATTGACGTTTGTGAATTGCGGTGTAGCATACGGGCTCCGTATTAAGTAGTATCTCGAGATAGTAGTCCACAAGATGTCCACCACCCCTGCGACATCCTGTCAACCTCTTCTCCATATCTACGAGCGAGATATAGTGGGTCCTGGTGCCCTTACATAGGGCTCTAATTGTCTTTCCATGGTACCCATTCGTCGTTCTATATCACTGTATGGCATTGAGAGCAAGTATTCATACCAATACTGGGAATCATTCTGTCTATCAGTTTGAATATAATACTTGTGTTGGGGGTATGTAACATGAGCAATATTATACCTGGGGTAGAATCGCAGAAACAAAATATGGGATCCCGATCGAACGTAAAACGTTCTTTCGTCAACCTTCAGTGCCACTGGCACAATGTATGATGTAGTTAGTTTAGTATTTGCCCAAGGAGCCAAATGGGACAATAACCCAAATCCCAGAACGCCAAAACCGATACATAATTATAGCATGTCCGCAAATTCATATTCCGGATTTATTACGAGAATTCGCGAGATGCCTGGCCTAGACCCTGTCACGAGCAAAGTCCAGCACCTCACAGTCATCTTCAAAGAAGCCATCATCCATATCAGCACCGGGGCTAGTCGATGGGAACGACGAGCGCTTCTTCTTCCTGCGAGTAGTGATAACAACCTCTTCGACATTGCCCGTACTGTTGCCCAGACTTATGAGGTTCTCCATGTCTCCGCCAAACCCAGGATGATGTTCGTGGACAGTGTCCTCATCACTATCGTCCCCACCGGCACTGAATGGTCGCACATGTAGCTTGGTCGTCGATATTCCATCACCAAAAACCCATTGGCCAGTAGGATCGGACAGCATCGAATCAGTCGCCTCGCTTTGAGGGGAGAGCACAAACAGGTTGACCCTTTGGTCGGTGTGGAAGGGTTGATAAGGGACGTTCGTCTCGATCTCCGCCTGCGAAAGGGGCTGACGTTGAGCCTTTGACACAGAAGATGGCTGCGGATTTGATGAGGGTAGGGCTAAAGACGCGTGGACATTTGACTCCGGGGTTGCGCTTGCAACAGGCATCGGGCCACAAGGATTCTGCAGGATGGCGGGCAACTTGTATTCAATCTCTCTGCCGCCAATAACAGACTGGAGGGACCGATGCTTGTTGGTAGACAAGGTACGTCTGATTCGATACAGCCGGAATGCCCCATTGTCAACTAAACCCAAGAATGGCTGTCCTCTGTGGGTAATCCACGTCACGCGAGATGCCACTGGGTCGCGGGCAAGTCCAGGAAGATGCAGGCGGTTTTCACCAACGTGACGGAGGGTATTAACTGTACCAGTCGCTGCGCCCACGGATTTACTGAGACCCGCGGCGACGGCCTTGCCACTTCGTACTCCAGCTGCAGATGTAATCCCGAAGCCACCCGCTGGGAACGCGGAGCCAGTGGATGGGGTGCGTCTGACCGCAGCAAGAATCGGTTGTGTCCTACCACCGACAAGCTTGAAGGCTGCAGATAAGGGATTCTGACCATTTGCTCGATCAGACAAATCATCTGCAGGCGAATCGGTTCCAGATGTCTTGCCAGGGACGGGCCGTGCGCGACGGAAAGGCGGCCATTGAAACGCGCTTCTAGGCATGTCGAATACATGCACAGTGCCCTTGCGGGTAATGATTGCCAGTCGATCGCCTGTAGGGGCCGTCCAGATCACGTCAACGATACGAGATGTTGTCAATCGTGTATATCTCGCAATCTGTCGGACATTTGCACAAGGAATTGTCAAGTCTTCCGTAAGGAAAGCCCCTGCTCGGCAGTACTTGGTTTGCAACAGATCCCAGACATATTGCACGTCACCTTTCTTGCTTGCAGTGAAGAGCATAAGACCGTTGGGCGAGAATGAAAGGAAGCTGCAACCATTTGGCACCTGGAATGTCGCGACTGGGTTGAAAAATGCGTTCTTGTTATCGCCACCATCTTCCAATCGCTTGATGTCGATGATGGACACAAGGTCTGGCTCGGTGGGAGAAGCAGTCTGCGTGTCCTGAGCATGTGTGGGAGGGAAGGCATTGTAGCCCTGTTGAGGACCATCCATCACATTTGCAGGGCGGCGACCAGATTGGTTCTGCGACTGCTCTTTGTTCCAGTAGTTGTTCCATGCCTGCATCCCCTGATCACCCATCCAGCGAGCGCCCCTTACGAGCTCTTGTGTGACACCCCTGGCCACCTTGTCAAAAAGACTCTCGCCCTCACCGACATCAGTAGCACAGTTAATCGTCGGCCTCGATGGGGGACTGCGCGTTTCAAGTCCGAAGACCTTTCCTTGGATCAAGGACGGAGGAACAGACCCATGCAGTGGAGACGTATGAGTCGACGACGGTGGGACTATCGCCAACCATCTTCCCTTCAGGGTAAGAATAGGGCTCTCTGAGTTCGCGGAGTTGGGCGAGTCATTCCGAGAGCCATCTGGGTCAGTTGAGCTCGATGACGTGGAGTAGCGTCGAGCTCCTTTGGTTTGAACAGTGGTCCACGTTTTGCCATAACACTGATATCCACCAGAGTCTGACGAGGGGTTGATGCCATAGATGTACACCTCCCCACTAACACCTGAGGCGAGGACCACAAAGTTACCACTTGTATGGAGCCTGAGATTGCCGACGGGCCCCGGTGCGAACGTAGGCATGCCAGGGATATTTTCCAGGTAGGGAACAGGCTTAGTTGTGAAGAGCGTCGTGATATGCTCTCCGGTCCTGAGCGAATAGACCTCGACCCTTGTCTGGTAATACTTGGTATCCTCTTTGTTTGACCGCTTTGCGGTTACAGAGGAACCATCGTTCACTTCGGATGCAGCAGAGGAAGCATGGCCTTCATCATCGTTCGGGACACATGGTCCATGGAGTATGACCACCACGTGAGGTCGGGTGGACAAGAAAGGGTCATGGGACAAGTTGGCTGTCAGCACTTTTGCTCCAATTACCCGACCATTGAGACCGGAAAGTTTTCCAATCAGGCGAGTCTTGCGATCTTCCATAGCAAGGACTTCTAAAGCGCTATCGGTACCGGCTAGCAAAACACTGCCTCCCATCCGCGATGTCTTGTAAGACGGGCTAGGGATTGAGTCGAAGGCGCAGAAAGAATAGCTGCCGTCTGTGGAGGTCCGATTCTGGCCTGAGAACAAGGGAATGTCCACATCGGGGGCGCCGTAGAAATGGGCCTGTGGCAGATGAGGAGGTGGAACCTGGCCATTATAGGGTGTGCTAACAGAATGGCTCTTTTGCCTGTCTGTAGATTGCTGCCGTGATACGTTACTGTTGCCACTCAGATATCCGGTGTTATAACTCAATGGTCTCCTCCGTGGGGGCGGGGACGTCGAAGAAGGGTTGCTGAAGCCACCTCTCTCTGCATTGGTAGGAAAGCTCAGTGGCGAGCCACTGGCAAACTCCCCATCAGTGACATCAGTTGGCGGGCTCTTCCCAAACGGGATGGACTTGGCCCATGTACCCGTACGATAAGCGATGTCGTTATCGGGGGTCTCTGCAAGGGAGCCAAGCGCATCTAGAACCGGCGACACGATGTGGTTTTCAGCATGGTGATTGAGCGAGGGATTTGGACACGACGACGGTTCGGTCTGCAGAGGCGGCGAGGGATCGATCCTGTGCATGAGAGAGTCGACGTCAGTGATCTACCACGAAGGAACATGGGGAATCCCTGCAGCGGAGATCCCCGGGATGGCGGATGGACACTCGAAACATACAGATCTTCAGCCGGAGATGGCGTCTTTGTGGCAGCCTTGGCCACCTTGTCCTTCCCCTTGGATCCGGTTTTCCCTTTTTTCTTATTCTTTCCGCTAGGTTCATGCTCTGGTGGCGGTCGACTCGGATCCTGAGGAAACGGAATGTTGTCACCTAATGACCGGCTATGCTGAAACAAATCGTCCGATCCGGCCGGTGGCATTCAAGTGGAAGGTGCCTCAAATGAGGCAAGATAGGTTCGATAGCGAAGAAGCCGCTCTCAAGACCCTTTTGAGGTCTGAGAACGGGTGTGTAGACAACTTTGACGAGAGGATTAACCGTGAATCGACGCGTTCCTTATCAACAACGTATCTGTTACTTGTAGATAACAGTGGCATATCAGCTTGATGCTCGAGTATAGCCTCAGATTGATACCTACCAGGTGGTATTTAGTAGTAGCTGGATAGTTTGAAGAGAGAAAACGGCGTGAGTTCAGTCTAGAGCAACTGAACGAGCAAACGAGCGTATCCGGAGTAGTCACTCTCTAGATACGCCAAATCGGGACAACTCGGGAGTAACAGCTGTCCAAATCGAAGAAGCAAGACGAGTAGGATAGATATATCCAAGCAGTAAGATGAGTCAAAAGCAGAGTGTGATCAAGTATAGTTGGCAGTATTGTTTACAGTAGAATAGAGGGAAGAAAGAGGGAGGAAGAGAGAAGGAAGAAGGAAGAGGGGAGAGAGAGAGAGACCGAGAGGGGAGGAGGGGAACTTGGAGGAGTCAGAAGTGGTCAGCCATTCTTCTGCTGCTCCTGACCCTCAGACTACAAACTACATAGAAAACTAGAGTACAACAAGAATCCCCAACCATCTGGACCATCCGCATGCCCAGACAAGGTCCTATCAGCAAAACCATGGCCAATGCAGAGTATGTACTCCATACATCCAGTTTACCGCATACTGAAGCTCTGCGACTATCAGCTCACTATCAGGGCGGAGTGGGGGTTGTCGTATTGTCACAATACGGTCACGGCACATCATGGTAAAAAGACGCTATCGGTCACATGACTGCTCTGGCATGAGACATGGCTGGTAAAGAAGCCGTATCAGCATGATGATGTTGTATGGAGCTATTCCAAAAAAGAATAGTGGAATTACAATGACCGCATTCCGCGTGACTCCAAGACAAACAGTGCAAACCACTTTTACCCCGTCAAAAGGACCGTTGGGGACACAACCCAGGAACCAAGAGGGCCCATTCAACCACGGGAGTCCGGGACTCGGTGGTTTTTCTCATTCTGATAGGTACAGCTGAGAGAAAGAGAAAGAAGCCATGACGATGACGATGAAGTGTAGTGCCCCTTCAAAGCATCGGTCAGGTCAGCCACTCGGCGACTCATGCTGTGTCCACGGGGTCTGTCCTGCCACCATGTAAGGCTTTCCCGGGTAATACATAACTACGAGTATGGCAGTGACTGGAAAATGACGCCGATGATCTGATCATTTCATTTGTACCTACATAGTACATTATTGATTTCAACGTGTTACAACTGGACACACGTTGCGGTGCTATCGTCATTGATCATCCGCCTCACCTTGAGACAGCCAATGTCTATTCTGGGTTCCTGGTCTCAAACAAGGGAGAAGGGAAAACAAAGAAAAGCAAAACAGACGCCGACAAACAAAAAAAAAAAAAACACTTGGTAATCCGTACTAATACACATTACATGGACCAGAACACGGTCCTTTTGTGGTTTTCAAATCAGCTCCCTGCACAAGGGGGTATATCCGACATAATCTCCCATGCAACCTGCTGCTGAGCCCTTTAGGTCTTCTTCTTAGCCGCCGCTGCCTTTGCCTTGGCTGCCTTCTTCTTGTTGCTGCTGATCATCACGATTCCAATAAATGTACCAACCACGGCCGAACCCAATAGAGTGAGGAAAACGGGGATGCGGATCGCCCAGACACGGGGAGGGAAGAGGCCATGGAGAGGATGGCCGGGGTCGACGAAGGGCTGACAGTTGTCAGTAAGCGCAATTGCAGGGACGGTACATGAGGGGGAGGAGTAATACCATAAGGAGAGTCCATGCCGTGTAGTATAGAAAGATCGCGGTAGCGACCAAAAGCATGACGGATCCCACGATTGGGCCCAACTAGAACATATAAAGTCAGCCGCGGTCCATTGGTAGACAGAAACAAATCCACTGTAGACTAACCATAGTGACTCTAAAGAAAAGGGAAAACGATATGCTCCTGATGCGCAGGAATTCCGTGCGGGAGTCGCAGTTGGTCACTTAGTTCAGGAGCCGCCGTCCAGCTTGGCCTCTAATCAGTCACGTGATTGATCGCGCTAAAGAGCTTGCCATCTCCCTTCGCCGCCTCATTCTTATCCGGAGCTTCAACATTCAAAAGAATTAGTCGTCCTGCCTTCGCGCACACTCGACTCTGGGAGACTTCAGCGAAAAAGATCTGAACTCGAAAAGATCTTTTTTGGCCAGTCTCGGGAATATGACGGATCCTGTGGTGTTGCAATCCGCCGTACGAGTGCCGACGCCTCCCCCAGGCGAGTCGCAACCTTCAGCTTCACGCAAACGGTCTCCTCCCTCGCGTTCTCCGTCTCCGAATCGTCGCCGTTCGGCTCCGGGTGATTCGTTGAAGCAGGATGGGGACGCACCTCGCCTCGACGATGAGCGTGCACGGGAAAGAGAACGCCAGCTCGCCGAGCGGGTTCGCGAACACGAGAAGAAAGAAGCCGCGCGAAAACCCATGACGGACGAAGAGAAGCAAGCATCAGCCAAGGCAGAGTATGAGAAATTGTTGAATATGCGCTCTGGTGGTACCTATATTCCTCCGGCCCGACTGCGCGCCCTGCAGTCACAGATCACGGACAAGTCCAGCAAAGAGTATCAGCGGATGGCATGGGAAGCCTTGAAGAAATCGATCAATGGTCTTATCAACAAGGTGAACGTGTCAAACATCAAGTTTATTGTTCCAGAACTTTTTGGTGAGAACTTGGTCCGCGGACGTGGTTTGTTTTGCCGGAGTATCATGAAGGCTCAGGCTGCCAGTTTGCCGTTTACTCCGATCTACGCTGCGATGGCCGCCATTGTCAACACCAAATTGCCTCAAGTTGGCGAACTGCTCCTCTCCCGATTGATCGTCCAATTTCGGAAAGCATTCAAGCGGAACGACAAAGCTGTCTGTATCTCCTCTACTACCTTCATCGCACACCTTTGCAATCAGCAGGTCGTCCATGAGATGACAGCCGCCCAGATTCTCCTTCTTCTCCTTCACAAGCCTACGGACGATAGCGTTGAAATTGCCGTCGGTCTTACACGAGAGGTTGGACAGCATTTGGAGGAGATGAGCGGACCTATTGCGCTGGCGGTATTCGATCAATTCCGCAACATCCTGCACGAGGCCGATATCGACAAGCGTGTACAGTATATGATCGAAGTTCTGTTTCAAGTGCGCAAGGACAGGTACAAGGATAACCCAGCGGTAAGAGAGGATTTGGATCTAGTGGAAGAGGAGGATCAAATTACCCATCGCATTGGTCTAGACGATGAGATTGAAACCCAGGACGGGCTCAACATCTTCAAATATGATGAGCAATGGGAGGAACACCAAGAGGCGTACGCGCGGTTGAAGGCAGAGATCTTAGGAGAAGGTAGCGAGGATGAAGATGATGAGGACGAATCGGACGTGAGCTCGGATGAAGAAGAGGACGAGGAGAAGAAGATGGATATCAAGGATCAAAGTAACACAGATCTCGTCAACCTTCGACGGACCATTTACTTGACAATCATGTCGAGTATTGACTTTGAAGAATGCTGTCACAAGCTGATGAAGGTCTCGCTACCACCTGGCCTGGAGCCAGAGCTTCCATCCATGATCATCGAGTGTTGCTCTCAAGAGCGCACTTACTCAAAGTTCTACGGATTGATTGGAGAACGGTTTGCCAAGATCAATCGTCTCTGGTCGGACTTGTTTGAGGCTGCGTTCGCCAAATACTACGACACGATCCATCGGTACGAGACGAACCGGCTTCGCAACATTGCCTGCTTCTTTGGCCACATGCTCAGCACTGACGCGATTGGCTGGCATGTGATGTCTATCATCCATATGAATGAGGAGGAGACAACATCGAGCAGTCGTATCTTTATCAAGATTCTCTTCCAGAATCTCGGAGAACATCTTGGACTGCCCAAGTTGCGGGCGCAGATGACGGATGAGATCCTTCGACCCAGCTTCGAGGGACTCTTCCCTATGGACAACCCACGCAACACGCGTTTCTCCATCAACTACTTCACCAGTGTCGGTTTTGGTGTTTTGACGGAAGATATGCGTGAACACCTCAAGAACCTGCCCAAACCGGAGCCGCCCGCACTGCCGCCGGCTAGGGATGCAGATTCGGATTCGGAGTCGGTCAGCAGTCGTTCGTCTTGCTCGACCTGCACAGGTCCCCGCCACTCTCGCTCCCCGTCCAGGTCCAGGTCCTACTCGTACTCCCGGTCGCCATCGCGGAGCCGTCGTGGACGGTCCTACACACGGTCTCTGTCCCGGTCGTCTCGGGGACGAAGCTACAGTTACACTCCTTCCCGTTCCCGCTCCCGCTCTCGCACTCCTCCAACACGATCCCGCCGCCGCTCCGTTTCCCACAGTCGATCCCCAAGCCGGTCCGTATCGCGGACACCACCCCGACGAGGCCGAGCCCGCTCCTACGACTCACGGGATTCGCGAAGCCCAAGTCCCTACCGCTCACGGAAACGCTCGCCATCTCGATCTGTCACCCCACCTCGAAAGCGGAGCTACTCTCGCTCGTTATCACGGTCTGCTACACCGCCTCGTCGCGGAGCTGCGGCACCTAAAGCCAGACGCTACTCAGATAGTGTGTCACGGTCACCGCCACGTCGTCGTGGTGGAGGTGCTCGCGATGATTCCCGCTCGCCTAGCCCACCGCCGCGCCGAAGAAGGTACTCGGATTCGGTGTCACGGTCTCGCTCGCCACCGCCTCGTCGGAGTCGCAGGTCGCCTTCGGGGAGTCCACCTCGGCGGGAGGGGAGAGGTCGCGCCAGCGACCATTTTTAGTCCAGGGATTTAAAAGCAGGATCTGCATGGATGATAGGTAGTCTAATGGTTTGGGGTGCATCTAGGAAGATTGAATGGATTTGTTTATATTGGGTTGTAACGATAATACCATGTTTGCTTTTCGTAAATCTTGATCAATTGGGTATCCCTATCTCTAGCCCATGCTCCGTATATACACGCTGTACTCCGTACTGCACTCTATACCCTGTCCTCAAGGGCCTGCCTCCCACATACACCTCGAACACAAACACAATCCACCAAGAGCACCGCTGGCCCACTCCCTCCTCTCCTTAACATCCAACCCAATATCACAATAATGATTCAAAATCTCCTGATCCTTCCTAATCCCATCAAACTTCTCCTCTCCACCCCCAGTCTCCGTCTCCGTCACCGGTTTAGCAGGCTTCCAAACAGCCCTCTCCCCAATCCCCCTCACACTAAACGTAATCTCCCCACCCCACTCCCACCGCACATTCGGGTCACATGAATGATTCGCCAAACACCACAGCGGATGCACAGCGCATAGCTCCGGCCCGCCGTCCCACGTCGATAACCTTCCCGACGCGGTACCCCGGAATTTAGCGTAGAGCGTGTTCAATACCCAGGTATCGTATGTTGGGAGGGTAGTGTAGGGGTCTAGTGTCATTTCCTCGATGATACGCATTGGTTGCAGGATGTTGAGGTGAAAGGAGAAGGGGAGACTCTTTTCCTCGTTGCTGATTTGCGTCGGGTTGGCGGGGTTGTAATCGTGGAAGTCGCCCCAGATGTACTTGACCTCGGGGAGGTCGAGGGGGTGTTTCTCTTGCGTAGCTGCCATGGCGACCGCGCGGCCTAGTAGGAGGAGATAGAGGTAGTCTGCTTTATCCTTTGGATCGGGGATATCCTTGCCAATGGACTCGAGGCCTTCGAGGAGGCCGCAGACAGCGCCGTGGTAGGTTTCCTGTGCTTGGTCGTGGCAGGTTCGGCTGCAGAAGATGGTGTCTGTGTCGTCGCAGCCTGTGCAGGGGACTGGGCCTGAATCTGTGGAGGTGGATTCGAGAGAGGGGAGGGGTGCGTTGCAGGCGTCGCAGAGGTCGTCGTGGAGGCGGTTGGTGGCTATTAGCATTGAGGATTCGCGGAGAATGATGTCGCCGGCTGAGATGTCTTCTTTGGCGAAGAGGCCTAGTTGGATCGAGATTCCCTCTTCTTCTTCGGGTTTGTCCTCGGGGTTTTGCTTGTCGGCGTGCAGAACGGGTAGTGCAACAGCGCGAACCTCACACTTTGGCGCGACGTCTTTCAACCGCTCATTAAGCAGGTTCAACTCCTCGGGTGCTTTGCGATTTGGCTCATGCTTGTTCCACGGGTACAGCACTCGTCTGGCATATCCTTGAGCAGGAAGCGCACTCGCATCGATCTCAGCTCCGTCGCGTTTAGTCCGCTCAGCATACACCTTTCTAATAACCCCCATCTGCTCCTCGAGCACCTTAACATTCTTGTCATCAGACTTAGCGCGCAACTCCTCCAACCCTCTGGTACAGAAATCAAACGCATCCCGGAAACAACCAACATCCACCAAGCTGCGCACAAGCAATGCATACACATCTCCGATGATCTGGTCGTATTCTTCCTGCGTTATCGGTTCGCCGTCATCCTCGTCCTCATCATCACCCTGCTTCTCAGTCTGAGATGCATCAACGTCAACACGCCTAGCGTGAAACTCACACCCATCCGGATCAACCACTGATTCTAACAGTGACAGTGCACGGTATGCATCTGCGGCCGCTAGATCGGAGAATCCGAGTTGGTGGTTGACCAGGCCCCGTGAAAGGTGGCGATGGGGGTTGTGCGAGTCTGCGTAGAGTTGGGATGTTTTTTCTGAGTGATTTTGAAGGATATCCATTTTGACTTTGCAGATTATGATTTAGGGTACGAAGTGAAGAAGGGAGGCGAGGTGAAATGGTTATGAAGTGGGACTGTACAAAAAAGTGGGATGAGGGTTAGAATTTGATATTCCCCAGATTAGACATCCAATCGGAAACACCACGGGAACGAGGGTAGAGAAGCAAAGATGCAGGATGTCTCTACTGTATTCGATCTAATCGTCCCTCATTGAATTGTAACGGATTGGAACAACAAATTGATCGAGCTGCTAGTACTCAACATCTACTTCCGCGAGAAAAAAAAAAAAAAAAAAAAAAAAAAAAAAAAATCACGTGAATATATCAAGTCGAGTCACGTGGATGTTTGCTAGGGTAATGGGTAATTTCATGCAGTTTAAATCCCTATAAGTAGGTCATTCTATCTGTAATACAATCATAAATAATATCATATGTATAAAGCGCCCAGCTGTTGAAAGTTTATGCCCTTGGTACGCCTTTCCCTTTCAAGAATGAACAACGAAGAGAATGCCAATATCGACAAGAATACAATTAAATATTCGAGTGTCACGAAGAGTCACAGTCGACATCACATCATCTACAACAGAAGATATCAGCTTAGATCCAAAACACAAAAAGGAAAGAAACTTACAGCGCAATTCGGATCGACAACAAGCGTCGTTCCCTCGCCGTCACCTTGAAGCTGTCTATGTCTCAAATTCGTAGCAAGCCGAGCCAACATACTCCTCTATACCCTAGTCAATACTCGCATCTTCCAGTTCTGGGGGGGAGACGCACAGTAACATAAGCATCACTCATCCCACCCTGTCGATCAACATCATTCTGGCTCATGATGCGATAACTATCATGCATACGCCGACAACTCGAGAGACCATAGATATTCGAGTCGTCGCCAAGCGCGTTGACAGGATGATCGGGGTTGAGGATGTTGATGCCGCGATGGGCATCGTCTTGCGCTTTGCGGTCTGGAGAGAAGACCTTGACGGTGCTGTCAATTCCGGCGGCGGCGATGGTTGGTTCGTAGGGGTGGCCTGTTATCGTCAGTACTACTCAATAGACATGCGTAGGGAGGGGGGAAATACCCTGTACAACATTGACAACCTCGCTATCCCCTTCGAGGATATTAACCAGATCACTCGATTGTCGATCCCAGATGAACACATGGCCCGAGTCGCTACCACTCACGACATATTCATCATTCAGGCCAAAGAAACCGACGTCCTTGACGGTCTTGATATTGCAGTGTCCGCGATAAACCCTAGTATGTGTATCGCAGGGGGCATCGATTTCGACATACTCCCGTCGTGCTCGTGGAAACCCATTCGTTCCGGATAGGAGGTCCGCAATTTCAACGTCTTCTTCGTCTTCGTCTTCGTCTTCATTTGCAACGTCATCGTCATCCTCCTCCTCCTCCTCCTCCTCGTCGTCGTCGTCGTCGCTGGCATCACTGCCATTGTCGCTAGTACTAGCCAGATCGTCGATTTCAATATCGCCATCATCGCCAGCATCGCCAGCATCGCCAAGAGCCTCATCATCATCGTGACCGTCCGGAAACCTACGTTCCATTCTCTCGAAAAGACTCAACGCCGATATATCACTCGCAGCAGTTTCACTCCCATCATACCTCCCGGGCCCAAACGAACCCGAGCCCCGTCTAACCAGATTAATATCTCGAATCGGTTCCTCCTCTTCATTAGGATCGATGTCCTCCTGTGACCTTTCCTGCCCCAGTTCAATGTCCTCATCTTCATCGCTCTCGTCGTCTTCAACCGTAGTCGTGCGTAAACCGCCAAAAGCCCACTTGCAGTATTCAAAGTTCACGCCGGAGGCTATTTCCATCAGGATTCCTCGGCCTGCTTTGAGGACCCAAAAGCGTTTTGCTGCACCTCGATCGAGGGCCTGTACTTGTGGGGATCCAGTGGACTCCTCGTAATGGCCGTCGACACGGGCTGCGGCATTATTGAGATCCTCCAAAGGTATCTTAATGGCATTTGCAAATGCCGTCAACGCCGCATGTTGTGTCGGGAACAATACCCTCGTACTATCATGCTCGAACCGCGAAGCATCAACGTTCACAATAGGTGTGTCACCAGCAAGTCCCTGCAAATACGGAATCAAAACCGTCTCGATCGCTTCATCACCGGCGCCCTCCGGAATCGGAAACCGAGACTGGTTACGTCTCTGCGCAGGATCACGCTTGAACCCGGACAGAAGAGCAGCTCTCCCACCTTCCACCCAAAGCAGAATAGCCTTGAGAAAGTCATATCCAAATTGCACCGGCGGGTCAAGAGTGCTCTCCCCAGGAGACGGTCTTATCTGCTTGAACAGGTCAACGTCAACAATGCCCGGTCTTCCCTCTACCACTTCTGATGAACTCTCAGCCACGCTTCCTAGAACACGGAGCGTTGTCCCTGCGGCCTGCACGAGTCGCCAGGAAGCTTCCCGGTTCCGGCGGAGCGTTTGCTGGAAATTCACCATATCGGGTGTAGGGTTGAGAGGATATGACCATGAGATCATCACTTCGTTCATCTGGTTGAGACAGTATGAGGCGTGCGCGAGTGAGGACTTGAAGAACCGATGAGTGGGCGCTGATTCTGCCTCATCCGATAATGACACATTACTAGCTTCATGCAAAGCTGACTCCAGTGAGAAGAGGGCTTTGCGGAGCGTAACCAGACGCTTTGCAATACGCACGCTCAACCGCTGGGTATCAGTGAGTACCGCATTGCGAGCCCGCTCAATCACCTCCTCTGGCGCATCGAAGAACGTCTCAGACAGCGTTGGCAAAGGAATATCCTCCGACTCCCCATTACCGTACCGGACTCTGAACGCGAGATCGCCGCCATCTTCATTCTCCTGGGAGCGACGACGAGACTCATGTCGATTACCGCTGGCTTGCGACGAGAATGAGGCTTCCTCTTCTTGCTCTTGGCGGCGCTTACGCTTCTTGGCCTTGGAGCTTTTCCGCTTACGTGGACGGGGCGATCCGGTAATGGGGTTTTCTCGGGTGGACTGGGGATCTCTTGCATCGGGGCTCCGGATTAAGTCAAAGCTGTAGATGTGATCGCCGGACCAGCTAACGATCATCTCGTTCGGGTTGGCGTTGCTGATTTTACAGTCTGTGATATGGCCATTATCACGAGTCCGCATTCGTTTCTTGCCATTGGGCGCGAACCGTCGAACACATCTGGTTGCTTGCCCCATCATTTCGTCGTCACGACTACTACTACCACTTGCCGGGGAAGAACTTCCGGGATCTCCTCTTTCGGTCTGGAGGTCACGTCCTAGCATACGTCTATCGTGAAGGAAGCAGTGGAGGTGGGCGCCACCCAGGGCAATGTAATGCGGTTGGCTAGAGGAGCAGGAGATGGTGTTGAGGTCCAGTTGGTACCGCTTGTAGGAGATCAACGGCGGCGGAACATTCCCATCATCGTGATCAAGCCCCGGTCGGTACGCCATGGGTCCCTGACCACCCCGCGGCTGCGGGTATGCCGACGACGGCTGTCGTAAATCCCACTGGCGCACCTCACCGTCCTCGGAGCACGTAAGGAACAAATAAGGCGACGATTCGGTGACAATGCGCTTGGCGCGATCTGCATGGCTGCGGTAGACCCTCGTATTGGTATTACTCTCGCTCAGATAACGTGTACCATCGAAGAAGTTATCGAACCGACGACTTCGCGCAGATGTGTTAAACACCGATGCGGCAGCAGCATTACTGCTGTTGTTCGAATATTCGATGTCAAAGACACGCACCTGAGAATCCCCCGCACACGTCACCAGTGTCCGGTCGTTGGAGTGCGGCATGAACTTGACAGAGAAGATATTGGCCCGGTGTCCGGTCAGGATAGTAGTATTAAGGGAAAACGGCGCGGTCGAGGAGTCCGGCTGGTAGGAATAAAGGTTGACATGCTTATCGTCCGAACCTGATGCCAGTAGACGGCCAGAGCCAGACCAGCTATATCCGTCAGGCGCCACACTCCAATGCCTTTGTATGAAGAATAGATAAAACCCACCATAGCGCATTTACACACCCCGTATGTCCACCCAGTTCGTTAACAATATCCAGATCGTTTACCCATTCCTTCGATCCGTAAATTCCACTAAGGCTCGCATACCGCGATTTCTCGCCGGATTCGCGGCGCCAAAGACGATCGTACAGCGAATCTTTCATTATCGCAAACGGATCGGGAGGAATTTTGGGAGGAGGTATGTTCGCTAATCGATCTTATCGGATTTGAATGGTCAAGCCGTAGTAATCAATGTCAGGTTCCAATCATGGCGTTGTACGTAGCGAAACTGTCGGGTAAAGCTGACGTCAATTAAGAGATTCGAGATAAGAGGAAAAAGACAATCAAGCAATGTTGCAGTAGAAGCACAGTCATGACTTACTTTCGCTATCTTCACGGGCAGCGAAACGACAGTCAGAGAGAGCGTGTATGTGAGTGAGGGGTATAGAAAAGCAGCTCCGAGCTGCACTGTAGTCCGTCGAATGTCTGCGACAAAGGAGTGTCCAACCGCGGCCTGTCGAGAGAAACAAAATACACCGTGTATATATCACCAGTACATGAGCCGATAGAGCAAAAACTAGGTAAGAGAAGAGAGAGAGAATGTGCGAGAAGATGGAGTATAAGACCTCCGGAGAACAGCAGTGGCCGGAGTCTAGCTCCACCGGATCCAGAGCCGCCGCAAGTTAGGATAAAGGCGCCAAAGCAGCCCACAGGACTGGAGTATTCGAGTTATTGTGTTCTCGTGCCTCGATTCCACGCAGTATCTCTGTATTCCGCATAGAAGAATGCTTGTACTGTGGTCGCAGTTTTCACAAGATGGCCTCGCTATGACGCCACGCCGGAGGCTTGCTGACTAAACCCGATACAGCAGAAGTAGGAATTCGAGCATACAAGTACGCAGGGGATTTGAAAAGATAGTAAGGCAGAAAGTACAGTTGTTCATTCAGTCATTCAAGTACGTATGTTATTCATGAATATACTTGCATTTTTCGTCGTTAAATTGGCTATCTATTCTCTTATACCCATATTTATACGGTGGACTTGCGTGGTATATGATGATCGACGGTTCAACTACACTCATTTTTCCCATCGTGTCTAATACCAGCCAAAAAAAAAAAAAAAAAAAGGGTCTAAGAATCTGCCAGAATTTGCTGCACAGGCTCGGTGGCGAGCAGATGAGGATCGATTAAAGTGGCAAAGTGGCAAGACAATTGTATCCTTGGCATCGATTCGGCTCGTGCCATAGTAATAACGCGAAATGGATTGAATAATTCAATTGGACTAACAATAAACTACGAGAGATTTCATCAGGGTTCTGTGACGGCTCAACGCCAGACAAACAGCGCCAACATATCAAACGATGCCATACAAGCAATATGGGCAAACAAGGGCTTAAGCCGCACCACACAAATGCCTATAAAGACCGTTCATCGCCTAGATAGATTTCCTTTTCTTCTTCTTCTTCCCCAGATTCGATATTCTCGTCGATGGCTACAATAGTTTAGATAGGAATTCAGTTCATTAGTATCTACTATTCCGAGCCCGTGACACTCTAGCGTTTACAGCCGTTCTCCTGAATTACCCAAGACATTCTTCCTGCCGCCCTTAGCCCCAACGGATAACCCCCAGCACCCGACGCAGCATGATCTGCCCGAAATCAATCCCTTGGACCATCAAATAGCACTAGCGCACGGCTCCACCATGGCCTTGGAGACAATTCGCACACGTCTGCAGCGTGCCAAAACAGACCAGCCACTATCGTTACACCAATCACGTCAGGAAAAGCTCCGGCAATGGAAGGCACAGGAAGAGGAAAACCGGTTTTATTGCGAGTGTCTGAAGAACTTTCAAGAACTGTCAAAGATAGCTCTTGGTACGTGCCAAGACCTACTACAGTCAAACCTCGCCAAGACGATCCCCATATAGCCGATAACCTCGCATAGCCGATAACTCTCTCCGGGATGAATTCTACCCCATATAATTCAACCTCACTCTGCTATCATACCCCGATCCCCGATATATCTGAAGCCATATCGTCTATCTGAAAAGCTCATCCTAGTGGAAACATTACTGCTCAGCCAATCAAAATGCCGCAATCCTCCAAGAGGCTGATTTCTGACACACTGAGATTGGGCTCACAATCAGTCTCGCCGTCCAACACAGAAAGCCTGTATAGCCGCGCTGCGGCCTCCGCAGTGCGGAACCGCTGTGCAGTGTGGACTTATGCACTATCTATCCATGTACATAAATATCAGGTCACATGACCAATGCCGGTCATGTGACCGCTGTGAGAATACTGAAATGGGGATCGGGGGCCGGAGGTCCGGAGGAGTCGATTATCCGCGATTAGCGAGGTCGTATACGGAGAGATCCAGTTTTAACGAGAAAGCCTTCGAGCTGTCTAGAAAATCCGATACATATGTGCCTCTGTATACACATGACACCTTCCCAGATCCCCCGTCCACTACTGTACATGTACATGTAAGCATCCGGATGATGATAATATCATCGCCATCCAAGCAATACGGAGTATTTCCCGATTCCCCAGTGCTTTGCCTTCTGTCCTCTGTACACAATGGAAACAACCGTCTGGGCCCGAGAACTATCACTTGACCAACAGCGGATACACCGCTGTCCTAAATGGGGAAGATTCGGTTGCTTGAAACCGGTTTATTTGACAAGTCGTTTAACGATAATCTCGAACAGAAACTCAGGCGAAAGGAACCGGTTTGGTCAGCACATGACCGACTGACAGGGGGATCGTGAGCGTCTTCTTGACATCCAGGAAGTCAGACGTCCAGTGCATCGTAGTCATCTTGCTAACATGTTAAATCTTCATGATATGAATCGTGTACTGTGTAGAACCATCATTCAAAGGCACGTCTCCACATCCCAACTCTCAAACTCCGATCCTCACGAGGCCGGTTGTCAGACACGACCAAAGGATCAGTGAGCTGACTCACCCACGCCCTCTCCGATCGTACAATCTCGCGTTCAATCTCGCGCATCGCATGAATCTCATCCAGCATGGAATTCACCATATCATCAAGTCCTCGTGCGATCCGAAGAAGAGCAGAATCATTTAGCTTCTCCGTATCCCCGTAGCCCAAAATATCAAGACTCTGTAGCTGCCGCGAGCAGAGCTCGAGCTTCATTGCCAGGTCGTTAACCTCGTCTCGCCAGACACCATCGAGTGGATCAATAAAGACCACAAGATCAGCTGCCCCCGAATCGAGCTGAGTGCGGATTTTCTTGATTTCGTCGGCTTTTCGGAACCAGTACTCGAAGGTTTGGATAGCCAACGTGTATCTTCCTCCGACTTCATCTGACAGCTCAATCACTTCCTGCATGGTTTGCGAGAGAAGCTGGATCTGTTCGGCAAATCCTAGACGACCGTTATGTGTTTGGATGCTCTGAACCCAGAAATCCAGCGCTTGTCCGTTAAGACGACGCTGCCACTGCTTCTCCTCGTCCACGATAGAACGGTACTTCTGCGCGACCGAGCCATACTTCTTCCGCAGCTTTGCTTCCGATCCAGCCTGCCATTCCGCATGTTGCTGGAGCGAGGACGAATGGAAGAGATACAGCTGCAAGACTTCAGTTTGTACTGCCGCAATCTCCGGCCAGAACGAAGGCATCAAAGAGGGGTCCATTTCTGCAGTAACAGCAGCAAGCGCACTAGCAGCAGCATTAGTAGAAGCCGTAGGAGTCACCGCAGTCGAGCCCCTGACCGTCTTTCTCGGCGATGACTGCGGTGTCGTGGAAGATGGTTTCAAACGCGGCGTGGTAGCCGGCGTCACTATCTGACTGCGAACTCTAGTATGACCCCTAGCACCCGCCGCTGGGACGCCTGGACTCGACTGAGGTGTACTTGGTTGTCTGAGAGAAGCCGATCGGGCAGGTCGGGGAAGAGGCGGCGGAAGCATACTCGTTTTCTTGGTAGGAGAAATCGACGGTACATTTCTCGTGGCTTCTGCCTGTTTTCGTGGTGAAGTCGAAGACGTAGCCGGGGCAGTAGCGGATGTAGGGGTAGTCGCAGTAGTGGTAGAAGCAGTAGGCCTCCCCGAGGAAATCGTCCTCGAAACCGTCTTCAGCGGACTAGGTCTCAAGCTCTGGCGACGAGCGATAGCAGCACTACTGCTACTTGTGCTAGTAGCAGTGGTTGCCGTAGAGTTCTGGGATGTAGGGCGTTTCGCATCTTCCTGTTGTTGCCGTTGTTGTGGCTGTTGTTGCGACGCCGTCCTTCGATGTGTAGCGGTAGTAGTCGTAGTCGGAGCTCTAGCAGTCGCAGCCGCAACCGAAGCACCGGTAGCAGGCTTATTGTTAATTCCCCGTTGTGGTACCCGTAATCTGCTCTCCTGCGTCTGCGTTCTCGCAGTCGACGATGTTGTTTCCCGGACCGAACTATGGCGTTGTGGCAGTAACATCGACTTTCTCCGATTCAAGGCGCTCTCGTTCGCTGCGGTGGAGGCTGGCGCCTTTGTCGCCGTGCGGGTTACATTGGAATTAGAACTACCCTGAGACAATTTAAAGTCAGTCGATTTGTCAAATCGAGAACTCGATGGCATAGAAAAACTTCCTCGGAGGTTACAGCCAGGGAGTGACAGGGGTGTGTGCACAGTGCGGAGGACTTACCTGCTGGCGGGGCTCTCGTAGGGAAACGGAGCGCGTTGGAATGGGCATGATAGCATAGATCAAGGCATCTGCAGATTCCAATTGAATGTGAGGGAAAAAAAAAAAAAAAAAGGGCAAATATCCCTCAGGAATGTGCAGAGTACAGATATGTTTGCTGGTTGGTAGGGGTTCTTGGTTGTTGTAGTCGAATGCGGTGAGATCCCGCATCATCAACAAAGCTTGGCGGCGGTAAATCCGAGGTAAGCTCGAGCAGCTACGGATTATTTCAGTTCTAGATAAAAGTATTGGAAACTAGTGAAGTATAATAAAGCTTCATTTGCTCTTTTAAATCATAACTTATACTAGATACATGGGCTCCATTTTATCATTCAAAGCTTAGAGGCTCCCGCGCCGCGGGAATGCAACACCCTCCACAGCAGGATGGTCAGTGAACCAGCTGACCTTCTCACCAGCACCCTGGTTAACCAGAGCCGAAGGCAGGCTACGACCCTCTTCAGTATCAAAGATCTGCTTCAGAATATCCTTCTTTCCACCACCGGTAGCAACAAAGGCAACGTTGAGCGCATGAGTGACGACAGGAAGGGTCAAGGTAATGCGCTTCGGCGGGGGCTTGGGCGAGTTGGTCTCAGCTGCCACCCAGGCGTCCTTCTCGCGCAGCAGCTCGTGACCAGGGAACAAACTGCAGGTGTGACCGTCAGGACCGCAGCCCAGGAGGATGAGGTCGAAAACGGGCAACTTGACGCTGTCCTTGGCGGCAAAAGAGCGCATCAGATCCTCCTGGTACAGGTCGGCCAGTTCCTGCGGGTCGTCGTCGCCGACGTGTTTCTCATTGATGGGGTGGATGTTGGGGGTACCCAATTCCGAGGGAATCTTGCTGACAAGCTCGTCCTTCAGGAGACGGTAGTTGCTGTCTGGGTGGTCGAGGGGCACGGCGCGCTCGTCGGCGAAGAAGATCTCCCACTTGGAGAACTGCGGGGTGTCTTCAGGGGAGCCATTGCTGGGGGCCAGGAGGGCTTCAGCTAGGATGGCTGGCAGAGAGCCACCGGAGACGGCAAGGCGAAAGGTGTTGTGACGGTTGATAGCGGAATTCTGAGCCCGGAGCACATAGGGCCGCAATTGCTTGGCCACAGTGTCGGTGTTGGGGAAGCTGTAGAGGACGGGAGAGGAGGTAGTCATGGTGAGGGATATAATGATCTAGTGCTATATGTGATAGATAGGTAATTTGAAGGGAGAAGAGAAAAAGAAGAGGAAGAGAAGAGGAATGGAGTGTTCCGGAGTGATGTCGAATCGGTCAACCTGTTTTGGCGGGGTCGGCGGGGCAGGACGGATTCGATCACGACACTAATATTCAGACGGCCGTTCTGTTATAGGGGAATATTCCTTATACTCAAGTATGAGGCAAATTGATAAGAACGGTAGAGCAATTCTGTGTATTCTGCTGTGCTGGAGAATCGCCTTTGTATATGATGTGAAGTGGTTACTCGCCCATGACGTCGTTGCCATTCATTCTTCCGGATGAAGTAAATAGCTTCAATCCACTATCCCTACACCGTATGGTAAAACACAATACACAATTTCACATCGCACAATTCTAACTTTTGATATGGTACACTCAGGTCGTTTTCCGGCGCCAGTCATAACCACTTAGACCACTACGCTGGTCATCTCTGCTTGCCAAGTCCTACGGTGCGCTGATAAAATCTCAATAATTTACAGCCTATTTGAAGGCTCCTATCCGATCCCTGGAAGACTGCGGAGAAGTCCTGTTGCTGTGCAAGCCACGTGCATCATCCTTAGGTGCTGTCGCAAAGTAAAGCTTGTTGCGCATGTTTGACAATCGATTAGATGCGAGTGATGGGAGAACAACGATGTACAATGATGTAGTCGAGGCCCCGTTGCAATGGATCACTTGGGTCTTTTTTATTAAAATCGCTATCCAATTCGTATTCGTTGTCAACATTCCTGTATTAAAATGGATATTGGTACGGAGTATATATCCATATCGTCCGGTTTGTCAATAACCGCGAGATCCGATCCAGCTGTCGTGGGGTATTGATTAACTCTGGTACTCAAGCCTTAGACCGAGAATAGTATGGACCGTGATAATAATGCCTTACCTCATGCCCGCCTGACACATTGTTGTACACTAATCTCTCTGTTGCGCAGGGTGAGACTGGGGATGATGTGCCTAGTGCTGGCACCTGCATTGACATCATCACAGACAGGATCTGAAACCCTAGCTAATCAAAGGCTTGTGAGGTTCATTTCAATCCAACAGTTGTCGATCAAGGGTAGCGAGTCAGTCGACAGTATTGGGCATCTTATAGACCTGCAGAGAATGCCGTTGGGCTTGAGAACTTGACAAGTCTCGCTGATGTACGGAGTACTCCGTAGTGAATTGGGCATCGTCTAGCCAGATCTCGAGCCAGCGCATCTGACCGTTGGCATCCCGTAGTTGCCTGGTTTTATGGGCAAAACATAGTCAGGGCCTTGCCAAGGCAACTTGTGGACACCGTCACATCGAGGCATCTCCAGGGCAGCAACGACAGTTCAGCTCAAGCAGGACGGACGGACATACCCCTGAGCTTTAGCGCGGAGGATCGACACTGCACGAAGCGAAGGAATATTATTGACAGAGGCACAGACCGAGTTAATATCCCCTCATCTGGGATTGTGATAAGTTACAGAAGCGAAACACGCGATGACTGTTAGAGGGAGACTATCTAATCTCGGTACAGTAGGCGGTATGGATGGGCAAATTCACATGGGCAAAAATGCTCGACAAACTACTTCCCTTTCAGTAATGGACTCATTATGACACGAGCTTGGAATCACTTTAGTCTCCTGTATGATGTCAGTGAGGAACCCACAGCTCTATCAGCCCATGCACGCTATATGGGAGCGATCGTGTCGGATTATCCACTCATGAATGATGATGAACGGTCCCGATGCATGCGCATTAACCATTTGGTCTGCTTGCATGCCGCCAGCCGCTAATTAGGCTGTTATGGATCGAGTATCCGGAGTCTTCCGCTGCCAACCTGGCAGGATTATTGCCAGGTGTCGGTCATTGTACGGAGTACTTGTATTCTGTAGTAAATGGCATCCCGAGTTATACGGAGTACAGCAGTGCCCTTCTCGGGAACTCGGTGGTTGTAAATGCCTCATGCTGAGACGAATGTGGTATGCCTACCGGTTGCCCTTATGCATTCTTCTGTTTACTCGCTTTTCTCTATCCCGAGTTGGCACGGAGTTGCGAGAGAATTCAGGGTCAAATAGGGGTAGACACCGAGTACTAACTAACTCTCCACTACCTCGAGCACAGTGTCTTGTCCCCTACTCCATACTACTCCATTCAGAAGGCAGGCTATCTGCTAAAATGTCAGATTCTGAAACGCCGGAGGTGGATCCCCAAAGCCTCGCAACAGGAATGCACAGCCGCAGATTGTCACTGTCAGCGAGCATACCTTTTTTGAATGGTTACAATTACAAAGTATCTCTTTTTCTTGTATCATGTCCATAGAAACAGGATGATCCGCCAGTAAGTTTTCATGACGCCATGACCCCGGGGCAAAGAAGAGGAGGAGTTAGAAGGATTCACCAGCCAGAATTCCCGGATTCGATCTCCAGAATGGGGGGTTTTTGAAAGGAATGAGGGGAGGGAGTCCTCCGTACTCCGGAGTTCGCCAGAGAGTGAAACGGCATGGAAACGTTTATTATGTGTTGAAGATCGGGATGGTGAAATTGATTCAGAAACCCATAGTTCCAAAGTTTACTGTCTTGTTTATTGCATGGGCTAAACCCGTAGTGAATTTTTTTTTCATGACCCAAAGTGGACCTACGGATCTGGAGATTTGAAGAAATCAAACCCTTTTTTTTTTTTTTTTTTTTTTTCTGCCTTCTCCTTGGCACTTGTGATGGTTGTCAATATTATTTATTAAATCTCGTCGCCTCTCTCGTCTCTATCCCATTCATTCCTTCAAGTCATTCATCCTGACTACACACACACACACACACATAACCAACTCGATCAATCCTTTATTACCTACACATTCTCAACCTCCGCCCCAGCCTCATTTACTTCCTTAAGGCTCGAACAAAATACTCTACAATTCTCTACTCCGATACAAAAAAACACATACGAAAGCAAAACAACATGAGTTCGCCCTCAGTCCAAGTCCAACCCTCCGGCGCCACAGGCAACTCCGCCCCAGGCACAGCATCAAATTTTGACATTGTGCGCTGTTCGCGTTGCCAGCGGTCGATGAGCCTGGAGAAAGACGAAAAGACACCTGGTGTGGTCCGATTCGGCATGAATTCCTACTATTGCAGTCGTTGCGCCTCCATGGTCGGCTATCCCCGTTAAAACGATGGAATTCGGCAATAAAAATGAGTGAGGGGAGGATGGTTATGAACACACAAAAACCGACTGGCACACTTGATTTTGCTGGTTATTACATTCATCTGTCTCGAGTCTCGACGACTTGTTTGGGTACAATCTGTGCGGGCACAGATTTTTCACGTTTCTTTTCGTTCGGGCATCGATCTCAGCGCGTTCCACACTACACGACACTACAACTGCAGGAGGGTACATATGAAAACTGGCGATACGGTCGGTGTCTGAAATTACTCGACTCGACACGATCAATTTGGACATGATATGAAATTTGTGGTGGATGGAACCGGAGACTCGATGGGAATTTTTTGGCATCTTTTTTTTTTTTTTTCCTTTTTCTTTTTTTTTTTTCCAACAACATATACCCATTTGTTCAATCGTTGTCATTGCATACTGGACATGTACCGAGTACGAGTCAGTGTTTGATTATTAGCGATCGTTTCTAGCGGAATACCCAGTGAGCGTTGTTTCTCTACTCTAAGAGTACTCTATGCACAAGCTACTATGATACTATTGTTCCGTAACCGTGGATAAGGATGAACCGTCGTCTACTGCCGGACGGACGGACATGTCGATCATGATGTCTGTCTATCAGTCGGAGCCATTGAATAGGAGTCGAAGGTGAACCGTGTGGTTTCTGACTGACAGATGGGTCAAGATGAAACACTAGTTTAAGTCCACTAGTGGTTCTTGTACGGAGTAGTCGAAAGGAGTTCGCTACAAGCAAAGGCTTGTATACAAATACCCCTCTATGCCCCTCCCCCTTTTTATTAGTGGTGCTTGTGGTACAGACTATCCCCGGTATTTGATTAAGAGAGATCACTGGCCTCTTGGAGATCAGTGGAGCTATTGTTCCTTCGCATCACTGACATAATGGAGTCGTGAACTTCGGAGTATGGACTAGTATCAACCGACTTCAGCTGAGTATGTCAGTGCAGTACACAGTACAGAGTACTCAATACTTGTACACAAGCATAAATGCAGAGGCATACTAGTACTAGTTCACTACTGTGCTTGGACAGGGGTGTGTATCTGACTGATCGTGTTGGTACAGATCCAATTCACATTGTTCAGAACAATATGATTCATACCCGATAATCAAATAATATTATTATCCATGCCTGCACGACGGGGTTCACCTGCCTTGTCCTTCGATTACCATGTATTTCTACTCTGTACGAGGAAATCTGGCGGTGTGAGAGATCACGGCCACCATGCATCTCAACATCCCAGTCATTCCTTCTTGTAGTAACACAGCAAGCAGCAATGGCACGGAACACTGGAATTGAACCACATAAATTCAAGATTGGGACAGATCCGATCTATCCCTAGTCAGGAACCATTCGTTGCTTTTGTATGATTTGTTATCTCCCGCAGGATCGCTGTATGATATATTTTGGGAGTGTCACCTACTTTCCATAATGCTACAGGACACAATAATAAATATATTCAGCTCAGCAAGCCCATTTTTCCAGCCACAGTGCAGACTGATATCAAATTCGCAATGCAATTGCACCTGACACTGCCTCTTTATTCGTCAGCTGTTGTTGTGCCGGGTTTTGCAACTGGGTTATTTCTTTTTCTTTCACTCTGCTGCGTTCCTTTTTAACCGCTGTCAGCGGTTGCAACTGAGTTAATTGCTGACATTTGCTGTTATAAGTCTACGGTGTATTCTTGGATTACTGGGTCATATAACTACCCTTCAACTCATAATCTGTTCTTGTTCTTCATTATCCTTCTGCATACCCTACGCTACAGCACTATGCCTACCCGCGAGAAATCACGCCCGAGACCTCGAGGATCCGACGAGGAATTCGTCGTCTTTCTTCAAGGGGTGAGCTAGCCTTGTATTCTGCTTCTCTGGAAGCCTTGCTGATGAAAGAAGATCCCAGCTCACTGCCGCTGGCAAGAACTCAAAGACCTGATCCGCCAAACAGCTGTTCATATCCGCCAGGCTGTAGTGTACGACGACAGTCATGGCTTTCCTACTGGGCTGGGACAGATAATCATCAAGAATGAAGAGGAGGCGTGGAGAACTTATCGTGTGTTACCTTTGTCTTCGTGTTGATATCTGGATGGAAGACGCTGACGGTGATATACTCCATAGATCGACTATCCGCCAACGGCTGGGAAGGACAGAGTATAGTCATCACGCTCTCGAGAACCTGTGCCCCGACTCGTCCTATCGCGGGTCCTACCAGAGGTCCAGCTTGTGTGTTTCCTTCTGGTTACATGTCTGGCTACTCGACGCCGCCACGTGTGACCCATAATCTGGCTGCTCCTGGTTCTCCAGAGTAAGACGACAATCTCCTTCATACCCAAACCAATGCTAATTAGATAGATCTCTATACCAGAGCCCAGAATACGCGCCGATAATAGGCCTCCCTCAGCCACCGCCGCCGTTCGTTCCTATGCTCCAAGATCCTCTATCTCCACCGACAGCCCCAGGTCCAGGTCCAGGGCCAGCTGTCACCTGCGATCCATCACTATACACCTTCACCATCCCTCCACCGACATACCAATTCCAACACATCCCTGAACCAGTCGTTCACCTCCCAGCGAAGCCTCTATTCAACATCCCAAGCCACACCACCAATACCTTCTACACAAAATCCACCCGCCGCACAATCCTCATCCAGAACCTCAGCGCAAACACCACACAAGCAAACCTAGTCACTCTCTTCCAAGAGGCCGGCCCTATCGAGCGATGCCAGTTCGACACCACCGCAACCACCCCCGCATACACACACCACAAACAATCAGCCAGAATCACATTCACAACACCAGACTCTGCCAAACGCGCCGCCACACTATTCAACAACACCGCGTTCATGGGCTCGAAGCGCATCCGCGTACGAATCGATCGAAACCCCAATCCCAATCCCAATCCCAATCCCAGTCCCAATCCCAATCCCAACCCCAGCCCAGTCCCGATCCCAAACCACAACCATACCACAACTGTGGATACAAAAGCAACCAGCGCAGCAAGCACAAACTCGACAACACCCGCTTCAAGCCCTAGTCCTAGTCCCGGTCCTTACTCTTATCGTGGTCATAGTAGCGTCGGGACTAGTCCTGCGCATAGTGTTGCGGGCGGATCTAGACCTGCGTCGAAGGATGGCCCTGTCCCGAGACAGTCGGTGGATAAGTGTCAGCCGTTGGTGGTGAATGGGTCTGGGGTTGGGAGGAATGCGGTTGGTGTTGTTGGTTGATTGTTTTCTTTTTCATGAAGTTGCCGAAAAATCATTCGAAAAGAAATGTTTGCTATTCTGCATTTGTTAGAGCGTCTTTGGATGGACTGGTTTGGTATGGGTTGGTTATAGGTTAATAGAATGCGTTGCTATTTGTCCCCTGGCTAAAACTCAGTAGCCATGCAATTGTCTAAATACATAAAACTCATCATGTCATCTAATCCCAAATCAGTCAGTCGGTGTTAATTAATCATTCCTCATCAATCAGTCAATCAAATCAAATCAGTATACAGCGTCGCCTCGCACATGCCATGTATAATACTAAAACAAATATAACGCCTCCAATGTAAATGTAAATATGTCAGGATAAATGCAATGTGAAGAAAAGAAAACATAAATCATAATCATAACTCTGCAAAGCAGCTACTTGGCATGGTTTACCAACTCCGCATAAAGAGGACTGGGTATCTTGCGGACAACCAGGACGGTCAAGGCGATGATTTCCTTGGCGTCTAGAGGTGGGAATGAGCGTAGGATTTTATTTGGACTGTTCACTTTGTCAGTTGATTTATTTTGATCAGGGGTAAAGGGGATATACCTCGGGCTTTCAAGAATTGTATCCCTCATCCTAATCAATTGCGCGACAATACACAGAATATTCAAATGCGGTCCATACGCAAACAGAAAGTCCCATAGATGAAGCACCTCAGGTAACGGAGGCGTACATGCGCAGAGCGTCAAAACAGACGGAAACGCATACAGCTCTGCTTGCATCCCCTTGGAGAAGAGATAGGCGGCCAGTTTTGGCTCAACGACTTCCAGACACCGGTCGACGAGACGTAATCCTCTGTGGACGCCGTCCATGGCGCTGCGAATGTACCCGGGGCATTCGCGGGTAACGAAATGGTGGAAAAGCGCAAAGGCCTCGACTTCACTGCGGGCGGCGTAGAGGAACGGGGCGCACAGGACGTTCATGCCCTGGACGTAGATGGCGGATTCGCTTTCGTTTCCGCGGGCGTTGGCATTATCGTTATTATCATTAGGTGTAGTAGTAGTAGAAGTGAAAGGAGTAGTGAAGGTGGTATTATTATCAACGACGACAAATTCGTCTTCGTCTTCTTCGGCGATACGCGGCGGGGTTTTGATCAGTGATTCCATTTCCCGTCTGCGAGAGGAGGAAGGCCGTGACTTGCGGCGGCGGTTGCCCTTCGCATCTTCGAGTTTCCATGCTACCGCGTTCAACAACCGGATCAGACTTGCTTCTGTCACGCGCCGCTTGAACAGGGGATCCGTCGCCAGGGTGCGGAAAGTATCGTTGCGGATCTTGGTGTATGCCGGTGAGCGGCCACGATGGATCAGAGAAAGGTATTCATCCGTTGAAACGGGAGGGATATCGAGAAGGACGAGCCACAGGTATACCCGGTACGTTGACTATCCGTCAGTCAGTCTTAGCCCGCATTTCATTTCCTCCCCATGTAGAGAACATACCATGCCATCAACATCGGCTTCCACCCTCGTAGACAGAACCAAGTATCTCAACTCCTGCATCCCCTCTGCAAGATTCCCATCCAGCGGCCCATCTCTAAGATAGCTCTCCAAGAGCGACCTCTTCACCCCAATCCCCGACCCCGTCTTCCTAGCCGGTCGCCTCTTTCTCGGGACAGTAAGTGTCGCCTCCCGAGAGCCCGTGTCACTATTCGACCGCCCACGACCATGCGTCCGGATTCGGGCGGGGGATGCTAATTGTCGTTGGTGTTGTTGTTGCTGGTGGTGGTGTTGTTGCGTTGCTAGGGAGGACTCGTCGGTATTGGCGGCGGAAGTGATGGATTGAAGATCGGAGGACGTATTCGATGAAAGAGTGTGATGTGATTGTATTTTGCGCAGAGATCGCATCGTTCGCGGGGAGGGCGAGGGGGATGCGAGGGCAGCGAGGTTGAGCTGCGCTTGTGTTGGGCGGGAGGTCATTTCGGTCGTTTTCGTTTAGTGTTTGTTTACCTCCGGTTATGTTCAGGTGTGTCGTTGTTTAGCGCATATATAATCTTCTGATGCAGCACCAGATGTAAAACATTTTTTCTTGCAGCGAGTCGAGGTCAAAAAGTGCTGCTGGTTAAATTCATAAGGCTGGTTGGGTGGTGCAGAAGGAATGGAGAATTATGGGATGGCGGGTATGCGGGACACGCGACGGACTATCGATAACAGAATGGTTTGGGCATAGACATTTCATTTTGCTGGTTGTACTAGTAATTCACGGTATTCAGTTAAATCAATGTATAGAGTCGATCCCGAGACAGTGTCTGTCGCAGTCTGAGGCTATTCACCAGCCTCCATCATTGACTCGTGCATCTATATATTCCCTACAATAGGCGCCCCAAGTATTGTGTTGCAACATCAAATAAGTTAACCGCCAGTAATCTCAATGCCGCCCAACGCCATTATCCCAAGAAACAATAATAGAACATCCGTTCTATGCAATCCGCGCAGTTTCAGCTTGCCGCCCATTCTCCGTCCCTCCCATGATCGAATCGACAAACTCCTGGTATCGAAACACTTCTCCTCGCTTCCCACCCCCTGCAGCCTTGGAGCTTTTCCCTCCAAAGACTCTGCGTCCAGTGTATCCACTCAGCACCTCGTCTATTTCCCGTTCCGTAAGTGGATGCTCCCCATCTTCCGGCGAAGTGTGTAACAGCGCATCCCGTAGTTCGTTCACGTCAACTTGACCGCTGTCGTCGTCGTCAAAGGCGGCCAGCGCGTTAACAAGCTCCTGGCGTGATGACAGGGGGCTGACTAAGTCGGATAGGTTGTTCAAGAAGGTGGGAAAGTGGATCGTTTGAGGCGCCCCGGGTGGGAAGAATTGCGAGATTGCAGATGCATTCAACCCTAGATTTAAAGTCAGCCACACAGTTTACGGACCAAGATTTCACTCCCAGTAGACATACCAACATTGACCAGCACATCGGCCACATCTTCCCGATTCACAGACCCATCATTATCCCGATCCAGCACCTGGAACGCCTCCCGTATCTCCCTTAATTGTGCCGGCGACAGGTTGGCTGCTGCATCACTAGCTGCGTTTATCATGCTGTTGGACTGTCTGGTACTCAAGATCGGAGACGAACTGCCCAAATTAGCTCCCTTGGTTGGCGATGGGGGCAGCTCTCTGCTGAACTTGGGTGGAGGAATTGGCGCATCGCTAATGTGATACCCCGGGGACTCTTCAGGGTCATCTTCGACCGTGTATGACTGATTCAGTTTGCTGGGCGAGGGAACTGGCGGGAGTGTTCGACCGGGGGAACTCCCGGGTGTGCTCGAACGACCCTGCGGCGGGGAATTTGGTGTTGAAGGTCGACGAAACGGTGAAGCTCGTGGGGAGCCAAACGACAGAGGAGAGGACTTGAATGGGGTATTCGTGGGCATCTTGTGAAGTTCTCTTTAGCCAACCGATCCTAGTATTGAGAGTCGGGACAACGTACCATGACATTAGATCGGGCCGTTCAGGTTCAAACGAATTGAAAACAGATCATATGCAGGGATATTCAATTGGCGCAGGATTTGTCTCGACTGTTCTTTTCTCCTGGCATAAAGCGCATGCAGCAGTGTGATAGTCAAGTTCGCTCATAAAGGCAAGTATCCAAGTAAACAAACTCGGGATCCAGTCGGCCCGGCACCGGAGGCACGTGCGGGGAGCGGCTCTGCGATTCTCCTCGAGCTGCTTTCATGGATCCGACTTCTCCACGAGGAACTGCGCAAACGAGGAACGGGACATTCCTATCATGAAAAGACCGGCATGATGTTTATTATCCGGGGATACTCGTCTCGGAAGCCTGCAGACGGCGCTTCCTGAAGCAGACAGTCTCTGGCTGCACTGTTTGAGTCTGAGTCTCCCCGCTGTGGAGATTTGATGGTTGGTTGTGGCTTTTCTGGAAACCCCCTGAATTTCCCCGTCGATCACCACCACCGAAACTTTGTGACCTTGGGCCAGTCGACATATAATTTCTGATTCATATCCTGGGCTGGGAATGCATCAAACTGACCAAACTGTCTTCCTCTACTGTCGCCAGCTCTGATTCAGGGTCTCCGAATCCATTGACCTGACTATGCGGTTGTTCCTGTGCTAGATCTACTACTGCCACGACGGAGTCCGATACCAGCATTCCTTACTACCCCCTCATTTTGCCTTTTGAACACCCTTAAATATGACGAGCACGCTGCCGTATCGACCGTCCGATGATACACTCTCCGGATCCGGTGCGACGTCCAACCGGGCCAAACCCAGCGCGTTGCCTCGGCTGACTCCGTCCCCGTCCGTGCTCAAACGTTCCCCGAGCTCCCAAACGTTGCTGCGTCGTCCGTCCGAGAATACCTATGCGAATACCGTCGCAATCCCACAGAGCTCGAGACCCCGACGATGCAAATCACAGTATCCGTTGGACTCTTCCGAACGCCATGTAGAGTTCATTCTCGTGGCTTCCTTCCACATTGACCGCGGTCCGATCATGGAGCATCAGTATCCGGCTGCAATCAGTGGTGATGAGAGTATGTTGGCGGAACTGATGTTACCGGATCAGACCCACGTCAGAAGTCAGGATTGGACGATATTCTTCTTGCACAAGGATACAAGTGCAGACGACGACGATGAATCTCTGCACGAGAAAAAGAAGAGAAAAAATAAAGGAAACAAGTCGGACAATGGAGAGGATGACGGTTCGGACGATGGCTCGGACGACGTTAGCAGTGATGATGAAGATGACGGTGGTGAAGGGCCACCGCTGATGTATGTCCTGAATCTTGTAAATACAAAACAGGACAACACAGTCAAGCGGTATGCCCTCGGTTACTGTTTTTAGTGATGGAGCTAATGTGTTGCAGAGGTGCCGTTGTCAAAGCAATGGCGATCTGTACGCGACATTCTTTCCTTCATATCTATAAGGTAAGCCTGTCAAGAAGCACGGGAAACGGTTCCAGCTAACGAGTTAGCCCCTGCTCCTTTTGGCGTTGGATGATTATTTCAAGAACCCATATCCGGAAACACTGGCACGACTCTACGATGCCGTCAACTCCATGGACCTTTCATTGCTCCCGAAACTCTCTCTCCTCGAACGGCAAATATTACAAGCCACGAACACGAAGGATATGTTTATCGAAAAGTTTGAACAAATGGCACACCAACGTCTGGAAGAGGAGGGCGAATCAGTTCCAGATGATGCCTCTCCGCCGTCGCCCAAGAAACTTGCACCTCGGTTCGCGCTTCCTCGTGATACCCACGAATTCGAGTCCAAGGTGGTCTACAATGACATCCCCATTCCCGTCAAAGTGCCTACGGTCATCTGGCCGGAGACGGTGGGCGATTTCTCTTTCATCAAGCTTATCCAGACTTTCGCCGCCCCTCATGCTACCTCGCCGCAACCGTTTCCTCTTCATTCCCACTTGACGACGAGCGGTCCATTTACCCATCCGATTATTATTCTGATCAATGCAATGCTGACCCAGAAACGGGTCGTTTTCCTGGGCCACAATCGACCTTCAGGAGAGGTAGCTGAGGCTGTTCTTGCTGCTTGTGCTCTGGCATCAGGTGGAATTCTGCGCGGGTTTACGCGTCATGCGTTCCCGTACACTGATCTGACAAAGATCGATGACCTTCTCAAGGTGCCTGGTTTTATTGCAGGCGTAACTAATCCTACTTTTGCCAACCATCCCGAATGGTGGGATCTTCTCTGTGACCTGCCCACGGGTCGAATGAAGATCAGTAGCCACATCGAGCCGGCGCCGGTTACAGAAGGGCTTTTGTTCTTCCAGCAGCAGAGCCATTTTGTTAACCCCAATTCAAGTTCACACTCAGACAGTGGTGATAACTTGTTCATGGAGGACATCCATCGCAGCATCACTAACCGCTATGGAGAAAACTCCATCCGAGCCAAGTGGCGTGCCTATATCATCAAGTTCACACGCATGGCTGCAGCTTTCGAGGAAATGGTTTATGGAGCGTCGAATCTTTTCATCATCGGCCCGAACGAAGAATTGTCGCCGGATAGTCCAAGTAGTCAACAGGCGGATCCATTGGATCCGACGACGCTGAGGGGTCATGGCTATGTTTGGCCGAACGAAGCAGCGAAGCAACGAGAACTGACAGCATCTGTGTCGAGAATTGAAGGCTGGCGGACCACACGGTCCTATTACTCGTTCATTCAGGACATTGCAACCTTGTACTATCCGGCGCGACCCATCCAAAAGCCAGATCTACACCACCATCACGACCGGCTACGGTCATTGAAACTGTCTCACACAGACGCAGGGGCCATCTACGTCGCCTTTTCTCACGCCGTCAGGGATTATGCAGGGATCTGCCAGCTCCTCACAGTGACACCGGAAAGCCGAGCAGGCTTGTTCTATCTCAGCATGGGATTGTTCCATCCGGACCAGGACGTGCGCGAAGCCACGGTGGACCTGTTGGAAAGAATCTCAGTTCACATGGCCGGACGGCATTTCTGGAATCAGCTTGGGCGGTTTGCCAAGTTGGCGTTTTTCCGCGTCAAGCGGGAACGGGATGCATCGAGTCCTGTGTCAGCTGGGCCTGGTTTCTCTAAAGAGCCCCAGAGTTTGATGGGGGTGGCCATGGGAGATGGGCTTAGACGCAGCTAGTTGCGTTGCCTTTTGTCTTTTTTGAGCGTCTTTTTCATACCCCTTTAACGATATCGTGAACTCGAGCCATTTTACATTGGCATCTGCATTGCTTCTTGTTACGTACTTGGATATAGATACCTTTGATTTTAATGTGGTACGAATAATGGATGATTTATTGGAAGATTGGCATATTTCAAAGATGCGCAAACATTACAATTAGTATAATTGACAAGAAGATCGCTTTCATAACCCATAACCATATCCATCACTCTTCCAACATAGAACCCTAGCCTCAAAATGCTAAAGCAAGCACAGCACCAACCACCCATCCCAACCCTGTACCAACCCCCAACGTCAACCCACCCGACGTCTCAACCTTCTTCACAGCCCCAACCGTAACATTCAAATCCGCAAACCCACCCCCACAATGCCTATCCACGACCCTCGCTGAAGGCAAATACGACTGCACAAGCGGCTGCCCATCAACCCTCGCAAACCCCTTGTACACACCCATAGTCTCCCGCAGACACTTATTACACGTGGGCGTGTTATTATCCCAACTCACCTCGTCATGGTCCTCAAGGGCATTTCCGAAGGGAATGAAATATATGTCGTAGTCAGCGGGGTTCGTGGAGTTTGTCGCTGCGTCGACGAAGCAGTAGTTATCTGTAGATGGGTCCTTGAGGCACGAGGCGTGGTAAAGCGGTTCGTAGGAGATTAGGTCGATGTAAGCGTCTACGACGTTGGGGTTTCCGAGTTTGTATTCCTCGCCGCAGTTGTCGTCTTTAATCAACTCCTTTGCCAAGGAGGAAAGAGTGCTGGTGCATTGCAAGACGGAAGCCGAACAAGCGATGTCGAGAAGGTGCGAGGTTGCAGTTGCAGAGTGCAGGGTGTAGAAGAAAGAATTCGAATTGCGGAGGAGAAGCGAGAGGGCGTGGCAGGATTGTAAGGACGAGTCGGAGAGGAACTTGGTGAAGAACTTGGGGCAGGATTTCTTGGTGTAGTTTGTTCCTAGGCTTGTGTCGAAGGGGGTTGGGAAGTCTTCTGTTGTTCCTCGGGGGATTATTGTGTTCTTGGTGCTGTCGTTGTTGTTGTCGTCGGCTGTGATGATCCCGTGATGTTCGAGGGGAGCACGTTCCAGTGATGGTGTGATCTCCGGACGATCGGTGATCTGCTGCTCTCCACTGAGGTCGCTGCCATGTTGGACCGGGATGGCTGATGTAGAGGCCGCGACGAGAATAATGAGGAAGAAGTAGAAGTAGAAGTAGGGCTGAGACATTGCGGAGTACCTGCGTCAACGAATCGACACCAGGATGTACAGAAAATAATGAGAGAATAAACGAGTGACAAAGATAAACGAGCGACAAATAAACGAGTGACTGCCCAAAGGCTGGTGGTATTTCAAAGCGAGCGAACGACTGCAGACATGGCAATCAATGAGTGGATGGGGAGAGGACAGAAGAGCACCCTTCCCAGTTATTAGTATTATTATTCCTTTTTTGATGAAAGAAAGAAACAGGATTCAGGAGACACAAACCAAAAGACAAAAAGACAAAAAAGACACAAACCAAAAGCGACTATTTCTATTAATATCCGGCCGGAGATTAACAACAGCTCAAAACAGCAAACGGAGCCAAAAGAAACTCTGATCATCCGTGGAATCAGTGCGCTCAGGGTCTGTTCATTTGGTGCTACGGGCAGCTATGTGCTCTAGAGCAGGTGCTATGTCCATGAACACCGTTATCTCCGAAATGCAATAATTGCCTATACTGGCATCTACTAGTAGTAAGACTACTAGTAATCGGCAAATGTGCCGACTCCATTGACAGGTCGCATACAGTCTAGACCCGGCCAATCATCTTGCGGGGAATCCTTCCTGTCTATCAGCTTATGTAATGCCCCTCCATCCGCAAGTTCGTCAATTCCTCCTCCGATTGTGATTCCATAATTCCCCAAGTATCATTATTGCAATTAATTATGTCGGCAGATGCTCTGGTCCCCGAGACGTCGGTGCTTGCTGTCGCGAGCCATGTAGGTCCATTCCCGTTTCTTGGCAAGGTCGTGCATACTGACACTCGATAGGTCGTGTACGGGTATGTCATGCATGTTCTTTTTCAGCTTCCTATACTATGTATTAGGAGAGACAAATGAGAGAGACAGACCCTGATAAAAGAGCTGTAGGTATGTCGGGAACAAAATCGCGACAATAGTCATGCAGTCGCTGGGCTGCGATGTCGCTGCTCTGAACACAGTCCACTTCAGTGAGTCTTATCTCCTTCATATCAGAATAACCTGGCTAATTAACGAACCAGGTAATCACACCGGCTATAGACAATTCAAAGGCACCAGGGCAACAGCTCAGGAGATCAGCGATCTCTATCAAGGCCTGTGCCAGAGCCATCTCACCGACTTTAACGTCATGTTATCCGGGTATGCGCCCAGTGCTGCGGCCGTCCAGGCCGTGGGTACCATTGGCTTAGATCTACAGCAGAAGGCTCAGAAGGCTCCGGGGTCGTTCTTTTGGGGTGAGTCTGACCATTCCCTTTTTTGTGATATCTGGCTGAGCTGACGGGGCAGTGTTGGATCCTGTCATGGGTGACCAGGGCCGGCTGTATGTCAATGATGATGTAGTGCCGGCTTATAAAAACATTATTCATTATGCGGATTTGATTCTACCGAATCAATTCGAAGCAGAGTGCGTCCACTCTTAAGGATACCATGTTCAATTCTGACGATGCACAGAGTCCTCTCCGGAATCAAAATCACCTCCCTTAAGACCCTCGCAGAAGCAATCACCGCAATCCACAAAACCTACTCCGTCCCGCACATCATCATCACCTCCGTCCAACTCTCCAGATTTACATCAGAAACGGCCTCGTCACCAAACAGCCTAACCGTCATCGGCTCCACAACCCGCTCGGATGGCTCGCCCCGACTTTTCCGCATCGATGTTCCCGCACTCGACTGCTACTTCAGCGGCACAGGCGATATGTTCGCCGCTTTGACAGTTGCCCGTCTACGCGAAGCTGTTTTCGCTACTGGGCCTGATCTCCGGAATATCAAGTCCTGGGTTTCCCCAGATGAGGTGGCTCCTACGGACCTCCCGCTGGCGAAGTCTACTGTTAAGGTATTAGAGAGTATGCACAGTGTGCTGGAGAAGACGCTTGAAGCGAGAGATGCGGAGTTGCGCGCTACTACTACTACTACTACTACTACTACTACTGCGGAGACTGCGGGTATTAGTGAAGCGGAGCAACGGAAACAAGAGAATCTGCGAAAGAGCAAGGCAGCTGAGGTGCGATTGGTAAGAAACGCACGGTTCCTCCGTGAACCAACGGCTAGTTTCCAAGCACAGGAGTGGAGGAAAGAGGATTTGCCGGAGACACTTCAATAGATATTCATATGTATAGATAGAGCATGATACATTTGGGAGGAAGCATTGATACCCATTATTATCATTCACAAAGTCGTAAATCATTGGCATTTCTATACCCGACCCATTTTATAAACAGAATCAAACAAATTAAGCACCAGTGCTTCCGAAACCACCTGCACCACGAACACTCTCTTCCAATTCCTCAACGACCGTAACCTCAGGGGTGTAAATCTGCCTTCGTTAGCACCAATCATACCAAACAATAGATCATAACAAAGTGATAGAAAAAGACTCACCCTCTCCAAAACAAGTTGCGCAACCCTCTCCCCCTGCTTAACCGCAAAATCCACCTCAGAAAAGTTAAACAACAACACCTTCACCTCACCCCGATAATCAGCATCAATAACACCAGCCCCGGTATCAATAAAGTGCTTCGAAGCAAGTCCACTCCGCGGTGCCACGCGGCCATCTACAAACATTAGCATGCCCCTCTTAACCATCATTTTTTCAGATAAACGGATGAAAGTGGGGGCAGAACATACAGCATCCCTCCGGTACAGCAATTGCAAGCCCCGTATCAACCAGCGCCTTCCCCTTCGCGGGGATCACAGTCTCCTTCGCGCTGTAGAGGTCGTATCCCGCTGCGAACGCGGATCCGCGGGTCGGTGGTAGGGCGGTTTCGGTGAGTTTCTTGACGAAGAGGGGTGGGAGGGGTGTGGAGATGGAGGTGACGGCGGGAGTAGACATGTTGTCGTTGTCGTCGGTGTTGGGTTTTGTTCGTTTGGCGAGGGGAGAGGCGGGTTGTGACGGTGGTTCGTGGGTTGGTGCGGTTGTGGTTGTGGTGGTTGTGGTGGTGGTGGGAGGGGGAGTGGTCTCTTTGGTCATTATCAATTATATGGTTCAATTGAGAGACAGAAATAGAAGAACTGACTGGTTATAGTGCAATTACGGTGTGTTGTTCAATTTCACCTGCAGACTCGATCTGTAGAAACCAAGCAACGCGTGGGCGTTAGACGCGTGACCGCGTTAATAGGCTTGGCGTGTTTGTACCATTTGCCACCGCCGACTCAGCCGTACCCCAGCCGGTCTCCGAGGTCTCCGCACCGCTGTTCAGCCTCGGTTCGGTTGTTGCATTGCCAGTTATTAGCTGCGATACCAGGGGTGTTCATTGTTGCTTTCTCTATCGTTTATCAAGAGAAATACATATCTCTATATATAACCAAGGCTATTACAGAGTACATAATGGCCGGAGAAGTGCGCCAACCAATCGATATCCCGTCGTTAGAGCGGTATCTCAACCAAAATGTCCCCGAAATTAAGACCCCATTAGATCTGAAGCAGGCAAGTCTAGCGCCAACCACCAAATAAAACAATGAACTAACAAAATCCGTGCTACAGTTCAGCTTTGGCCAGTCGAACCCGACGTACCAGATCACCGGCGCCGACAAGCAACGATACGTCCTGCGGAAGAAGCCCCCGGGGAAGCTCCTCTCCAAGACAGCGCACAAGGTCGAGCGTGAATACAAGGTCATCCATGCTTTGGGGCAGACGGATGTGCCGGTGCCAAAGGCGTACTGCCTATGTGAGGATGCGGATGTTATTGGGACACCGTTCTATATCATGGAGTTTCTGGACGGGCGCATGTTTACCGACCCTGCGATGCCGGAAGTAGGTGCAGAGGAGCGGACTGCACTGTATGTCATCACATATTAGGGTACCTGTTGCATTTGAGAAGCTGATTGCTAAACTTTGCAGATGGCAAGATGCAGTCCGGACATTAGCCAAGTTCCACCGAGTCGACCCCAAAGCAGTCGGGCTGGAACGATTCGGAAAGCCATCTGGGTTCTATGACCGTCAGATTGCTACCTTCTCTGCCGTTTCCCGCGCGCAATCTCAGGCAATAGATGTGGACACCAAGGAGCCTGTTGGAGAGCTACCGCACTTCGCAGACATTGTGGACTTCTTCTCCAACAAGTCCACCCAGCCGCGCGATCGAGGGACCTTGGTCCACGGCGACTACAAAATCGATAACTTGATTTTCCACAAAACTGAGCCGAGAGTCATTGGTATCCTAGACTGGGAGATGGCGACTGTGGGACACCCCTTGTCGGACTTTTGCAACCTGACAAGCCCCTATTATATGGATGGCACGGATCATACGACTGAGACGTTCAAGCCCGGGGTAATCCCTGGTCTGCCCGCCCGCGAAGAGTGTGTGCGGTGGTATGGCGAATTGGCTGGCTGGGATCCGACACATGACATTCTTTGGGGAGACTCCTTCTTTAACTGGAGAAGCTCCGTGATCATGCAGGGGATCGCCGCGCGGTATGCCTTGAGACAGGCCAGTAGCGCCCGAGCTCAAGAGTATGCCAAAAAGACCAAGCCTTTTGCCCTGGATGCATGGGAGCGAGTGAAACGGGCGCAAGAACAGTCGCGGCAAAAAGGGAAGCTGTAGTTGACTGCAACCAATCGAATGCTTTGTACATAATGAGTTATTCAATCAATATTGCAAGCCCCCCCCCCCCCACAAAGTGAGCGCCATGATAATCTCGGACTCTTTCTCCGCGAGGTAGGCATGCGGAGAACCATCTGACCTGACTACTACATAAGTATATCCCTCATTGATGCAAGTGCAAAAATGAAAGGATACGAGTCAATATTGCTTACCGTGTCAATCATCCGTCTTTATGTATCATCTTGGCGTACTTGTACCATGCACTCCGACATGTACTCCGTACACCATGACCACCAGTTCTAATGACGATATCGTATGCGACAGTGCACAGAGTACGGAAATTCCGAACCAACATTGCAGGACTGTCTGATTGAGTGCGGCTACCAAAAACCCATCTCTATGCCGAGCGCATTCTGCAGACTTGAATACGGAGTACGGAGCAATTGTATCCGTCCCACTTTTGGGTCCACTGTCAGCACATCTGTCACAGCGCATAATGAACGGACAGCGAAATTCACTGGATGAGAATGTAGCAAGTGGGCATTCTTCACACAATCATATTGCTCTGATCCACACATAGTCGCTCTTTTATCGGAGATGTCCTGCCAAGAATGCTTCCGTAGATGTACTTGTACTCCGTACTTCCATACAAGACCACGGAGTACGAAGTACCAGAGTGTTCGTACAGGTAAAAACTTCTGCAACGTCAGCCAGCTGATAATATATATATCACTGCACACACAAGGTTGTACAACGGAGGATCATTGTCCGCAAAACCCGTGAGATTTGCCTATCTGGAACGGGCCGCATTTCTTCTTCTTTTCGTTTGCCTCTTCTTTTTTTCTCTCAAGAGAAGGCTGGCTGGCCATCGGGAAAAGAAGGAATGCAATAATGCGATTGGACCACATTCCTTCTTAGTCGGGGAAGCGGAAAGACGCGGCGCTAAGGTGGGTAGATTGAATGAGAACCCTGTCTACTTTATGCAGTGTGACAACAAGTCCTCATAATACTATGGACCAGATCATGCGGTTTCGACGTATGAAATATCGGCCTACCTGTTTGGGATAGATTGACATTCCGGACGGATATTACGAGCGACTGGAGCGGGGAAGTTTCTGTCCGCCGTCAAACGGCAGGATTTTTAGTTAATTGTGTCCAAGATACGGTTCAGATGATGTCAGCAGAGCATTGTTCGATGGAGTAGAAGTGGCAGCCATGATGTGATGGGATATTCGTATGTGTTAGTCTGGAGGCGATGGGTGATGGTCCGTAGAATGCGAAGCCGTAGCACGGACCGTTGAGAATGGCTTGAAGATATAAGCAGCTGAGACGGTCACCAGTGATTGACCCTTGTCGCGATGCAGATCATCGTACGGACGATAATAAAGGTCGCGGAGTACGGACAGAGTAACAATTCCGGAGTCCGCGAGAAAAAATGAGCGCGGTAGTATTACCCCCGCCATTCTTCAGACTCATGGAGTGGGGGTTAAAGAGTCAGTATCTCTAGCTAGATGATTCCGTGAATAAGTGTTTGTAGCTCTCTTTGGACGATTATCCAGCTGAATGCGAGTGCGTAGTCATGTACAGAGTAGTAGCAGTACTTGTAGAGTGTGGCTGTACAGAGCATGGCTGTAGCGGACGAATTCGCAAGTATTGACAAGGATAGATAGTAATAAGACAAAGAGACACCACGATGTAAAAAAGGACCACAGGTCTGTTCTTTAATCGACGCTGACTGCGCTTGCATCATGGAAGCACGGACGTAAAGGAATCCTTGTCGCCTTAGGCACTAAGCGAAGGGCATCCCACAACTGAACTGGCTCGATCACAAGCAGATCGCAAAGAGACGGAGAATAAAGAAATAAAATCGACACAACGATCAATCTTTAAGCTAAATCGAAAAATGTGCATCTGCCTGGGACTTGGGAGACAGTATCTCATTCTCTGTACTCCGTGCCCTCTCAGAAAGGAAGGACGGTTCAGTGCAGATGAACACTTCAGCCTCCTTTTCACTAGTAGCCAATCAAATGTTGGGACTGCCAGAGCCGCACCCAACGTGCCTTGGCCCGGTAAGTTTCCGGTCATGTTCCAACTCTGTGGAAAAGTTTCGTTTTTGTGTGGCATTTGGATGTTGCCATAAACCCTACGCTTGCCCTGATACTTGGCGCATTCAATCCCTATCGCTTTCATTGGAATGGGGGCTGAGCTGGCGAGTCGCCAGCATTGGACTGTCTCAAGTGCAGCTACTCCGTAGCAAATCCAGGTTTGTGATGAATATGCGCTGAGTTACTCCGTGCTCTGTATACCAGATGACGATGACCTGGTCTTATGGGCATCATATCCCTGACTCCCAGAAGACATGGTTGATTAAACGGTTTCTATAGACCGTATCTCTCAATTATCTCCCAGAGTACAGAGTACTACCCTGGGATCGCAGTCTGTCTGATCGCATGGTCTCTGGGGGTGGAGTAGAGGATATAATTTCCAGCGTGTAATCTGGCCAGTAGAGCGCCAAGGTGATCAGATCTAAGTCTCTGAAGAGTTTGATAGGCTCGCGTTAGAGCAATATTGAGACACAATCCTTATGCTTCTGAACATGAATCGAAATACCGTCCCTCAATGCTGTATATGTACTTTCAATGGTGCGTGGTCGTAATGCTGACGCAGTGCCGAAAAGTAATTTCAGTATGGAGAGTACCGTACCACAAACTGCCTGTGAAGACGGCTTGACCGCCTGCCGGGATTAAGCCTCATCGCTTTCTCCCTCTCCGCGGGCGATTCTTCAAAGATGGGTTGTTATTATTATTTCTCCATCCGTCATCATCTCTGTTCTTTTGCCCTTTATTATTACCCCTCCACATTTCTTCCGGCTCCTTTTGTATTCATTCTTATCCGTGGTTGTTGTCCCGGACTTTAATCCTTTTCTTTCCCACAACACCCGTCATCTGCGACCACGCGGATAGCCCGTTGAGCCTCATCCCGAGACTCTCCCCAGAGAAGCGGTTCTGCTCCATTCGAGCCGCACGGATTCCCACTTTCTCTACTTTTAGGTGAGTGCTTAACCTTCTTTTCTCCCCTTTCTTGATCGTGATTCTTTCTGTGTTCTGTGGGCAAGGGAAAAGGGCCAGTCCCAAGAAATTTGCCAATCAGATCACCTGATTTTGGATGTCAGCGCTATCTCGCGTAGTGATTTGTTTCCCTCTTCCTGCTGAGTACTTTTTTTTTTTTTTTTTTTTTTGACCCCTTTGCCCTTGAACGGCAGCTGAGCTGTTAGGATGGAATGATGTGGAATGCTGTGTTCTTTGCCATGTCTGAGGCTGCCCAAAAACCCTTTGATCCACACTCAACTCGTATTCCGGGCTGCACTAGAATCCTTTTGGGCTTTAAAACCACGAAGCTCGCATCTGCCGTGATATAAATGCCACCCTTATGTTATAATGCCCAGCGAATTTACAGCTTGTTCCGATTCCTTAAGCGGATTTTGCTTTCTACATTTCTATCATTCACTTGCGCGAGAACGAAAACTAACGTGGGCAGACAGGACACTTGGGAAGAACAGCCCAGTTGACGTGGCATTCAATCTTCGATGAGCCACGGTCTCCGACAGAATCTGCTACGGATCTGTGGGATTTCACCATTATCTGATTGATAAGAGCCAAGGAAGAGATAGGAGAAGGAAGGCAAGCAGAGACTCCAAGGGGTGGCGCACCTAATGCGCGTGAAACCACCGCCTTAATGTCCCACGCATATGATTCTGATGATGGCGGCCGCTCTCCTGGTCTGGAGCCTTCAAAACCCGACTATGGACTTGTTGATGAGCAGCCGCCTCCGTTCGTCAGGAATGATAAGGGAACGTCGCCAGACAGTTCCCGTAAGAACCAGCCGAATCACTTTGAACCCGGTTTTAGCCATGGCAGTGCCGTGCTGATAGGTCAATTAGACGGAAATCGACCCGATATTAGAGACTATGAGATCCATAACCCATTCAAACGGGAGATCACGCCAGAGGAGGGGTTCAATCCGCAGAAGATTATTGCTAAGAATGCATTGCAATTGTTGCAAAATGAACCGCCAGCGCCCAAGGAAATTGCACCCAAGTATGATTTCCACCAGCAAGACAATCAAATCCGAGACATCAAAAGTGAGCAAGGAATACCTCCACAACTTCCGCCGCCAGTACCATCAATAGTCGGCCCTACAAGAACACCACTCGAACTGAAAGCCTACTCCATGTTACAACCTTCGGAGGCTCCGAGACACGATTTACTTCCCGCTATTCATCAACCACCTTCAGCGCTTCCGAAGTCACCGGAGAATCAACCAAGCCTACCGCCTCTGCAATCCGCTTTGGGTGAACTCCCGAGTGTCCCAGCAAAGGAACCTCGGGTCAATGCCAGTGGTGCACCTTCTTACTCGCTTCATCCGGTCACAAATGGCCCGCCTCCACGGGTAGATGTGTCGCGTGAACATCAGCTTCCGGGGCCTCCTCAAGTTCCTCTTAGTCCTTATTCACATTGGTCGCCCGCAAGCTCCAAAGATATATCGACAGTACCTTCGCCTGTGTCGCATCCACCCTGCCCAAGGCCTCCTCCGCACAAGTCCAACATACATTATGTGACTTCACCTTATGATGTACCAACACACTCTGCGAAGAGCCCAGTAACATGTTACCCAACGCCCACAGACCCACCTACTGTTGGGTCATATGACAGGCCGTACAGTGATGCGAATACGCCTTTGAATGGGGTCGCTACTGGCAGTTTTAAGTGTCACCATCCTGGATGCAACGCCCTTCCTTTTCAAACTCAGTATCTGCTGAAGTAAGTTATCGGTACTGCTACGAATATGGCTACTTTTGCTTACCAATTTCTTGTCCGAACAGTTCTCATGCGAACGTACATTCGCAAGACCGTCCCCACTATTGCCCAGTTGAGGGATGTGTCAGGGGCCCTGGTGGTAAAGGGTTCAAACGCAAGAATGAAATGATTCGGCACGGGCTAGTGCATAACTCCCCTGGGTATATATGCCCATTCTGTCCGGATCAGCAGCGCAAGTATCCACGACCTGATAATCTCCAAAGGTAAGTTTTCCCGCCGCAACGAGATTGGATCGTAGCTAACTGAAGAATAGACACGTCCGAGTTCACCATGTTGATAAGGACAAAGATGACTCCGAATTAAGACGGGTCTTAATGCAACGACCCGAAGGCAGCGGCCGAGGACGTCGTCGTCGGGCAAATAATTAAGCTCCATGAGATGAATTGCTTATATTAATCATGCATTGCGATGCATCATAGCCGACTTCCATGAAGATAACTTTCTCGGCACGGCCGAGAATGACGCGGTTATCTTCGATGGGTATCGATGTATATTTGCATATGGATTTATGAACCATCATGATTCGTTCCCCCGTTTAATGATACCAACGACACAAGAGTTATGATATGCGGTTTTATTGCCATCCGATTTTTGTTATATACTGTTTCTGCTACTGCTTCTGCTTCTATACTGGATTGAGCGTGGGATTTAAAAGGTCTGGTCGATTCGAGGCCTATGGGCGTCATGTTTTCTGTCTTTACCTTTGCCTGTTTTATGCACTTTATTTTTATCATTCATATTCTTTCCTTGCATATACGGATTGGAAAGTGATGTTTCTTCAATGATAATCGTAAACTTGTTTCTGTCTATAAGTAGTATGAGTAACCAATAACCAATGACCCACTACTTGTCTATCAAGATCCAAAAGATCCCATCTAAAGCCAGCGTAGTGACCACATAGAGCGATCAAATATGAGCACTCCTCGACAAATGATTCGGCTCCGACAAAAGCGGAGTAATCAGATCAGGATCCCTCCGCCGATCCTTCCCATCCACGTCCCTGTACAGAACGTAGTGTTGCACCATGAACAGCAAATCAAAAACAATCGACACGTTGGACAGCAGAAGCTTGGCGGGGTTACCCGTGACGCCGCTCCAGTCCTGCGTGAAGCTCGAGTCGAGCAACAGCTGGATGAGAGAGAGCACGCCACCGGTGAAATCCAATAGGATCATTTCGATCCGCCAGCCGTCCGTGGACTTGCGTTTGTAGTTGAGCCATGCTTGGGGCACGTATTTGACGATTGTGATGAGTAGTTTCACGTAGGAGAAGGTGTACATCTGTTTAGGTTTAGTTTGAGTACTCGCGAGTACTCATGTGTTTTTCTCTGCCGATAGGAGTGTACAAGGTATGTATTACTCACCACGTCAATCCAAGCCCAAGAGCGGGGATCATACCCCCCATCCGGACTGACACCAAGAACAACACCCACAGCAACACTCACAGCAGCCAAACACCCCCAGAAAATCCCCTTAACCGGCTTACTTGCCTTCTGATGCCTCGAAACCTCAAACCCCCAGATCTTCGGGAAGAACTGCGAGTACATCAACGAACTCAGAACAACAGCATGTACCGCAAAAGCCAAGTCATTAACCCGCACAGTCGGCTCTTCGGACTGTGGATGCCGGGCTGCATATTGACCCCGAATCACAGGAGAGTACAGAAAGGTTATTGTGTATATAGCGTAGCAGACGAAGCCCAGGACATTAACGGTGGGGAAATCGATGGCTAGACCGACTGTTGAGCGACGGCGGTAGTTGTCGATTGGTTGGGGGTAGAAGGATCCGGACCAGCAGAGCATACTATAATCAGTTTACTGTGAGTATGGGCAGTTTGGGGTTTTGGATCGGATGATCTGGGAGCGTACTATATCCACCCTAGGAGGCTTTGTTTGCTTATCAGTTATATTCGCAAGGGTAAGGATGGGACGGAACGGGACGTACCGGGATAGGGCCTTTGTGAAGATTTCGAGTTGGGATGTCATGTTGGTATACCCACTCACTCCTATTCTAGTCGAGATTGAAGTGAAAGGCAGAATAAGTAGAAGAACAAGAAGAGGGGACGATGTCGATGTCGTGGATTGATGCGTTATCACACGTTGCCAAATTGGGACTGATAAGATAAGCACGCAATTAGCTCAAAACAACAGGCGGTGTGGAACAGCAAAATCTGAGTCAGCGGCTGGTTGTCCTGGATATGTGTTGGCGCGCTAAACCCCAAATGGAAAACAGTTGATGCGCCGATCTGAGTGTCCCTGGCGGCTTTACGTGTTGGTCTCAGCCTCCTCTTTTTCTTCGGTTGTCGCGATCTCTCGTTGTTTATTCATCTTTTTTGCCTTTTTGAAAAACCCATTGTTATTCGGACGGTTCCTGGTACACTTTGACAACTCATCATCCCCGTCTCTGCCCCCGCTTGTTTCGTCTCTATCACCGGCGCTTAGGGCACTCGTTTCGTCAGCTACGTCCCTCGAGTTCGCCATCTCTTATCCTCCGCATCGGTAATTGCCATCGGCTGGCTACTCGAGTGCGCATACCAGATCGATCTACCCCGTTTCTTGTCACCGCATGGTGCATTCTTCGGAGGTGGGGATCGCATAGATCTCCTTCGGATTTCAACATTCCAGTTATCGAGACCGCGTGTTTGTGCTAGGGAAATTCACGATTGATAAGAGGGCAATATGTCGCCCAATCCGGAGATGTCTGCTCCAGGGAGCAGTACATACTCCTCGAATACTCTACACGTTGGTGATGGAACATGGGACTCGGGTCGCGATACGTTTCTTCTTCCCAATTTGATGGGTCTGAATTTTGAAACCATGCAGTACAATGGTGGGTACATGCCAACATTTCAGATGACTGGCATATGTATGACTGACTGTGGTAGGCATGGGAAATCGGTTTCGAGATATGCCTAATTACCGTACGATGATATGCGCCCATGGTGTTCTTGCGACAATCGCCTTTCTCGGCCTCGTTCCCGCGTCCGTTTTGATAATACGATACTATTCGCGATGGAATCCATACTGGGCTTTCAAGTTGCATGTGTGGTGTCAGGTTTTGACTTTGTTCATGAGTACCATTGTGTTTGTGCTGGGCTGGTTTGCCGTCGGGCCTGAACGGAGCTTGTCGAATCCTCATCATGGCATTGGATTGGCAATTTACGTGCTTGTCATCTTTCAGGTCATGTGGGGCTACCTGGTGCATAGAATTGAGAGGAACAAGAAGAGATATCATGTTCCCTTCAAGCTGGTTGTAAGTGCTTGGCCTTTCTCCATGTCCTGATTCTTTTTACTGATCGTGCGCACCAGATACATCGCTGGATCGGTCGTATTCTCGCTATCCTGGGTATCGTCCAAATACCATTGGGTCTCACTTTATACGGCTCGCCAAAGGTCTTCTTTATCTTGTTCGCAATCGCAGTCTTCACGCTCTTCGTCGCATTCTTTGTGCTGTCATACCTATACGATACCGAAGGTTATCCAATGACAAGCGAATACGATAGTCGAGCAAGCTATGTTTCCGGGCCTTCAGCTTCCGAGGAACACCACCATGGCGGCAACATTGGCCGAATGGCAGCACTAGGAGCAGCAGGCGCTGGCCTGGCTCAGTTGTTCCGGAGACGCTCACAGCATCAAGACAGACCGCACGATTATGATGACTCCCACACGTCGTACATGGACGAGAAATACTCTGACGAAGAATCGCGCCGTGGCGGCGGCGGTTGGGGCAAGAAGCTACTCGAGCTAGGCGCGATTGGAGGTGCCGGCTTCCTCGCCAAAAAGCTCTTTGACAGGAGGCGCAACCGTGATGACGACGACACCGAGTCGGGGACTTACAGTCGAGCACATACTCGAAGCGACAGCATGACCGAGGAAACCATGAGCAGGATGGAAGACGGCCGACGACCAGAGCCAACTCATCGAACGCCTCTCTATCGGCCACCAAGCAGACCGCCGAGCCGACCACAAAGCCCTGGTTCGTCCTACTACAATAGTACCTACCTGACCGATCACGACCAGGACCGTCCAAACACAGGCCGCAATGCGTTATTCGGAGCCGGTGCCCTTGGAGCACTCAAGAACCTCTTTGGCGGCCGCAAGAACAATGACCAACGCCGTCTTGAAGAAATGCGTCAACAAGAGATGGAAGAAGACAGACTCGCGCGAGCAAACAGCAACCGACGCCGCTACACTGATCCCCGACACAGAAGAGATGGCTCCTACACCGCAACAGACGTGACGTCCGATGTGACAAGGCCACCGCACGAGGAATCATTGATCTCCGGACGCCCTCGCCGCAACACCTACGACGGCCAATACTCAGACCTCCCACCCGCACCACCAAGCCACCACCACGACATGCCCTCCGAAACAACCGGCTACGACTCCGAGCCTGGCGCCGCCCCAATCCCCATCCCAGGCCGCCGCCGCCGCCGCAGCAACAGCAACAGCAACAGCAGATACCACGACGACCACTCCTCTCCCCCAGTCTCCGTGGAACTAAAAATCCCCAGCGACGGCCGCCACGTCACCCTCCGGCGCCTCACCGAAGAAGAAGCCGCAGCAAACCGCGAATCCCGCCGCAAAGAACGCCGCACCTCCCGCCGCCGCAACCAAAGCGCAAGCTCCCTCTCCGGCAACGAAGGCGGCAGCAACAACACCTGGCGCCGCGTCGAGGAAATCGAACGCCAACAGCAAAAAGAAATGGAGCGTCAACAAGCTGCTGCAAGGGCAGCCGCTGAAAACACACACTCAATCGCTCCGAGCACGAGTATCCCGCCGTCTTCATATGCGCCGCATCCTTCTCGGATGAGTGGTATGGCGCCTCCGCCGCCGCCGCCGTTGCATCAGTCTCATCCTCCTTCGACGCTGCCGTATGGGTCGGGGAGTTATGCGTCGCCGGGTCCAGGGACATTTACGGGGACCGAGGCTAGTGGGGATTATGCGAATAATCGCCGGCGGAGACGGGCTGAGAGGGCTAGGAGACAAAATAGCGTGGACTTTACTTGATTGGGAGTAACAAGTTTCTCTTTTCGTTTTCCTTGTTGGTGCTTTTTCTGAATGTTACCCGAGTTTTATGTTTACCCCTTGTCGACACCTTGATATGCTTACATGTTATGGAATGACCATGCGGCACTTGTTCTTCATGATGGACTGGAATTGAACATATGGGATGATGATGATTTCTTTTTGTTTTTCCTTTGTTAACTGGCGTGTTTTATGACCTCGAACGTTCATGTCTCGTGTTTTTATTATCTGCTTCCTGTTAAAACATTTCTGCCATATGTCCTTGATGAGCAAAGATGAATGTATGGAATATAGTAATGAATATATCATTGTTTCTAAAGTCTACTGCTCGATTTAATGCAGTGTTCTAGTCAATCGGCTGTACTTCAAACGAAGAGCAGTAGACAATCATTTCATGATATACCTTATATAAACCTCGCCTTGTCATCAAGTCAAATCATCAATCCGTTTTCCGAATTGACTTCCACCCAGAAGCCGTGCCTGAACGAAGCTTGTCACACATCCATACGATCGTGACAACAAGCAGAATCAAAAGTGCCGTGATAAATCTAACAAGCGTTGTGAGGACTTTCGAAGATCTCAGACTCTGACTGGTAATGACAATCAGAGAAATGGCGCGTAGCAACAGCACCGGTACAGCGAAACTCAGCCGTAGTAGATTGACAGCATCATCAACCGGAACGCCCGAAACGACTCCTCGCTCATGGTTTGGAGATTTCGCAGTATTGAGTGGCATTACTGACAATCGAAATCCCACTCGAAACAGAGAACTAGACTCCGAGGATTGACCAGAATGCTCAAACTCATCTAGCGAGAAAGTAACCAAAGCAAGTTCGAAAACCTTCTTGCTCAGACATAAAAGTGAATTCTCACCCCGCTTATCACTCCTGTCCGTCTCTTGGCCATCCAAAGACCGATACTTCAAGCTTTCCCAACGAAGCGGCAACCTGTCCATCGTAGGAATGGGCATTGGAAAAGGTCTTTCCGGATCATCAACCGGTAGCTGGTAAGTCTCCACAGGAGCACGATACAGAGCAGGCCGTAGCGAAGGACGCCAAATAATCTTCCTTGTTTGTCCTCGATACTTCTCATTCCTGGTATTCCATTGTTTCCTCATCGCATGGTTAACATTCAAGCAGATTTTGCGGGGTTTATAAACGCCAGAAGACAACGGGGATTGGGGGCCATGAAGCGATAGTTTCGTATCCTGCTGGTCCTTTTGCGCGCCCAGACCAGTGTATATAGGGTACTGGGCATTCTCGGAAGGATTTGGCGTGGTATCGAAAACAGTCGAGCCGGAAGCAGTGAGGAATGACGGTTTTCGTGGCTTTGGCGGCTTCCATACTTCCGGGATACTGTTGAGACTGTGACTGTCGTAGCTGTCTTCCTTTAACCAAACTGGCTTCAAGTTGCTTGTCGTCTCTGAAGCAGCTGTATCCCTATCCTGCCATGAATCGAGGTCAGACCAGAAGCGAGTTGCACGACTGCTGGCAGGTGATGGTGTGGTTAAAGGGCTTGGTTGTTCGTTTACATTGTAAGAGGAGCATTTGTCGATGGAGATATCAGGTGCTTCGTGTGGGGTGTTGTAGGTGTCGCTAGAAGCTTGATGTTTGTCCGTTTCATTGCGCTCGTTCTTTTCTGCGTCGTTGCCTGTTTCTGATGCGTAGAGTCGTAATCTTCCGGGGGACACTCGAAGTTGCGTTTGAGCTTCGCTCAGAGAGCATTGGTGTAGGATGAGTCTCGGAGGCTGGGTGGGCGAGAACGCACTTGATGGAGACGATCGTGGGTTCATTGTTTGACTGATGACCTGTTTTATTCCGGTGAGTTGATAACAACGTTAAGAACGTAAGAAAATGGAAATTGGTGGTTTCGTCTGGTGAATCTATCAATTGTTAGGAGGATAAAGGGGAGAATGGAAGATTGAGGGGAAGTAGAATCCGGTGCACCATGTTGGGAAGGCGCAACCGTGGAATGTTAGAGAACCAAGAATCCGTCCAAAAGTACAGAAGGAAAGCAAAAGATTAGTGGACGTGACACAATTCTATTAGAGTAGCCTCTCAAGAGAATTGATATAGTTCTACAAGTTCATAGTCGAAGCTGCTGGATATGTACATCAAACATCTATTTCAGGAAAGACTGCAAGGTCTCCAGAACCTAGTAAGGCTGTCAGCATGCATTCAATTTAAAATGACGTACCCAAAAAAAGATCTTACCTCCAGCTCAATCTTGGCCTCAGCAATGTCCTGCTCGCTGCCGTTACCGCCGGCAACCTTCTGGGCCTCAGCGACCTGAGCGCGGACAGACTGCATTGAAATGCGCAATCAGCATGGTCCTATAGACAATCAAGAGTGGACGAATATAGAAAACTTACGTCAGCGCTGAAGTCCTCGAGAGAAAAACCCTCAACGGCGTTGATGCTCAGCTGAGATTCGGGCTGGACAACGGCGAAACCACCAGAGACTAGAGTAGCGACATGTGTTAGCCCTAGGGACAATTCAAGGACCTGGCCGCGGCGCATTCGAATCATCCTATCGCAAACCAAGGTCGAAAACTTGAATATCGGACATACGGAAGAACTTCTTGCTGGCGCCGCCCTCCTCCATAACCTCAACGAGACCGGGCTTGAGCTGCTCAATAGAGGGAACGTGGTTGGCGAGGACACCCATCTCACCGGATTCGGCGGGGATGTTGACCTGGACACTGTTTCGTCGGAAAGATTCATCAGTATGCATCTTCAAGTCGGAGGTGTGGGGACACCGAAAAAACATGGAACGTTCGGATCGGGGCAGGACGCAAGATTGACATACACGCCGGTCGAGTTGAAGATGGTCTATTATCGCATATTCGTCAGTAACAGTCACAATCGGGGTCTGGTAAGTGGACCAATTGGTCCGAAGTCGTACCTGGTGAGGGAGGGTCAGGGAAAGCTTGATCTTGTCCGACACGGCCTCAGCGTAGCCTCTGCGCTGGACAGGCATGCTGAAGACTGAGGGGCGGGCCCGGAGGGCAGAACGAGCAAAACGGAAGGAGTTCATATTGTAATTGACGGAAGCGCGGGGTGGTGAAGTTGTCCCTCGTGAAGCTGGGTTGAGGTGAAAGTCGCGAGGGTCGGATGCCGGTTGTTCCCTAGCGGCTCTGCAGTCACGTGTTGCGGAACGGCTTTGCGAACATCGGCATCACTTCAATGTACCATTTTGCTAAAATATTTACAGTGCCGGGTTCTTTGAAATACGACATGACTATGATGCGATACAAACTATATTGAAAGCAAGCCCAAAATATGGTAACAACATACGATATTGCACCCGACTGCCTCGTCTACCAAAACGGCGCATGCTATGTCCCGGCAGAGACGCATAACCAAGTCAATGGCCCTGGATTTAAGAGCAATTATGGCATAAGTTTCCAGCTACAAAGCACCACGATTGCTGGTTTCAATTGGGTCTCCATCGTTGATAATCAGCAAAGGGTTGCATCAATTGGTTCACGTGACATAATTCGATATCACGTGATGTCATTATCATTGAATCCAGACTTCCGGTCTAACAAACCTCTTTTTTGTCATTTCAATATCTTGATAGCTTACTGTATAATTTGCCAACTTAATGATATCCTCTGCGGCAGCAAATTAGCAACTACTCCATAGTATCTCAAAAGACAACAACAGCAGCAACAACGATGTCATGGTTCCAGATGTGCTTAGTCATCATTATCCGCAATCCGTTTTGGTACGGAGTACAACTGCAAAGACAGAACAAAAAAATGCGAAGAGAACAAAAGGGAAAGGAGGGTTAAAAGAAAAAGCGTAGGATATACCTTAATCCAGCAAAAAAACCAGAGCCGTAGAAAGTACGGAGTACTTAGTAGAATATCCATTCATACTGCATAACTGGCCCCTCCCGCCCGCCGAAGCCTCCCGTAAGCGAAATCCCACACAACGGGCAGCCCTAGCCGAGCCGGACTTGGGTCGTCGGACCTTTTGCACAGCTGACGGAGAACCTCTTCGACAATCCGCCAATTCAACGTCCACTCTCCTCGTTGCGACACACTCCGTCAAAATGGCCAGTACGTGCGACCCTACTTGGAATATCCTATATCGAAATGCTGTTACGGGGGATTTTTCGACAATGCGGTTTTTTGAGGCGGAAGCGCTGACTTGATGTTCCTTTGTGCAGAGTCCAAGAACGCATCGCAGCACCACAACAGCCAGAAGGCTCACCGTAACGGGTGCGTATATTTTTCTTTGGTTTCGAGATTGGGAGAAGGAAGGGGCTATGATGTTGGAGATTGGATGTTGGGGGATCCTTGGGGATGACCCCAGACCAACGCCTGCATTTAATACGCTTCTTCCTTTTTTTGGGGAAACCCAAACGACACATACCAGAACAACCCGCTGATATCGCCTTCAATAACAGTATCAAGAAGCCTAAGACCCAGCGTTACCCCTCGCTCAAGGGTGTCGACCCCAAGTTCCGCCGCAACCACCGTTACGCTCTCCACGGTACCATGAAGGCTCTTGTACGTTGAACCCAATTCGCAATACCCCGATAGAATTCCCGAGAAAACCGGCTAACAACCCAACAGAAGGAGCGCAAGGAGGGCAAGCGTGAGGTCGCATAAACGGGTATAAAAATAATGGAGAGCTACTTGGGTTGGTCATTTTAACGTGCGATGACAACAAAACACGTCAACGTCATGTCGAATAGCCTGGCTGGTTTCGCGCGATGACGGTTAAATAAATTCATTATTTTTGTCTCGATACCACGGCCTTTGAAGGGGTAGTCTACCCTTTGTCTTTCTACGGTCAGGTAGAATCGCTTCCTACTGTCAACAAAGAACCGGTTTTCTTTGGTTTCTTGATTTACTCAAAGTTCTAGAACCAGGCATATGTGTGTACAACACCGCGTCATTTCAATGCGCGAATGTTGAAGGATTATCTAACGTGCCGAGATAAGACATGCCTCCAATCCCCAAATACCCTTTGTCTACTCAGTGGCCCGGGGTTTATGGACGAAAGGCGACATCCGTAGACCACATAGCCTGATTTGATAGAAACGAATTGATTGCCAATGCCAAGATCACCCCTTCCAAACAATAAGCTTCTTATCAAATCCACCACTAACAACCCACTCCTCTTTAATACCCTCAACCTCAACCCATCCCGCCCAAATAGTCCTCACCTTACACCCAACATCATGCCCCATCTTCAACATACCCACAACCTTCCCCGTCCGCGCCTCAACCCCCCTCACCACCCCATCATCCCCATTAACCCAAACCCCAGACCCATCCGGCCTCCACGCAACCTGCGGCGTCGAATAGGCCGTCTGCGGCGCGAAGGTATTCGCCTGGATCAGGATAGCCGCGTCTTCGCGGTTCTGGAGTGCCAGGGCCTCGAACGCTTGCGTGGCTTGGGTTATAGGTTCTGTGGGTGGTTGGGGTTCGCTTTCCGGGTTGAAGGTTTCTGCTGATGGAAAGAGGAGGCGCACGATGATCACTTTCATGTGTGGGAGAGATGATGTTGCGACTGCGAGAAGGCCGGGGTCGTGTGGATGCAGGGCTAGACTGGATGGGGAGAAAGTGATCCAGGCGTTGGATTGAGGAGCCAGGTTCTGTTTTCCGAGTAATCTGCATTCGTATGGTGTATTCTGCCCCGTGGAATCAACCTGGTAGTAATAAAGATGCGTCGAATCTCGTCTCGAAACGAGTAGCATCGTATGCCCCAAATCAACATGCTTAACGAACAGCATAGTCTCGGGGTTAGTATCCAGGTTGATGTACGCAACTGGCCCGCGCAGCATCACGTCTGCCCCTTCGTTCTCGACTTGGAGATCAAACTCATAAACGCAAATCTTCGAGTCCCAACCCGCAGTAGCAACCAACACCCTCCCCGAAGGATCCTCATGCGCAACAACCTTAACACCATATTTTCCATGATCCTTCCTCGTCCCCAGAACCTCTTCCCCGCGCTGCAAGATAAGCTGGCCGGACATATTGGTCATGAAAACATATCTGCCATTGCGGACAGATACATAAGACAGAATCGGGGAGTCGGAGTGGCCAGCGAAGGACTTGACAGGTTCATTGTCCTCTGCTGTTTTGAAGAGATGGAGCTGTTTGTCTGCGCCTGTTGCCACTAGACAGGATGATGGCTTGTCGTTTTGTGACTGCCATGGCTCAACGGATGTAGCTAGGAGGTTTGACAATGTTGGTGTTTGGATAATTGTTGGTTTCGATGGTGCTGGTGCAGTTGGTCAGTTATTTGTTTTTGGAAGATGAGCAAAGGACATACCTGGGACACTCCATACGTCCTTCTTCTCATCCTCGTTATATCGTTCGAAATTGACGCTTTTTTCAAATGTTTTCTTCTCTTCGAGTACGCTCTCGATGGTCCAGTCGTTTGCGCTGTCGGGCTGCCCCACGTCTGTTGATAATCCCGCCTCGCGGATGAAGGTGTTGAGGGTGTCTGCGTAGTTGTTCGACCGCAGGAAGCGGGCGACTATGGTACTAGCCAAAGAGGCTGATTGAGATGCTGTAGCCATTGTTGTGGTTGGGGTTAAGTGTTCTTATCGCAGTCTAGGGAAGTCTGGCAAAGGTTGGCCGGTCCAATCACGTTCACTGCCTATTGAAGCTATTCTCTACAATAATATAAAATAAAATGGAAACAAAAAAAAAAAAAAAAAAACACGCTGGATATCGATTAGGAGTCTTTTCTTAGCAATAAAAGTAGGGATTATCGACATCATTATCTACGTTTTTTATGAATATAACTCCGACCATGCCATGCCATGCCACATATCAAACTGCTCAACCAAACATGTCCTCTGCCCTCCGTCTTGGACCTCCTCGTCCTTCGATTTTGTTTGAAAACAGCTCCTTCCCGGAGTTCGAGCCGTACGTAGATGGGAATAACTCCTTGACCGATGCCCCTTTACCCTTTATCGACAGGCCATGGGAAGATCCACGGATTGAGAAGCCTTCGTCTCGAGCTGTCCCACGAATGTTGACACCACCGTTATTGGAAGAGCCAGGGAAGAGCTCGACGCCCCTGTTCCGTGAATCAACCGGAGCTGAGATTCTGCTCGACAGCGTCTCGTCCGCAGCATCGATAGCGTCCTTCCGGCGATGGTTGCTGACTTTGCTCGGGAATAGTTCTTTCTTAAGATAGCTATCTGCGGTTTTATTCGGGAAAAGCTCGCGTTCGTTGGATTCCGACTTGGTTGGGAAAAGCTCGCGTTCGTTCGATTTCGACTTGGTTGGGAAAATTTCCTTTGCTCCGCTCCGACGGGGAGATCGCTCTCTGAATCGCCGTTCAGACCGATCCGATAGCAGTCGGTCACTCTCCAGGGTGTCTCGTCCGGGGGATGCACTGCGGTTTCGAAGACGGCCCGACGAACCCCCTTCATCGGGGAACAGTTCGCGCCCTCCGCGCCTCCGCCCAGGATCACCTGCGCTAGAATCACCTGCACCAGAATCATCGTACATATCCGCACTTATGAGCTCGTCGTTATCACGGTCTTGCCGTCGCTGAAGCTCCCGACCGTCGAACCGTCTCCGCCTATAATCGCCATCACCGGAGTCCCCGCCTTGACGCCTTCTTTCTGAGAGTTCCATTCGCAACCTCTCCCGTGGGTCATGCTCGGGGTGCATAAGATAGAACCGGCTCGCTTCGTGCGCACGAGGCTTCTTCCGATCCGTTTTCACCGCTGCTCTCACCTGGAGGACGGAGTCGGGGTACGATGAAAGGAGCTTGGCCGAGCGCAGACGCAGAGGTACTGCGGATGTATATTCATCCTCCCCAACCTGTGTAAGGGCAGCTAACGCCTGTAAACCGATCTCCGGCGACGAGTAGACGATATTCGCGGACGTGTCATCGATCCATTCGACGCGGGTGGGCTGTTCGGTGGTGAAGTGGTCGATGGCGAATTGTCTAATGCTACCCGTCGTTAGGTCGTCGACGCCTCGAATGTGAACCTTCTCGTATTGCGTTTCTGTCGTCTGAGCATCAAAGGCACCGTCATGGCCGAATGATGTCGTTTCGGGTTCCTAGCAGACGCGGCCAGTTAGAGAAGTTCGACTGGGATGGCGTCATATTCGCATCGTGCGCACTCACAGCTTCAATTGGTTCTGGCTCTGGAAGGGGGCCAAGATCGAGATCCATATCAATGTCCATGTCCGTGTTGGCCGGAGCGGTGCCATTTGTTGCTTGTTCGGCGACCTCCATGATGGAGAATCTGGGTCGTAGAGAGTCGAAGTAGACCTTGAGGATATAAGAAAAGTAATATGATATTCAGTAAAATGTCAAGTGTAAAGCTGTAAAAGAGGTGGGAAAGTGAGTGAGTTGTGACTGGGTGTTGATCGCGAACTCTGCGGCTCGCCTTTCAGACCGCCCGATTAGGAAAAGCGCGTGCGGAGTGACTTCAACGCCGTCAATCACTTCTATGCTTTCTTTCACATCATAAGAGCCAGACACGTCTAGAAGTGAACATTATAGGATTCTACTTATCCTGTGCGCTTTCACTCAGGCAATCGAGACAGCCAGCATATTGCTTTGAAGCAAAGTCCACCAGCTACGTTCATTACAATACCTTGATACTTCTGCCATGTGATTGGCTTGGGGATGATGAGATGCTATCCAGGGCTGAACGATCTTCTACTTCATGGTTTCTCACTAGCACCTATATGACATCTATGGACTGAATGAAACAAGCACTGGCTATCCACGACTTGATCAATATTGATACGCCAACAAGTCCAAACGACTATGTAGAAGGAGGAATTTACATTGTTGCATTGTTGGCGATAAACTTGGACTCACAGAATAATTCACTTGCAATAGCGGTGATCCAATATCTACAGCACTATCAGCGATGGCCTTGTCGCACCTTTGCTTTGTCAACATATAAGAAGCAACCTATGAGTATCGAAGGTTTTCGGCATTGTTATACTCGCCTCGACAGAGCCAAAAGCCACCTTTCGTTTCCAAACATACTTGACAGCAACTGAAGAATTCAAGACTTACTAGACCTCTGTTATTATCCAGTCAGCGCCTCTCAAGACCTGGCCCTCGAGATGCACACCGCTCGAGAAAGAAAGGATTCTTTGGATCTTTATATGGGGTCGCGAGTCAATTCTCTTGTCTACTTACACCTTACGCTTGTTGATTCTTTCGGAATCCAAAGAATTCTAGACGGCTACGCGCTTTAGAAGGCCAGCACATTCCTGTGTATAGCAGCTCTTTGAGCTCGAAACTTAACTACCGGTACCACGGCGACCTGGTAACCCATATGGTGATCCACAAGTATACGATGCGTGTTTTGGAGGACGCAGGATGTACCGAATGAAAATAAAGTCAGAGTAGCAGGTGGCTTCGAGTTCTGAGTTACCCGCTCTACGATAGATAGAGTTGACGGGAGAAGCCAGAAAGGTTCTCATCAGCCTCTTTTGAACATGCCGCGACCTTGAAACATCCAGTTTTCTGGAGGAGCCTTGTTACGCCTCAAAAATAATTTGGACCGCCAATACAGTTTAAAGGAACCGACTCTGAGGGAGATGGCCACCCAATAATATGAACTGTACCAACGTCTGCTGGTCGTTCTGCTAGTCCTGGTACATCCGCGTTTAGGCCCAAGGGTTGGCCGAGCTGAATCTCTAATCTCCAAGGGCCCTATGATCGACATCAGAGTGGATGTTCGGAGACTGCAACCCCGTGATACCAAAGCAATCCGCGATTTACGTGGGCAAAACCAGGCGCCAGAGTGACTTGATCCGGGCTCCGACATCGACATAATGCTCACAATGAACGACGGTGGGGACAGATACTATTCATGGAACTTCACCAATTTGGAAGAAAGCCAGATCGGAACTGGAATATCGACAAGCGCCCGGTGTCGTCAATGCCCAGGACTGTCTTCAGTGGGTGGAGCTAGTACACCGGTGAGGAGGCTCTGATAGCTGCCAGTAAATCACCAGTGCTCTTTGGAGAGGACATATCTGATCTTGTGCCAGATGCTTTGTCTTGTGGTATACCAAATGAAGTCTTTTTGGTCTGAGCAGAAGCTTCGACAGGCTCTTCGAATTTATAGAGTCGACAATCGATACAGCAATGTCCTAGGACAGCGATACCAGAAAAAACAGTGAGCAAAGGCTCAAATCCACGCGGAGCGCAAAACCCGTGTCTAATCTATCTCCAAGCACCCGAAAGAACTTGCCTAGTTAGCAGGAGAAAGACTTGAAAGCCTTTTTCGGCGAGCAAGTCTCAACACAGGCAGCCGAAGGATCCCCTTCACTCGATGTGGTCCTCCGAGACCCGATCATCTCTTCATCCGTTACATTAGGATATACTCTAATCCTGAACGGCATAGGACCAACATTTAAATAGCACCTGGAGAGATCTGGCTTACGAGAGAAGCCATATTCGTTCACAGTGTCGCAAGGCGACATCGATGCTGCAAGAAACGCCCGTATTGTTGATGCGATAAACACGACATTCTCTACTCAAGGAGTACAATGCCGTCACTGGTTGATTTCGAGTCGATTGGCTTCCTATCTGGAGCAGTCTTTGATTTCGAATCCTTGGGGGTACGTAGATCGGGACGATAAATAGAGCAATAAAGAGTGCTCTGTTCTCCAAGGCTTATCGGGACTATCTGATTGAGTATGGGACGTTGGGCCTAGATATCCTATTTCGGGGATGGGTTCTACTGGTCCGTACAATTGGCCTACTTGGGATGTTAGTTGGGCTCCTTTGGGGCTATAGGAACAAGCAAAGATGCCGATGGTGTCAGTTGCCATTCTAAGCACCAATCACAGCCATATTATCAACAATGGTCACAACTTTTCCCATAAATACCACAAGGATGAGACCCCGTCGTTGACTTGCCCTAAGCGAATATATATATATATATACAATATACACACACATACATACGCGAAGATTTCGGTGGTTAATTGGGTTTGACTATGATGACCATTATGATGCACTGCGTGATAGCTAGGCAGTTGAGAATCCAAGTTGCCATACTTCTGGTAGTCCAAGCACTATCACGATATCCAGCCAGCACGTCACTCCCGCAATGACCTCTCGATCACGATCGAGCCACACGCCGACCGGTTACATATTGCTTTTAGCAATAAGTTTAGACCAATACTATCACGCTTTCAATATCTGCAACAATGACGTCTACGAATCCTTGTTCAGCTGAACCTCGCTCAGATGCAAGTTTGCTCGTATAGTAGTGTCCGTCCCAAAAAGGAAATAACTCGGCTGCGCCACAACAAAGCCACAAGCAACGTGCTTCAGCCACAACCCCGAAAACGGAAAGACCAAAATTGAGTCCGTCGGAGGAACCGAAGAGATAGATGGGATACGGGGTACGGAGTAGACAACCACGCTTTCTAACAGTCACGCGACGGACAATAATCGGAGTCTATTTACATTCTTTGTTCGTATCGCTTGAAAGGGGCATGGCGACGATGATGGAGGTTGAAAAAAAGCTCCGCGGCGCAAAGCAACCTGTGAATTGGGTTCAGTTTCTCCGACAATAACCCAAGTTTTGCACCTCGCACTTCTAAACCGATTCTGGAAGGGGGCAAAAGGAATTCTCATTATTGGGTTTTGCTAGTTAGGGCGCGGAGTAAAGGAGATTCCTTTTCACTGAGTCGCCTCGCTGAATCGCCTCGCTGAGTCGGAGAATGTGCAGTGCACGCACGATCTTCAGCCCCAGGCGGGAATAGTTTCGAGATCTGAACCTGGTAGTTGGGACTGATTGAGTTTTTCTTTTTTCTTTATTTTCTTTTTGTGAGGATTGGGACTTATTTGTTCTAGATTGGATCTGTAATAGAGATTGTTGATAGTTTGGTGCATCTATTCATGGTGATGCGTTTTTTTTTTTTTTTTTTTTTTTTTTTTTGTTTTTTGCCTGGCTGGCTGACTCGCCCGGAAGAATGCCCAGAGACAGATAACAGAATTGGGAGACCACACACACGTACCGCACCGAACAACGCCGAATAAACTCGCCTGACAGCGGGATATCCGTCTAATCTTGCACAGACGTTGATAGTTAGAGACCACCGTGTATGGAGAATACGGCGTACGGAGTACCAGAGTACGGCAGCATGTGGGTTGCTTGCAACGCTCGGCCATGGTAGAGAAGCATTCTGTAATCACAGATATCGAATTGAATACCAGATTTGGAGTAGTAGGGATGGGTCCATCCCACAATAAACTCAATAGTTCGGTCGCAAGATGGAGCGATCTGCGGTTGGCATGAGGCTGTTGTGCGCGTTCGATGGGGCATATTTCAAGCCAAGATCGGGGATTCGAAAGGATCCGGCTGAAGAGTGGAAATTGGAACCGGGAAACATAGCAATAGCTCTGGGACGCCGACTTGAGAGTACTCCGTACATAGTAGACCAATGTACTCTGTACAAGTTGCTACGCTTGGATAATAATAGCAAATAGATTAAGATAGTATTAGTTTATGGAGAAAGTCCAAAGTAGTGCAGTCATACCTTACCCTGAGAATTAACACATTAGTTAACACAACAAATTAAGGCGTTATTACCATTCACCAAGCTATACCCCAAATAGGAAAACGGACGGACCATATCCCGTGGAGAACCCTCGGGCACCACTCGGTCTCAAGGTCCCCGACGGGATACATATTGAACCCCGACCAACTGCCAGGGATATGTACATAGTACACAGATACACAAGAGGTTGGTTGACCAGCATAAAGGGCGATGACAGATTGTTACATACTCTGCCTTGTACAGACATAAGCAAAAGCAAAAGCAAAAATGACCGTTTACGAAGAGCGGAGGCCAAATCCTCGGAACCCCGCGCGAGGTACAGGAGTAATGCTAGGTGCTAGGTAGCACATACGGAAACATGCTCTATAGGGACTTCTTTGTTGGGGGATCCGCATTGCTGGAATAGGGAGATTCCAGTCTGATACGACTGGCGCGTGTCAAGTTTGCTGATGTGCATCAGTCGTGGAGTCCACGTAATGGTTACTGTGCTCCATACAGAGTTCTCCTGTAATAGCATAGGAGATTTTATTTATCATTCCTGCTAACTAAATCTGCTGCGGACACGCTCGGGCCTCTACCATCTGTCTTCTGGCCCGACAGTCCGGAAACAACATCTAACAGACGCGAGAGCGCCGTTCGCTCCACTTTTATTTTTAATTTTTAATTTTCCTGTCTGCGGTGCCGTTCATTGTCAGTGTCAGCAGCATACTTGTAGCATAGTAAACAAGTAAGCAGTCAGAAACGTGCAATTACAGTTATATAACCCAAAATATAATATAGGATGTACCCTGTCTATACAAGCATGTCTGTCAAATGAATGTCATTCACAATGCCCGTAAGCGCTAAACAGGGATTGACCCTGCAGGGTAACAAGGGTTTATCTCAAATACTTCCAGCGCCTGTGATTGGTCGCTCTGCCCTCTGACACAGTGCATTGTTCCCAATATCCACCTCCTCGTTTCTCAGATCAACCACTAGCTTGTAGTAGTTAAACGCGGGCGAATGACATAATGCGGTTTTATTCGGCGACTACGCTGTATTAAATACGGTATATATGGTATTATAAAACCGTATCGTATAGATACGATACATGGGTTCGTACCATGGGGGTGGGTCGCGAGGATCATGGCGTTGTGCCGGGATCGGGTCCTTTTTCCATCTGGGCCTTTGAGACAAAGAACGAAGGTGAAGAAAAAAATTTTTTTAAAAAAAAAAGAAATCGATTTATTGAATCTTCAGCGCGCTCTGTACTGATACTATTGTAACATAGTATTATAGGAGAATTAATAAAGTAGAATATCATTCGGATACCCCATTCGGTAACGCACGAGCTATTCTCAGCTGGATTGTATATCTGTGTGTATCTGTTAGTCCGTATATACTCCGAAATAGCAGTTACAGACGGGACAGTTGGTGTCTTGGCCTGACATTTGACAGACATGACATGTCCACGCGGGACATAAAACAGCTAACTAAAACGTAACAACAACCTGCAAATTGCTCCATCCAAAACGTAGGACAGTTGGAATACATCATGACAGGCTGACAGACAACGACTCGGTCAGCGCACCGGTCCCGTCTATCACTTTCTGTTTCGGGAAATCATGAATTCCAAATACCTTAATTAACCGACCAATTAGGGGCCGCGTCCGCCGGGGAGGTTCGTTACATCGGTCCCACTACTCTATCCGGAGTCTTTCCATCGTCATTAATATATCGTAGCGAGTGTGTTGTAGCGATGGTGGTGCGGTTTAGCATGCGACCGGTCAGGGGCTTTCATGTATGCACCCTTTTTTCAACGTGGACTTGGTAGGGTATCCTTGCTGTGCTGTACGTTTACTGTTGGACTACGTGGTCTTGTACATGACTCCTATGTACATATAAGTAATAGTGTTAGGCATAGAGGAATAAGCAATTAAGCCCAACACCAAGAGTCCCCTCCTGTATGCACATAGGAGTACGTATCATTCAACGGTTTCAGTGGAGTCGCTAGATTCTTCTGCGGCGCAGCTGGGATCATCCAAATCGCAAAACACGCCAAGCCCATTGGCGGAAGAATTAATATACTTTACGGAGTACGTTCAGAGAAGACTAAGAATACTGTGGGATACCCATAGTGACAGCATCGGTTCCCGCACTGACTTTTCCGTGCCGTATGACAATTTAATTAATTTTTATTAACTGTTCTCTCGCTCAAGCTCGGTCTGGAGTAGCTTAGTTGACAAATTTAGTTTATCGCACTATTCATTTAGCCCGATAGCGGGACCCGAAAAATTTCGGAAAACCCGTTGACGCACGGATTTCAGCACACGATACCAACAAGGATCATGCACAATTGTCATTTATCTCAGATGAAATTCGTCACTGTGTGCAATACTGCGCTAATTCGTATACACTAGTACCTGCCCAGCAGCAGAAATCCTGGAGCTGGAACTAGCAGGGGTCCGGGGATGGGATGAGGGATTGGGGGACGGGATTGAATGGGATGAGATGGAGGGGCACATCTTGAATACCCCATACGGAATAACCCCTAATGATTGATCATTAGCTTTTCATGGCAGTTCTTCTAGTGATCGGAGATCTACCAATCAGTGTCCTGGATCGAGGATCAACGTAACCGCCCAGAGGACGGACGGTACAGAGTACAAAGGAATAACACCAGACACCACCTTTACGGGCAAGACAATAGACTTCCAAGCTATTGATGTGACATTTTGACAGCAAAGCTACGGGAATGGGGTGGTCAATTCTTCATCAAGCGTTTACTGTCAATTCAAATTCAATCGTGCACGTAGTCTAGGCCCATGCCACCGCTGTGAACTGAGTCAGTCAACTATGCACAGCACTCACCGTAACCTCCGCAGCATGGGAGATTTACACATAGTCTAGGAATTATGCGACGATAGCTACGCTAAGATGACTCGTATAGCACCTGGGTTACTAATAGAGTAGAGAAAAAGAAGAGAGGATGATCTGTGACCTGTCAACCTTCCATCATGTTCCAGATGGATAGCGGCCCAGGCACCTGGAAATGAAAAACAACAATCACACGATGACAATAGATAATCATAATGGGATCCAGGGGGAAAGAAACGGTCAAGCGTGGTGAGGCTGGCTGAATATTCATCATGTGCAGTATGGAGTATGGGGTTGTGTCCCAACATCCTGGTATGTATTCGTAACGATGTATGCTTCCTTCTGTATAGAGTAAGATAAGGCGAGCCTGATCTCGCTTGCGCTCATACCATGCACCCCCATTTTAGTCTAAATGCTTTGTATTCTAAAGTACTCCGTAGTCTGTCCTTGCTCTACGCTATGTACGCAAGTCAACCGTACGCCGTATCTCTCCTTGATCTATACGGTATCCCAACGTCGATCGTAGCCGCTTCTGGGAAGTACCCAAAACCTAAAAGATTCCAAATTCCAAATCGCTTCTGGACGAATCATACCGTGAAATCCTCAAACGGCCCACGGGTTAGTGGGTCCATACCGATCTGAAGGAGAAAAAAAAAAAAAAAAAAAAAAAAAATTAAATTAAAAAGATTTTTTACAGCCTCATCTTCCTTCCTCCTTCTTTTGGGCTTCTTCACTCTCCTGAAAAATGACATGAATTGTGGCTGGCTGATAATACTAGATCGAATGTTGATTGAAATTTTACCAGAACAATGCGTAACTGATCTGTCATTCTTCAGATGCCCCGCTGAAGATTTCGGTATGTCGTACTCCGTACTCCGTACTCCATAATATTGTGTTATTTATTTTGTCTAGAATGGGCCTTTTCTTACTCCCACGACTCATGCGCACGCATGGTATTGGGTTTATTGGGTTTATTGGCTTCTCCTTTCCATGGTAAACTGAATTTGACATCCATGAATTGACCATCAGCAGGGCCGTTTCTGCCGCTCCCGTTGTCCTGTCAGGGTCTGAACTTTACCAGCATGGGCCACTCTGGACCCCGATGGATTTCGCTGGTTGGTTTATGGTTGGATTGTATAGTCGACTTGTGTAACTTTTTTTATTTATTTATTTTTTTTCCCCCACACCATTCCTAGTAGCTGAATACATAGATTAGTGTATCGCTACATACTAGTAACCGAGTATTACCCCTGTTGGGCCAGCACGATCTGACCCGTAAACCTGGTTCTCTCGACAATGAATCAATAGCCTCCACATCAATCAATCTGCCACACGACCGGTCTGAATTCATCGCAGCTTCCCCCCTATATTAGACCCGTGGTAAAATCGTTAGTGGCAAATCTCCCCACGATCTGGCGAGTGCTATACTCAACTCAGATACTGCATAACAAGTTTTTCCACCGATAGTGTGTTTTGGTGCTTTTTTAAGATACGAATCCACTCCACTATCCCACATACCGTACAGAGTAGTACCCCAGTGCACCTAGTAAGGAGTATATTCAAGAGTACAACTTTCCTAGTCGAGAAGGAGGCCAGAGTCTCTAAGGAATACTCTGGATGGCATCGCGCATGATTAAACTATCTGACTAACAAATGCTGATGGTCACCTGGTCTATTTTGGTGAATCAACAGGGATATCCCCACCGGTAACATACACCATACCAAGCATACGATACAGAAAACATACCGTACCGTACATACAGTATCACACCGAACTGTCAGCTCCGAGATCTTGGATCGGATCTTCCTTCATATAGCGTGGTGCACAGTGGAACCCTATTCATTTTTTTTTCATTTTTTTTTTCTTTTTCATTTTTTTTTTTTTTTTTTTTTTTTTTTTTTTCATTTTTTTTTTTGGACCCGTCTCCCTGGTCAATTTCTCGGGATGCGATACTACTTACCACTACCAGCGACTAATTCTGCTTGCTGTCGTCAGTCCCTCCTGACTGGCCCCATCGTATATCTACCGGACAGTAGCGGCGCGATCTTCGATTGATTCCCAAGTCCTCGGTTACGCTGGCCATTGCTTTTCTTCCTGTGCTTCCTCCTTTTTTTTTTTTTTTTTTTTTATTTGATTTTTTACAAGTTGATCATTCGCATAAATAATTTCGGTCATCGCCGTCACCAGTCAAATCAACTCAAATCAAATCAGTTCAATCTATCGATCCATCCCTCAATCGGGTTGTTGCTTTTTTGAATTTATTTTTTATTTTTTTCTTTTCTTATTTAGGTGCGCCTGTACCGGTCCCTGTCGTCTATCTGTAAGTCAAGTCAGATCCGAACTTTCTTTTTAAACAGTTCCCACATTTATTTTCCCCGCCCTGTACCTTTTGGCAACTGGGTTTTCTTATTTAACTTTCTCTTGTCTCGCACTTCTGTCTCTCCTCATCATCCATCAATCTTCACTCTTCATTCTTCTTGACTCAAGTCTAACACTCCTCCATCAGACATCTTCCTCACCACTCAACCACCTCACCTTCTATACCACACACACACACACACACACAATGGCTCAGACTCACCGTCGAGGTCCTTGGGTCCCCGAAGAGGACCAGTTGCTTGTCCAGTTGGTGCGCGAACAAGGCCCTAACAACTGGGTGCGCATCTCGCAACACATGCACTACCGCTCTCCTAAGCAATGTCGGGAGCGCTTCCACCAGAACCTCAAACCTTCCCTCAACCGCGAGCCCATTTCCGCTGAAGAGGGATTGTTGATCGAACGCATGGTGACCGACATGGGCAAGCGTTGGGCCGAGATTGCCCGCCGACTGGGCAACCGCAGTGACAACGCCGTCAAGAACTGGTGGAATGGCAGCATGAACCGCAAGCGGAGGGGTCTTTCGTCCTCTGCTACCACCGCCACTTCCTTCTCTCGCACATCCTATAGCGGCCGTATCGAGGCACCATACCCGCGGGCTTCGACCATCAACAGCAGCCCCCTCAGCCGACGATTCTCTTCCACCTCGTCTTCCTACTCCACCGTCAACACTCCTAAGCAACTCTCGCCCATTTACACTCTTCCTTCCATCAACCGTCCCATCGAGACCCCTTTGACCTCGCCTGCGTTCTCGGAAACCTCCAATGCTCCCTCGTTGGTCTCGGATAACAACTCGATCTCTTCTGCTTCTCCCCGCACCGCCACTTCCCCACAACTCCTGCCTCCTCCTATCGACATGCGCCAGCACTACCACATGCGGCGCCAAAGTGTTTCGTCGCTGAACAGTGCGGACGAAACCTATGCTACTGGCTACCAAGGGCCCAAGGCCGTTGACACCTCCGACATGACCCAAAAGCCCCGATGGATGCCCGAACTCCCCAGCTGGCGCCAACACACTGCAGCGCTAACGCAGTCGTGGATTATGCCCCCAGAGGAGGTCCGCACACAACCACTGAAGATTGAGACTCAGACCACAGAACGTGATTCGCGAATGGGCCTCAACAACCTTCTGAACTGAAGAAAGAGAAACCAAAAAAAAAAAAAAAAAAGAGAAAAAAAAGAAACATAAAAAAAAACAACATTTCCTTTGTTCTGATTGATTTTTTACGCAATGATGTACACGCCACATTCCGACCCTGGTCATTCTTTTACTACACAATTTCCTTACTTGTCTTTCCTTTGTTGAGTGTGTATATCTAATGTGTATATTTTCTGATTGTTTTTCCCCCGTCGGTCCATTTCCACTGCGGGTCACGTGGTCACGACTATTTATTGCGTGGGGGGTTCGGAGTTGTGTTTCGCCCCCTTTTGTTGTTGAGCGAAAAGCATTTACTGCAATTTTGGGAATTATTTTACTTGGGAGATTCAGGAGTGATGGTTTTTTTTTTTTTTTTTTTTTTTAAATCTGGTTTAGAGAAAAGACCGCGCGAGTGATGGATATGATTTGTACATAGTTGCTTTTCTTTGATTTGGATCGATGTGCTTGGACCTAATAATACCCCATGACTGTTGGTTGTTAATACAATTATTTTGATTCTCTATTCTTTTTTCTGGTGTTAGTGTCAGTTACCTATCACTTCCTGACTAAGTAGCAATAGTGCAATGTGAGTTCTGGAATTTGAAATACTTGTGTCCCGCGCACGATGTATTAGTTTGCACTATTGTGATCTGGACTTTTTACGGAGTAGAAGTAGAATTAATCTATCTCAATCTACACAAATTGTAGTATTGCTTTTTACAACAATCTTATTATCTTCGTTATACTAGTACTCTGTATAGAGTAGTTATGGCACAACTATTCCGTACTTGTACACAAACTCAACAATTTATGCACCTATATGCAGCACAATGCAAGATCCCCAACTACATCTTATGCTATGCTATGCTATGCTATGCCATGCCCAGGGCCTAACTAAGTAATCCCTGTCCTAACAACGTCTGCCCAGGCCCTGGTTTCTCATGTGAAACGGTCGCGCGGAGCGGTCTATCCCCAGTTCTCCGTGTGAGATTTTCGTATAGTATACTCGCTTAAAATATGCTTAGTTATACGTAGACCGATACGACATTCTCTTCAGAAAAAAAAAAAAGTCTTAAATTTTGGCCACTATGTACAGTACGTACTCGTTGACCAGTGCAGTGCCCAGGCCTGAATCTAGACAGTTGGCCGCCGTTGCGCGTATCGGGTGGTTCCGATTCCTGACATCACTAACGATTTGGATCCAAATTTTCGATTCTGGCGGCGAATAAATTATTACTGGATTGGGTTACAGGTCAGTCGGTCGGCGTCGCGTCTTGGTTTGGGTCAGCTGAGTTGGGCTAGTTTAACCATGGTACGAGTATGTAGCTGTACTTATCGAGTAGGTGATTATGTACTCTGTAGGGTATGGCTAATTGTATACTATGCGAGAAGGGAATATGCAGAAGTAAAACTGACAAGGGTTACTGTGCATTCCATACTGTAGACGAATCATGATATCCAGCATCCCAACTACCAGGTATGTACCCACTGTACCATACATACAAAAAATACAATATCATACCTCGGTTCGCAGTCGATCGATTCCAGCTCGAGCAAGAACGTTGAGATTCTTTATTAAATTCTAATTGGTCCTCGGCCGATCTCGGTGCCCGTGCAGATCGCCGATTGCGCAGCGGTTACGGTACTGGTACCCGCCTTGCCGATCCGTGATCGTTGAACCTAACCAAGCCACGCCATGACTAAGACTCAGGGGTTGGCAGTGTCTTTTTTATTCAGTGGAAAAAGAAGCCTATTGTTGTTGTTTATTGTGATTGATTCGGTTGGGTAGTTCGCTATGGACTTGAAGGATTTGATACTGCGCTTGTTTAATTACTCTGTACTGTAGATTTCGTCAAGGCGAGTCCATTTTTGACACTCTACTCCGTACATAGGGCGTATGGAATGCGATGTCCATATTAAGAAAATTAATATACTGTTAATTAGCAGCTTGGGCCATTCCATAATAGACATACGGCGGGAGACACGGACGGACACGGCGCGGCGACGGACAGATTCCTCGCTCAGACCACATGCAATTTCCTATTTTGGATCTATTCAGCGACTGTCTGACAGTCGAGTATCGAGATTTGTCATGGTCCCCGTCATGGTTATGAAGATAACAACAACGGCTGGCTAGCTAGCTACTATTACTTTGGCGTGAATCTACAATATTACTCCTTATAGTTACTCCCTGGATACATCGTAAATGCTCGACCACGAGGCCGCTGTCACATACCAGCCGTTGCAACCTTAACATACAATACACGAAACACCGTAAGTAATGACCAACGGTGAAACCTGCATATGATTTGGAATAAAAGCGTTACATATGCAGGCGTTTTTTAAGGTAATAGCTATATAACAAACTATATGCACCCGTAGCTTTCGGAGTCGCCGAACGTCGTCGATCAGCTTGGTTGTTACACTGCATCGTTTTTATACTATGAAGTAACTACTCCATCGTATTTTGATTCTAGTAGTATGAATGTATGTGGTTTGCTGAGTGGTACTAGATTGTACGACTAGTCGTGGATATTGAAGTTATCGATCTATCCTCGCCTGCTTGCTGCGATATGTAGTACGACATTGAATTCCAAATACTTGAAGCTTGCCCTACCTGCCTATCTTGGAATAAGAGTCATGCACTGCATACACAGACTACTCACGCCGTACACAGACCACACGCAACCCAGTGCATCCCGTTGGTCCGCTTATGCAGGTGCCTGTAGCTAAACAGGACCATCGGGCGGCTTTGGCGCTGGCCCAGGAACATGACATGACATGACATGACATATGCGACGGAGTTGACGGAGGAGTATGGAATATAGTACATACTGGGCTTGCGATATGCCGGATTTGGTAATGGGGACAAAGAGGTGGCTGTGTGTGATTGCTCAGCTGGGATTATTGGTGATTGCTAAGCATTTGTAAGGTTGTTATCAGGATATGGCTGGATCTAGATCCCTTTGAGATTCGTGCTATGTACAGAGGACGGGGGTCTAGGGCTTGAGTAGAGCCTTTTTTTGGTGGGTTACTGGATACTCGGTCATACGAGCTTTGTTTGCACGCCTGGTGTGCTAAAAGTAACTTTTGGTAACATACCAGAGTCTAGACATGAATCGGTCCATCAAATGGTGACCTAGCACAGTACTTGCGACATCTGATACGTGCACAATTCCTTCTTGTTTATCGCGAACAAAGTACTGAATGACCTCATTTCATGCAATTCGATCCGGACGGACGACGATCCATGATCAGACCAGACAGCTCAGATCCACGACACACACAACACCGCAAGGCACCCGCCTGCTCGTCTCGACCTTCTCAACTGGTGGCTGGGGGTCCCAACAGCATATCCTCGCGTACTCTCGTGCTACACCCGTATAGACGCCACCATAATTCAGATACTGCCCGGCCTTCATATGCTTTCGTTCCTGCCGGACAGTAGTCATCTGCAATGAAACCATGGTCCTGGACCTGGTTTTCACGGGCATTCTTCTCTTTTCAGGAATAAAGCCGCCACTCTGGCCTTCTCAGGCAACTGCAAGAGAGCGAGATGGCACCGTGTCGCTCGAGATGTGATGTATTCCCTGAAAAGAGCAGCATCGCTGACAGGGACGCACCCTGCTAGACACGGAGAACATCTGTAAGTCCGGTACATTTGCACGCTGCATCATGCGGCGTTACAATATCGCCGCCATCACCAAAACCAAGGCCACACATACCCTTGACCTTGACACGGGATTTTAGCTAGATTAGGAAGTTATGTCTTTCCACATCAAGTAAACAAAGCGACGCTGACTGACGCACCAAGTAGCACTATTCCCTCTACTTCTCGCATTCGCATGTCACAGTCCCAGCCAGTCCGCAAAACGCCGTGCTGTGCTCGAATCAAAACGTCCCCCGACGACTTATTCACCGCGTACGTCTGGGCGATTTTAGAAGGCTTTCGTCTCGCCGGTCTGGATCCAGATCACGAGACCGATACTTCATGCTGGCTTGCTTTTGTTGAATATGCAGTGCGACCGCATTGACCTTTTTGATAAGATGCATCTTGTTCGGTCAGGTGATCGTTGTGCTAGGATGTTGATGACGTGGGGTCTGAGGATTTTGCTTGCCTTGTGGGACGGTCTCGGCCCTGTTCGCTATTCTGGGATGTTGGTCGGTTTATATTGAAATGTGCCGGGTAGGGTTGGTTTTCTTGGTCTTAGGTAATTGGTGCTTAATTAGCCTGTTTGGGTGATCGAGTTTCTTGAAGCCCTATATGTTTACTTGTACTGATGGATTGACCGAATATGGGCCCAGAGAATCTTGGAGCATGATATAGAAGTTTTATACATTTGGAATTATCCTCTGCATCCTTGTTTTTGACAGTAGTGCGTCAAGTACGTCAACAATTCACTGACATCAGCGATACTGTCCATCTTATCTCTCCTCACGCCACAGCTTCATGTTGCTCACATTTTCCCATTGCTTCTATATGGAGTCAAAAGTCAAAGCCCTGGACATCTGGGGAAGAAAGGCAGATTATATACGTCTTCCTGGACTGATAGCACTGGATTTGCCCGGTCCAGATGGATGTCGACTGATGAGATACTTGAAAAAGAACATATCACTACTAGGGTGCTTGGCAACCTCCTGAGCTTTGCAACACCACCGAGACCCAGTCACGTTGTTTGCCTAAAGACGTCGACATTGAATATACGGGTAGCGATGGAATGATCAACTGCACCCCAGAGGTGATTAGACTGCTTATGCAGCAATGAAACTGCGTGGATCCAAGCTGGGAATTAACGACAGAAATACGTCGGTGCATTGCAAATTTTCTCTAGCACTACCTTACAAACAGGAAGCTCCAGCTCAACCCTTTCTTGGGTGTCCAAGTTGAGTTGTAATGCTTGTTAAAAATTAATCTATGAAAAGCTTGCAGTAGTAGAATGTTAACTCTCTACCAGGGAAATCCACGGGAAGACATCCTTCTCGTGAACGTACTCTGCTAGAGAGATTTATCAATCCGGTCTCGTAAGCCTAGAGGAGCAAAACTGTTTGCGGCCTTTGCAAGAAGACACCAGGAGTGTGTATCTGCGTCGTCCAGAGATTATTGGATCTGATATTTCGGCCGAAGGCCACATACATCAAAGCGCAACTTTAACGCTGACAAGATGACCTTTCTTGAGTGGGTGGTCGAAGGCCTACTGTATGTGGTGGCTCGCAAGATGCTGTGGCTAATTGGACAAATCAAGCAAACGATCGAAGTAATTCGTCCTCGACAGGCTCTGAGGGATAAACACGGATCAAAGCTTCCCATCGAGCTTCTCTGATCTCAGCCGCGTAGTTTTGGAGCCTACAGGAGAGAAATAAACTAACCATTCCGGACATCTACCCAGTAATATCCCAACAGGAAATAACCATACATCACTGTGATTGATGGCACAAAGTTCTTTTACTAGTGGTGCGTACATCCGTTCAATTCATATACAAGGAATAGTACTAACCAAGCAACTTAGTTGTCGCACGTTTGACTTGACTCTGACCATAGGCTAAGCCGTCTTTTCCATGCATGAGTTCCGTGATGTCTAAGAGAAAGTTCAGATTGAAACGCCGGGCAGACCGATATACGTGATTGGAAATGAATTCGACCCAATCCCCGACAATGCACAAGCTATTTTCGAAGTATTTCCCATCGGTCTCCCACATGGTATAGCCGTTCTTCGAAAACTCGTCCAGGCACCCAGTCTCTTTGATACTTGGAATCGGTTTCAACCTCTCCAATAATAAGAAGCATGATCGAGTGTGAGGGTTTGTATTATCAGAACGCTTTACTTACTTAAACTTGGACCAAAGACAGTTCCCATCCAATAATGGCCAGGATCGGCTCCTTAAAGAACCAATGGTGGATTACGCAGTGTGGTACGGCAACAAGGAGGATATGAAGGCAAATTTAGTACAGTGAAGACTTGATTATGCACTAAGCTACTGTTTGCCGGAATCAGGGGATAGACTATGATTTGTATACCAAAACCCTCGAGAAAATAAGAGAAATAAAAACAAAACAAAAAAAAAAAAAAAGTTGCTGTGCCAGGAGCACAGAGGTCAGCAAGTA